CTATGATGTAACAGAATGGTACTACAAATGTCAATTCAGTATCTTCAAATGAAACTTTCCATTTCAGAAACACTGATATTTCATATTTAAGTTCCTATTTTCTGTCTTTTTTTACATAGAAACTTGAGCATAATAGCAACTGCAAAAATACCTTTTAGAAAGGTATTTTTGTAGTTGCTATTATGCTCATAAAATCCATCTTATTTGTGTTCAATGGGAGATAACTCAGAAATTTAATATGGTTTTGAGGTTAAGCATTGTAAAAGGAAATATATATTTTGAATATAAGTACTAAACAGCGAGGATTGGGTTCATTTCTTTACTGATAAAGATATTTATATAATGCAGATTGTAAGAAATACATTAATATTTGGGGATAATTAAATCATTCTAGTGGTACAATTTAGTGTCAATTTTCAGATTACAAGGAAATTTTGATCATTCAATAGCTAGATTCTTTAGTGAGTGTAACTGGTTCTTGTACCATATGTATCCATAAAATATATATTTTTGCTCACCAAAAACCTGCTTTTTGTTGCTAGTAAGAGAATTTGAAGTCTACTGGTCTGGAAAAGGCTGCCTTTTGAACCTTCCTCTGTTAATGAAATAAGTATTAGAAAAACATGAAGAGAGGCTCATAAGGATGTAATGCCCTAGACCAGTAGTCAATATATCACATAGAATAAAATATGGTATTCAAGGATTAAAATTCCTAGATAACAAGCATGGTAAGTTATGAAATTTATATATAAGGCATACTGTCTAGTCCAGTTAGTTCATTCACTGAAGGAGAGATAGAGTTGGCATCATATCGCCTACCAATTGTGATTTTTGTAAATTCTTTATGCATACCACATTGATTGTCAGGTTAAAAATTTAAGCTATCATTGTATTATCCGTGGGTCTTTTGATGAAAATAGGTAAGGGCTGCGAATGGAGTTGATGAGAATGAAGGTTGAAAATTTTAATTAAGACTGTCAATGGAAAAGAAGGGTGTGTTGAACAGGGTCTAGCTCAAAATAGAGGGCCTCAGTTCCCTACTGTATTTTTGTTTTTGAAGGAAAATAGATACTTTTCAATGCAGAACAAATCATTTGAACAACTGGAAAACCCTTTTTACAACCCCAAAAATACTATAAAAGTGTAACAGCATGAGACAACTGTCCACCAAAGTTCAAATGAAGTGGATGTAAGCAATTATAGGCCACTTACGGCCTTCAACAATGAGCCAATTAATCAAACCCAATAACAACTAATAAATAAATCATGTTCTCTCAGACTAAAGTATCAATCAGTACACATCCAATGGATGTTTTCTATTATATTTTTTTGAAAATGTGTACGGAACTAACCTGACTTAGCAGCTTTGATGGAATATTCTTGCCATAAATCACATAGATTTACTCCATAATTAGAAAATGTAGCTTTTCAATGTCTTATTAATTGACACTAATATAGTAAGACCTATTAGAATGGCGGCATGTCAAAATGCTTTATTGTTGGATGAAAAACAGGGGACTTAACAAATCCTTGGTGTAAAGACAGACATATTTACTGTATCATGACTTTTCAGGTGTAATTCAATTATTAGAATGTTTGAAAAGAGACAAATATCTTTCCTCTTAACTAGTGACATAGATTACAACAATGTATTTTGTGGTTATTTGGGAATGGTTTGTTGCAAATCACCACAAACCAGTTCTCTTCTTAAAAAAATAATTGTGTGGTATTTTCAGGGAATCCATATATGGCAGCAGTTTTATAAAACTGTTAAACTTAAAGATGATTTTGTGATTTCTAAAAGAGACTTCCTATTCCAGAGTTGATGGAAGATCTGTGGTAGTCTTTCTTAAATTTATTTACAACTTTAGAGACTATGGACCATTTAGTGTTTGACATATACAGAGTCTAGACCCTAGTCTCTGGTTGAAGACCAAAAGTTGACATCTAGATATCTTTTGGTGGATTTTTTGTCTTGTTTGATTGCATGCTGTCACATTATTAGAATATAACCCTTATCTTCTTTTCCTATTTAAAGAAAAAAAAATAGTATTATGAAAAAAACACAATGAATTACAGTTGGTATAAGAATGGTGAATGATGCAATTATTTGTGAAGTATGTCATTTAATTATTTCCCTGTATTGGTAACTTTATAGTGTCTTTCTTAGAATGTAATTGAATCATATTCAGTCTTGATAATAGTTCCTTGATTCATGTCACCATAGCCTTTATTTTGATTTTTTTTGTGCAACTAATACAGATGAGATCTATGTTACCGACTGACATCTGTGGTGATCTGAGGAAGTTGAATGCATTTCATTACCAGGTAAACATAACAACCAAACTGAAACAACCAAAAAATATGGAAGATCTTTTTTGATGATTCCTGAATATGATTAAATCCCAAAATAAATTCAAAACATGGCTTCTAGAGACCGTTATTAACTGATGGTTAATTTTTCAAAATAACAAGATCAGATATTGTGTAGTTTAATAATAATGATGAGATAAGACAACTTCACCAAACATTCTGTTTGTGAACAAATATTCAGACTACAGTGGCATGTAGGCTTTCATTTTCTGTGAAAATATGTGACCAGTGTGAACTAAATATGATAGAATTTTTTTTTTCTCAAAAAAGTAAAGGGATCAGACAAAAGTTTGTCATTGGCTTAATTGTTTTGATAGATTTAATAGTTTAACTACCAGTGAGAATTCTTGATTTTGACAAGAAAATGATGGAAGTTCTCATACAAGCTCTATAGTTTGATAGAAAGAGTAATATGAAGTCATGAATCATTTCATATTTCACTGATTTCATTGATCTGTTGTGCTGTAGTAAGGGCAGATCTAGTAAGTAGTGACAGTTTGACTATCTGTCATTCCATACTTCCAGGCATTCTTCTGAAACATATATAGAAAACTTAGTTTATCTGTATAACTACAACAGGTTTTTCATCAACTTTATTCACACTTTGTGAATTGATGGTACACAGATTGAATATGGGCACCTCTTTTATTTTGTACATTTTTGAAATTCCCCCCCCCCCCCCCCCCCCCCCAGGTTTCCAATTAGTAAAACATTTTGTCATTGTTAGCTGTAGGAAGTACCTTAGAAAAGTTGTGTAATCTGTAACTTCAATTGCTTTTCATCCTGAATGCTCAAACATTGGGATGATCAATTACGTAGAAATGTATAGTTTATGACCAAAAGGGGCTTATAAAGTAAACTTTGGCTGCATGAAAATATATTGATTTGAAATTGGCAGCTTTGATATAAATGTCAGAAGAAATCAAAGAGATTTACTTTATAATAAGTTGATTGCAGCATGTCAATATCTCATTAATTTACACTAATATAGAAAGTCCAATGTTATTGATGTCTCCAGTGTAACATTGATCAGGAGAGTAACAAATCCTTCGTGTATTAACAGATTTACTATATAATACAATGTCAACTTTAAATCATCTTTTAGAATGGATGTTATGAACAAACCTGTAGGGTTCCTTATCGACTGACCTCATTGTAAACCCAAAACTATTGCTGATTATACAGTTAATTGATATATTGGGATATCCTAACAGGACTGGCTTTTCTCTATTTCTGTTATGACTTACTTAAACCAGTCCAATAATTTAACGTAAAAGGTTTCCATTAAGATATTACAGCATGCTGATTAATATAATGGCAGGGACTACATATTTATGGCGTAACCACTTAAGTTCTGGATGTATACTGTTTTAACATCCTTCAAGGTGACTTTAGAGATTCTGATCTGCCAAAGAATTTTTGTATACGAAAAATGACATGGAGCTGTTGAATTCTAAAGACAGTAAAGTCCTAAAATTTGGCAAATATAAAGAATATTTGATGTACTTGAAAAGTTATTATTTTAGTGTCAATAAAAGCTTGGAAAGAGCTTCTGCTAATTTCTAGTGTTTGGCAGACTTCATGTTCTGAACTTTGACAATGGAATGTGTTACAGCTAGTGTAACTTCACTGGATTTCATGTTCAACAGATATTGAAGAAGTACATTTATTTACAAACTCTACTTGTTTCATGTAGTAATATATTGTAAACTTTCTGTTAAGTGGTTGCACAAGATGAAAGCGGCAGATAGTGTATATATCTGTTGTAACACATCTGTTAAAATTGTCTTCTGGCAGGCAGTGATCTAATATTACAAATCACATTTAAACTTTCAACCATTGAAGTGTTGAAGTGGATGATGGAATTATATGAAGATTATTGAATTTAAGACCAGATAATGGTTATGTCTGTATTGAGTTAGAAGACAAACTTTTGACATGGGGTTCTTCATCAATGTATGTACTACTTTATAACTTTATAGCATCATGTTCTCGTAGTTTAATTGATATGAGTGATTTGGTTGTCTGAACAGGACTAATTGTAAATCAGTGATAATGATTTTAAAACCTCTGCTGACAACTTAAACTGTCTTAGTTTCTAAAATATATTTGAAATCAATTATTGATGGTACCATTCTTGAGCATTCTTGTGATTGTGATCAATATCATTCTCATATAAGTACATTTTAGAATTAGTTAAATTCAGTACAACATACTAAATATGAGGATTTTTAACATTGTTTGCATTTGATTAATATGAAATTTGTTTATGTCATCTATAAATCCATAACATCATCAATTATTTTCAGTTGTTACTGTTTTTAAATTCCAAAATTATAATAACTAAATACAGAATGTCATCAGAATATATCATAACAAAATTCAACAGCACTGTGTAATAAATGCCTAGTATAGGTTTGAAAATGTAAGCCCAAAGGCAAATCTCGTAATAAGGTGTAATCATTGATGTCAGTGATCCGGAAAGGTATTTTAACAAAAGAGTTTGAGTGCGGAGGACATACTAGTAGATAGTAATCTATTAAGGACTTCAGTTTAAACATAGACAGGAAAAATAGTTATTGTTTGTGCCAAGAAGAGATTATTTTACTTCCTGTATTATTTATAGCAACAAGTATTTGAGGATTATGAGTTCCGACATTAGTTGTGTATTTTTTTGTGTTGATTATGAGATTATATGAGACATTAATAGATTAGTTAATCAGGATCTAATGAAGTTGTTTATAAACATTAGTAATTAGCTCTTTGAAGCATTTTTCTACAACTAACACCATTTATTAGTGTATTATTAATCCTGAGATATAACAGCTATATGCATTGGATAAATACTGTAAATTTGACAGGATAGGATTTTATTTTATGACAATTGCACTGGATAGGATTAGACAGGTTGTTGTGTTAATCTGTATATAATATTGATGGTTTGATAAAAAAAAAAAAAACATGTGTAATGATTTCTTGAATCATTGTGCCTAGTTAAAGATACATGTTTTTTTTTGAAAATCTTCAAAACTGGAAACATAAAATTGATTTGTTAAAAGTCTCAGCAGATATTAACTCTGTACTGATCGTGGGACAGCAGTGGTGGATCAGAATTTCAATAACAAGCTTGCTAGTTTTTGTTTTCAGTTTTCAGTAATTGGATATACAAGAAAAATTTATCACTTTTCAACTATCAGGATAAAAGTGACATTTCTTGTTGACTGATTGAATGTCTGTAGTAGTGTAATAGCATTCTTCTCTATCCTACATACCAATAGTATCTGTTGACTTATTTAGGAAAGCCTGTGGTCAACTTGTATTGTGTTTATATTCTTAATGAAAAGGATTAACTGAAATATAATTTATGGTTTCTGGATTTTAAAATATAATGACTTGATCTATATTGTTATAAACCGGTGACAATAACTGTATTGTTCTGTGAATTTAAGTCTGCCTGTACAAATAGTTTTATCACAATCAACCTTTAATAAGATAACTGTTTCAAGTAAATAGACCAAAAACAAATATGTCCTCTTCTGATGGAGAACAATCAAATGTACTGTCATCTGCAAGCGTGATAATGGCAAGGCATAAAAAGAAAAAATGGAGGCATAAATTTGCAAGTGGACTGACAGGATCTTCCAAAAAAATTAAGAAATTAAAAAAGTCTCGTTCAATAAGTCAGTCCGTTGGATGTCTTATTGAGAGTACTACAGAAACAGTTTTAGGAGATTTGAATTCTTACCATAATTCATGGGGTAACTTTGATACCCTAAGTGTAGGGAGTACTGGTCACTTGTCTGATGATGCTAGGAGTATGGACAGCCAGGATAGTCGTGATAGTTTGGATAGGCTTAGTGTACCTGTACGATATTCTGATTCAGGCATTCTTGATTCCTCACAAGAGTCCTTGTTATCTACAGATCGGGACTACGATCTAAGCGTAAGAATTTTATGTTCTGTCCTTTTCATTATATATTGGAAAATAAATGAACTTCTTGTGACAATGACTGTTAGCAGGTGGTATCCTATTTTTTCAATCTATGAATGATTGCATGTTATTGAGATATTTACACTGAGTTCAAATGTAACAGAGTATCAGACGCACCATAATGAAATAAAATTACAAGATTTACTTACCCGTCCCTAAAATACCACATTCTTATTTAATCACTTTATTAATTTGGTCTTTAAATTTGCTTAAAACAAGTCAGAATGAAGGACAATTGACCAGGAACTGGTAAAGTCTTGGTACACTTTGATAATTTTTGTACATTATTAGAACAAGTCTTGAACACACCATACAGCCACCCTGGATCATTTTGTTTTAAAACCCAAATGATCATGATCATGCACTGAATTTGCCACATAGGACATGGAAGTTGCTTTTTATTTCTTCACTTCTTTAATGAACATGATGAAATAGGCTTTGCTTAAGTTTAATGAAAATAAGTTAACTATCATAACCTTAATGATAAAATACATTCCTCCCATGGATTATACTGTTAATTTTATGTTTTGAGCGGAACAAATACATGTATTTGTTTACTTTTTTCAATCTATAAATTTTACAACAATATTTCAGACAATTCAAAAACTGAAATTTAAGAGAAAATAAAATGACATACTGTCTGACTTCCTAACATGCTCTTCAAGTATACAGTGCTCCATTATCCTATTCATATGGTCTATAAATTAGCAAACTTTAAAGATTCTTCTGATTAAACAAACATCAATCAATCAAACAAACAGCAAAGACCACTGAACTGCTCAGGTCCATGATCTGTTATGAATTCTGTATATATGGTATAGGTTTATCATTCGTTCATCTTTTTTACTTTTTTTTGTTTGTTTGTTGAGCATCTTAATGCATTTACTCAGAATTATAAATTGACTTATATGTAAAGATTGAAATAGTCAAAAACTTAGATTTCTGTTACGTACATGTTCTAGACCACCAAAAAATCCCTATAAAATTGAGAATGGAAATGGGGAATGTGTCAAAGAGACAACAACCCGACCATAGAGCAGACAACAGCCGAAGGCCACCAATGGGTCTTCAATGCAGCGAGAAACTCCCGCACCCGGAGGCGTCCTTCAGCTGGCCCCTAAACAAATATGTATACTAGTTCAGTGATAATGGACGTCATACTAAACTCCAAATTATACACAAGAAACTAAAATTAAAAATGATACAAGACTAACAAAGGCCAGAGGCTCCTGACTTGGGACAGGCGCAAAAATGCGGCGGGGTTAAACATGTTTTTTGAGATCTCAACCCTCCCCCTATACCTCTAGCCAATAAAAAAAACAAACGTACAACAGTACGCACAGTAAAACTCAGTTTAAGAGAAGTCCGAGTCCGATGTCAGAATCGGAAACAAAAGAAAATAAACAAAATGACAATAATACATAAATAACAACAGACTACTAGCAGTTACGGACATGCCAGCTCCAGACCTCAATTAAACTGGTTGAAAGATTATGTCTTCATCATATGAATATCAGGCACAATCCCTCCTGTTAGGGGTTTAGTATTATACCATCATAAAATATATGAGAAGAACATAACCCGTGTCATGCCAACAACTGGTTTTAGAACATAGTATATATCAATTTTCTATGAATGTTTTTGGGTGAAAAATGCATTGTTTTTATCATTTTAGGAAATTGGTTTAAGAAACAGAAAGCATTCCATGCAACATCATGCTTGTTATGATTTAGAAATAGTTCTGAAAGAGGGGAGAGACTTGGTCATAAGAGACAGCAGTGGTAAGTGAAGGGCTGATAATTTGACAGACTGTGGATTCATTTATTTTCGTGGATACTAATTTTTGCGGATCAAGGAAACGTCGTATTTTTGAGATTTGATTACATGGTTTTTGCCAAAGTCTGCATACAAGCCTTTAGAAAATTTGTTCTTTGTTGAGCAAATAAATTAGTGGTTTATTTAGCACTCCACAGTTAGGTGTGTAGTTTCGCATTTTGGCCCCTGTGGATTTTTCAAATATGAAAGCTAGTGTCCAATAAAATTCATTTTTGGATAGTTGAGGATTAATACAGCTCTCATAGTGGGTTTATATGAGCATCAAGATTGTGTAATGTATGTATTATGGGCTGTTTTCTGTATGACAGTCAGTATTTTCATATCCATACCAGACATTGGTCTCAAAATTATTGTGATGTTTTTTCCGACTTTCTGTCGCACGAACTTTGTGATTCAATTTTAAGAAAAAATGAGGCGAAAGACACCCACTTTTTATTTAATCATTTGGTAGATTAATGTCAATAGTTTCAGAAAATGTATCACTCAAAGGGATTGAAATTCTAGTTTGAACCAAATTTTGGAGGACTATGTGACATTTTCATGTCCCTTTTTGCAATATTTTATGGTGAATAAATACAGAATGTTGCCGTGGTTCAATTTTAATTTTATTTCCTAACTGTGGAGTGCACCTTACCTATACCCACAAAATCACTAAAAATTGGTATCTCCCAAATTATAATGAATCCATAGTAAGACATTATAATAATTATTTTAACATAGAAAGTATCGTCATTTAATGAATATATCTGGTTTTGCCTACTCGGAATTTTAAACTAGATGTGATGTTTGTCCATTGTTAATTCTGGTTTATTGATAAAGGTTAATATTGTATATTATGCTCAAAAAGTTCTATGTAGTTTGCTTCCAAATCTTTTGACTTTGATAATACCTGAGCATACCTCATGTTGTTTATTCCAGAAACATGCCATGCACACATAATTTGGTCTTGTATGTATGAATTAGTATAGCAGTGCTTTAACCTAGTACAATATGTCATTTTGTTTGGGGTTATGTGAAGAAGAAGTACTATACTTGATATAAAATTTGATATCTGAATTCTCACACTAGTTTGTTAGTAACATGAAGATAGGTAGGCTTATGTAGCATCACAATGTGATTTGTTTTAAAGGTTGTCATAGGGGGCATTAAGTGTTACCCTTGTTCGTCTGTACGTCTGTACATATGTCCCAAAATTTATTTCCATTCTTTCACTTTAGTTTGCCTCAACCAAATGTTATGAATCTCGTACACAATGCTTATTACCACAAAACACAGATCAAGTTTGAATTTTGGTGGTGTCACTTTCACCTTTCTAGAGTTATGCCCTTTACAAAAGAAAAAGAATATCATTCATTGCCTTGATATATTATTTAAGTCTTCATGTCATAATAAAACACACAGAAAAATCAAATTTATATTTACTTAGAAACCAATTTAGAAAAGGGTGGACCTTGCTTTTTTTCAAGAGTTCAGGCCTTGTGGTCATAAAGATTTTCAAGCTTGATTATCATACTCACTCAGAAATCAACCAATCAAAATACTGGATTTGGTGTTTCAAGCACACTTTGTGTACTCCAAGCACTGAGTAAAGTTTTAACAGAGAGTCCAGGACTCGTGGATTTATTTTAGTGAGAACCCTGTATATAATGTGAAGCTCATTGTTTTAGATGTGTATGTCTAATCTGTTCTGGTTTTTTTTGCAGGTACCAGTGATCCATATGTAAAATTCAAAATAGGAAATAAAATGTTACATAAAAGTAAGACAGTGTTTAAAAACTTAAATCCACAATGGAATGAAACATTTCACCTGTTAATAGAGGACCTTTTCCAACCTGTACAGTTACAAGTATATGATTATGACCGGGGACGATTTGATGATCCTATGGGATCGGCTGATATTGATTTGTCTCTAATAGAACTGAATGAGTAAGTTTATCTGTTACATCAGTGATGATATTTTTAAACCTTAAGAGAAGATTTCTTGGATTCATTTTAGTGTTACACAGCATGCAAAACCCCCCACACTCCAGAAAAATATTCCAGAGGTCAATAAAGATAACAAGGAGTGAGTATTGCACAATTTATGAAAAAAAGATTAAATGTGTAGATAAATTAATTATTATATTTAAAAAAGAGAGATTTTGAAGTACCATCGTTTCAACATAGCATAATGAATAGCAAACTAATAACATATTATTTGAATAAGATTTGAAATAACAAATTAAGTCCTAATGCTACCACTATTTAGGCATTTGAGTGTTTGTTTGATTGTTGCTTGCATATCATCCAGTGACAAATATTTCATGCATATTCAGAGAGAGAACAAATTAACAGTAAATGCAAGGTAGGTTCTATAAAGTTGGTCTACCCAGATGAAGGGCATGATCTTTTGACTGACAATTAGATAAAGGCAAAAATTTTACCTTGCTACAGGCCCACCTTCAGACCCCTCAAATGGTTGTTACAAATTATGATTCTTCCTTATAACTTAACAAAATAAACATGTCAGTATAAATCTAAGGAAATAAAGATACATAGAAAGCTAGTGTAAGAACTAATTGTAATAGAAGTGAGTGTTGGGTCACATTGTATTTGTATTGATTGATGATCATAGTTTTCTGAGGAAGTATTTATTTCAATTTTACTTTCCTAAACAAATCAATCATTCAAATCCAGTATAACTTGGTATTGTCATAATATAACTTGTATAAGCTGTCCTGGTTTAACTATTGGAAATCTATAACTTACAGATTCCTGGTTTTTTGTACTGAGTTACAAAGATAGCTGCCATTTGTTTGTAGATCTGAATGGTTCAGTCAGTAATCACAAACAGAGATTTATTTATCAGCATGCTCCAGGTTTACAGAAAAGATTAATTCACTGTAGTGAAATATATAACCAAAGATGGGAGGCAATCCAAAATCTATTTGATTGATTAAACTGGAACTGGCTCATACACTGAAATAAAAACACCCCCTGGACTGCCTGGAGCAATTTTTAGTGTCAATGAAATTAAGTGTGAATTGCTATATTATTACATTTATAGAGATATAAGTTTAACTCAAATTCACAGTTTATTATTGTCATATTAGTGGCTTCAGATGATAAAGAAGCATGTGACAGTATACCCCTCTATCCAATGTCTATAAATTTTAGCAGTATCAGCACACTTTTGGCAAAGTAACATATTTTCAAAATGTATTACATGTTCTTGTTAATATGTCCTGATTTCCAAAATTCAATAACTTTTTAAAATCTTCATTTCAAGTGCAGATCTTAAATAGATATATTTCAAAATAAAATACTTATTGTGTCATTTTAACAATGTTTATAATTTCCTGTGCTCTTAGGCTGCATACGTCATTTCAGTTTTTAAGCTATACTATGAGGGTCTGGATGGGGTTTACAGAATAGAAAATAATGGCCAAAAAAGATAATGAATAAAATAAATGAGCTAAAAGAATGATAAGGTGCAAAATTATAAATATAACTGGAAAATAAAAGAATTAGGCAATAAAATACTGATTACAGGCAGAAATAAATGATGTCCAGAATAAAGAAATCATAAAATTACAGAAAAAATTCATAGTAAAATCAATTTCATGAGAATTTTAAAGAATAAGCATTAATTTTAAAGGAAAAGAAAAATGCCCTAAAAATTTAAATCATACAGAAATTATGGACCTCCCCTTCCAGACCCTCATACTATAGTCATAACTAAATCAATACATTTTGGACTGTGTGATAAGTGGCTAATTAAGTCATTTGCATATCTTTAATGTTCTTATCAAACATATATAACAAGTTGCTTTTCTTTAAAAAAAGAAATGCAATCGTAAACCCAAATGCTTGTTTGGCATTGAATATTAGATAATTGTTTTTTTTTTAGATAAGAGTTAGTTTCTAGGCTTATGTTCAAATACAAATGTGAAGAAATTCAATCAATTAATGATTATTTGTGCTTTAATAAAAAAAAGAAATGCAATACGTGAAACTAAATAGCTGTTTTTATTGGAATTTGAGATATGTTCATGGTTATTTGAACAATGGCTTGATATTGTTCATTATTAAGATCCTTACACCTGCTCTGCAAGGATTTTGTGATGCTTAGGGTAGTAAGCATTGGCATTTTTAAGTTGTGTGCTTTGTGCTCTTAAAAGTTTTAGATGACAAACCTCTTTAAAAACAAAAACTTTTTAAAACCTTTAACTCGATTTGAAGATATTTTTTTAATGTCCCTTTTTATTTTGATGTTTTCTTATATTTTAAATTGTGGGTCATGAAAAAAGGCCTGCAAGTTTAATTGTAAATATTTATAATTTGAATTGCACTGTATTCTCTTCACCTTGATGACCAAAACCAATTCATTAAGAAAGCTATTTACAGCCTAGACAAAACAGCTTACACCTTGTACTTATAAATAAACTAAATTGAAAACAACAAAACAACTAACATAATCAAACCTGAAATTATCACCGAATACCCATTTCTAAACATAAGTTTGTTTAAAGGCCACATTTATGAACTGTTGTAAGGTGTTCCTTTTTTTATTTGAACACGTTTTTTCATTAACTTTTATAGGGTGTCTTTTACATGGTAAAGTTACACTACTGTCTTATGGTATATATGTAAATTCTTTTAAAACAGGTGTATTCATAAGCACATGTCCCAAGTCAGAAGCATGTTGTTTAGTGGGGTTTTTTTTGGTGCAGTTCATATTTGCTTTTTGTTTCTGGTTTGAAGTTAAATTAGATTTGATTTTTCCTGTTTGAATTGTTTTATAACAGTGTCTTGGGGCCCCTAGTAGGATGCAGTTCAATGTGAGCCAAGCCTTTGTGTTGAAGGCTGTATTATAACCTATAATTGCTTACTTTGACTACACTGTGTCTTGATGGAGAGTTGTCTCATTGGTATTCCTACCACATTTAAAACAGATATTCCCTCTGACATTTGACAAATGCATTAGAAAAATCTAAATATTGAAATTGAACTGAAGTTGCCTTGTAGGTTTCTTATGTTGACCTATCCTTTTTCTCTCGTGCTGGATAGCGCCGATCTGCATTTCTATTGTGACAATTTTTTTTCTTTCAATTGCACCAGTTTTATACGAGAGCATGACATATGTAAGGTATCCTAAAGTATTTAACGACTAAAAAAACCCATTTAAAAACGTAATTATAATAGAAAAAAAAAATCATTAACCTCGCAAGATCTTTCTATGATTGTTTTTTAGTATTTATATTGTCTTTCTATTTTTTCCAAATTAGATTACTAAAAAATCATTTGAATAGGCTATTGTCTTCATTCGTAAAGTCTACATCTCACTCGACCTGCATGGACTTTCAATGTAGCCATTATGTCAACATATGGTAACAACAGGCGTCGCTCTATATAATCATGGAAGTATTATATTGACAGGAACTCCAACGAAAAATTAGTACATTCGCATCCCACTGATTTATTTAGGAAAATAAAAGGTTCCGACTCAGTTTTTCAAGTACGTGATAACTTCTTTGTGGGGTATCTGCGATGCCGCCTTCGCCTGTATAGTTTACAGAAACTGATCTTATCACGTGATCTGTTATCGAAGGTCTTATCTACCTACCAATGTAAATTAACACGGAAACTCCCGTGGCTAATTGCGAATCGCTACATGAATAACGCCACCTGTTTCTGTTCAATAATTAAAGACTACAGCTGAAACAATCTAAAAAATCGGTCCATATTTAACAGAATGACAAAAGAAAGTTAATTGTATTCGGAAAGAAGGTAATATTATTTTTATTTTTGTTTGATATGTTTTTATCACTGGAACTAGGAAATCGGGAAATATCCGGTTATGAAAATTACATGACTCTGAAGTAGAGTGTTTGCAGAAAATAATGTGATGCGCGTGTAGTGTGCCGGATGGTGCCGGATAACTCAAATTTTAAGTTAAAGATTGAAAACTTTAATCGAGTGTAACACAAATATTTATGGTTTTCTCTATCGTAAAATATCGTAAAATGTAATTTAACATATTTATAGAAAATGTTTTAAACACTAAGAGAGGTGGATAATTATACGCACGTGATGGCCTCTTCATATAGCATGTATCAGGTTATAACACCGATTACATGTACACCTTTTGAATAAATTCAAAAGTTTAAAACAACCTTCAACCTAGTCCGAGATTGCTCTGACGTCTGACGGACTTGTTTTGGGAAATAATGGCTTAATCTTAAATATTTCGATGCATTTAAAGAACTATCATAATGCTGGGTCCTAAGCAGTATATTCTTAAAATTTTATCATTAGAATTAACCAGTTTAGAATTAAATGTATTTGTAAAGGCTTAACATATCTGAAACATATTGCAGCGTTTGTTTAGAAATTTATAATATTTTGTTTTTGTTGAAATGCATGAAATATTTGACATCGGACTTTCAGTAACTAATGCGACAAGATATTTGTCAAAGTTAGCAGTAAACCTCAATTACACATGCAGATTACAACTCATGATGTGTTTCCTTACACAAGAAATTTATTAGAATTCAATATAAAAATTAGAAGATGTGATATGATTGCCAATGAGACTACTCTCCACCAGAGACCAAATGACATAGAAGTTTACAACTATGGGTCACCGTACAGCCTTTATCTTTTCTATTGAACAAGTTTCAGATTTACAAAAGCAATAAAACTCTTCAATATCTTCACCGATAATTTTTTCAAATTCTTCATCATCAAAATCGTGCACGTCCATACTGATTAGTGAAATATTTGTAAGTGACGATAGTTTATTAACATAGAAAACCTAGTAAAAAACTGTCAACTGCCAAATATTGGCATGGTCGTTAAATGTCATATCCTTGACATTTATGTATACATCCGGTTACTTCGGTAAATTCCGTAATTACGAGTATCCCGAAAACGTTGTTGAACCCATGCATCGATACGACTAATTGAAAAATGTCAAGTTAATTAACAGATACTTAACGATTTTGCGGCATCGCACTATAAACGTTTGAAATCGGTTTGTTGGAGTTCCTGTCAATATAATACTTCCATGATATAATTAAGATTCTCTCAGTATCAATTATAAATAATTTTATACTCACTTACTTTCTTGTTATCTAATTAATTAGTACAACAACCGATTTGTTTTTGCAACGCAACTTTAACATCACAGAGAAACACTTACAACCCATACACCGTACCTAGCTGTTATATAAAGACATCAGAGAAAGTTTAGTTTACACAGTTATGAGAACAGTTGACCAGGAGCTTTTAATTAATTAGATAACACGTTTACATCGGTACATTATCACAATGGTCACACAAAGCTCTGCTACTTGTGGTCAAAATTATAAAAATATAACATAAATAAAACAAACTTCAAAATTTCCTAAAATCTATTTTACATGCATAAAACCTAAGTATATATTATCCTGTCGTCTTTCAAAATCTCCTTGCACTATTTTACATTTTCGTATTTAATATATTAAAACCGAAAATTCATCATCTGATCGTTTTCAAGAAATAATAATTATTTTTTTTTATTTTGACGAACATTTTGAAGCCTTAATTACTACAGGTTAGATAATCTGTTCCCTGGCCCAGATAACTATAAATAGAAATTATTTTTTCTTATCTCTGCCTGCATCTGTCATCACTCGGTGTCTATAAATAGACATTTGATATCTTATCGCTGACCCTTTTAAGTCTGCTGAAATTGCATGCATGATTAATTTAAAGGTTGTGGATCATAATTAAAGCGGCACATTTAATTCGTTATTTCATTGCTTGAAGTATTATTTCTTTCATCTGCATGGTCAAATGTATTTTTTTTTAAATATATTTTAGATTTAGATTTCAGTTTTAGTTTTTTTTTTTCATATTCAATATCTATTTATTCACATTCTAATAACGAAAAAGGATCCAGATATACCTATAACAATCTGATTTGTTATTTTAATCAAGGAGGTTATATGACCTCCTTGTTTTTTAAAAAGGAAATAATGTTGCAACATTTAAACTAAGAAAATAACTGTATTTCAATTTGCAATGTACTTTCATAATTAATTTAAACGTTATTTTTAATAAACGATATTTTTTTCGAAAAATCCTCGTTTTTTTTACATCCATTCAAGGACGTATAATAGAATATATACGTCCTTGGTCTATTCTAGACGTAAAATTTTAATAAAGTGCAAGAAAGACTTCTTTTTAATTTCAGTATAAAAAAAACGAATTAGCCTGCTTTGTACATCAAGTACATCTTCCCTAGACTCAAAATCTTAAATGAAATGCTATTAATACTTCTTTTATAGATTTTAGTTTTAACGATTCTCGTTCCGAATATAAATCGCATTGTTTACATGAAATCTTATCTCATATCTAAACACAGCTGGTTTCAACGTTCGACTCTAATTAAAATAAGTACGCATATATGTAGGTAAATATTAGCAGCTTGTAATTGCGTGCAAGGAAGTATTCAAATGCTTATTAAAGTAGCTTGCATCATAATACATTTCGCATCATATGTAACATATCTCTATAGCAACTTTAAGATGCTAATGCTTATTCAACAGGTCAATTAATAAGCTATTGCGCATGTATATGAAAGGTGGTCATAGAAAGAACAGATGTATTCCGAATAACATCCGGTGTTCCGAAAGACTACGGACATCGTCCAATATATACTGCGTAAACCCTCAGGGGTTTACGCAATAATAGAATTTACATTAATAATATGTCTGTAGAGCTTAAATATATTTATGTTCAGTCAGCAATATTTTAGGCATATTTCGTAAGATATGGAATATATTTGCAATTAGTTACAATTAGCATGCAATTTGTTGTAATTTTAAAATGTGCTAATACCCTCCATTAGCATGTTTTTTCCCTTGATAAATGGGCTATCATTTTTGTTTTTATAAATTGATATATAGAAAACCTAGAATTTTACATGTTTAAAGTGATAATTCAGATTGCTGGAGATAATTGTAAATCAATCTAACCTCGTGAAATACGTAAAACCAACTAGCCCTGTGAAATACATATGTACTAAAATACAATTCACAGTCAAAAATTAACTTAAGTGTACTAAAATAATGAAAAACAAGTAGTTAAATTATGCTAATATACCTCATTCTTATGTTGTTGTATAAATGAATTCATGAGTATTAAATAATTGAGCGAATAGACTTCCATTTGAACCCAACAGCCTCCCCCACCCGTGATTGAGGGAATAGGCAAAAAACACAGATATAGGATTTGGGGGGGGGGGTCAAATTGAAATCTTGCCAATAAATAGACACTAATAATGGTAAATATTAACGCAATAATTTTAAGAAACAATATACATTAAAATAAGCAGCAAGTGACATTAACTGCTACATACTATATTTCAGACCGTCAGAATTAAAGCTAGAGTTATCAGATGGCGGTAAAGAAGAATATATGGGTTATCTTCTCCTGCAATGTACATTATCACCCAAAACATCCCCATCAACTCGGAAATCAGTAAGTATAGAAATAATGCACCAATTTGATGTGATTTTTTCCCCCATCACACATCATTGACCTAACCCTGTCCTGCTTCTTAACACTGAGTTAACCCATCTGTTACATACAAATATAGAAGGATTTGTTTATAATCAGAAAATCTGAATGAATTAGAAATTTCTTTCTGGAAAAAAACTGCCTCTGTGGTCTGATGGTAGTTTGCTCACTTGAAGTTCATTTGTTGTTGGATGTTTAAAACATCCATGCATCCATAATGATATGTATTAACTTATAAAGCTGGAGTTAAGATTAAGAATATATGCAGCTTCTCACTAAACTTTACGTCTTACAATGAATAGCATGATGATTGCCACTAGTGGAGAAGGAACACTAGAACTCCTAGAACATCACAGTTACCTCGGCAGGGTTTAATTTGATCCATCTTTAGTTAACTGTGAAGTGCTTTCTTGACTGTTTTTACTTTAACTTATGATTTTTGATTGTCTGTTTGGTATTCTCTCTTTCTTTTAATGACTATCAGTTTTGTAGGAAACATTGGAAAATATCTCTGTGTGATACATGCACTTCCTTGGAACAATTCAGTTGTGGTTGCAAACAGTTCGGTTTTGCATCAGAAAAAAACAAGAACTTTACTTTGTCTTTGAGGGACAAATGTAATAAAATAAATCAGGTCAAAGTTTATCTAGTAATTTTGTTTAGAACTGATCTCATTGGAGTATTCTGCATATTATCCAATCAAATTAGAATGTTACCTTCATAGTTCCTGTCTCAGTGTTGAAACAAATTCCACCAGTGTTTAATTGGACTGTTTTTGGAGTAGTACCCCCTTGTAGTTTGGATTCTTATCAAACAATTGAATTTTATAATTTCACTTGAAAAGTATAAAAATAGCAGAAAGGAAGTTTTTGACATTTTTTTTTTAATTTTAAGAGGAAGTTATCTAAAATCTTGTCAAGAATGGAAAGCTAAATATGACATAATAACTACTAATCCTTGTTCTGACTTACCTTTCTGAGTATACATTACAAGTGGAATTAACAGTTATAAGTTCTTTAAGACCTATATTGATCTGTAAATTTAGGATATAATCAGTTATTACTAAGTACAGGTGTAAAATAATGAATGTACAATGATTAGGAGGTAGAAAATACAAGAGAAATGTGTTTCGTCAGAATATGCTTACATCTGCTGCTAATAAGAAAACTATGATTCTGACCAAAGTGATGTCTTGTTATTAAATATTGATTTGGGTGACAGGTGTCTCTTACCTGTGTGTGTGTCATACACAACAATTTTCAATCTGTAGATTTCTCCTGAGCTAGACTTGTTTTAATTAGGTAAGCTTTAAGATATTAGATACATCTAAATATGAAAATAACATTTACAATTTTATCATTGTTTTAAATTTAGAAAAATAGATCAATAATGTAAGCAAAATAAATATAGATATCAGGGGCCAGCTGAAGCCCGCCTCCGGGTGTGGGATTTTGCCTTGTGCTGTTTTCTGCTCTTTGATTGGGTTGTTGTCTCTTTGACATATTCCCCGTTTCCGTTCTCTATTCTATATCTTCATAGATATCTGAAAGTCACATCTGTTTTCAGAAATATATGGTGGTATAATATGTTACTATTTCTATCATCTTATTTAACAAAACACAATTCCATCATGGACCAATTGATAAATGCATTAGTCCAAGGCTTCACTCAATTTTGATCACTTTAACATAGATTTCATTAGTCTCAGTCTGGAATATTTTCTCATGAAACCATGAAGATATATCAAAGAGTTTCAAAATAGCATTTCCTTTATACAGTACATTTCTTTTATTTGATTATTTGTTCAGCCTCATCTTCATTATATACCAGAGTTATTTTATAGTTAGGTTTTGGATGAAGGTCATTATTTCATTAGCACATGACAGTGCATCAGTTATTTAATTGCAAAAGTTTTATAGATCTATTGAAGTCATAGATTTAGAATATTTTGATTATTATGGCCCTTATTTTCTGCTTGTGGTTATATTTTACATTAAGGCTCAAACTGTTACAGGTTTTTGCAAACATTAGAGATTTTTTTTAATTTTTCAAGTGTTGTAATAATGAGTTAAAGATTGCATCTATGATTTTATCTGAATCAATAGCAACTGATCATCATGAATACAATAATTTAAAATTTATACATATACACTATGAAAACATAAACATATGAGTATGAGCAGTCTGTTGGGTTTTCTTTATGTAACAACAACCTAACAACTCATTGAAACCAAAAATGACAACTTAAGGGCATCATTCAAAAAATATTAAACCATTTCTGCATTTTTAAAATGTATAGTCAGTCAAAAGTAAAAATTTAATCTAAAAAAAGCACTTATTTGGTATTATATTTGAAAAAATCAATATGGTATCTTACTTTAATTTGTAATTTTATGTATTGAATCTTAATTTAACCCCTGTTATTTTCATAGTTCATTTTTGTTAAAATCGCAAATTTTGCAAATCCTTGCAAAAATAATTTTGTTTGTGTATCTTTGCAATTTTGAATCTGTTAAAAAGAATATGTAATGTGATGATAAAATAGTTACAAATGTACCATATATCAAACAGACAAAATTACAATGAAAATATTTAAGTGTAATAGAAATAAATCAAGATTTTTAGGAAAAGATTGGAAATGTTGATTTGCATGTAAATGATATAGAATTTGAGGAAAACAAACCACAAATCTTTATTAATTACTTAAGAAAGACATTATAGATATACATTTATATTAATTGTATACTTTCCAGAAGGCACAACGATGGGTATGTCCCTCACAAAGTTACTATCTCAAATTTTTTTTTAACTTTATTCTCTTGGACTATTTAAATGTTGTGTTCTTTACTTTCTGAGAAAAACATCAAGCACTTCATTTTAGAGAAAGGTAATCATAGTTTTTCTTCATATTTGATATATTTGATATTTATTGTAATATCAATGATAAATGTTTATACTTGAGGCATATCTAAACTTATGATAAAATTCAGTAGGATATACGAGTAGGACAAACATATTTTTAACAATATCTAATAATCAAAGTATTTATAAAAGTGACATTATTAGGAGATTTTTTCTTACTGACATTCCACGGATGAGCTACCGTCATTGTCTTAACTCACATTTCTATGCACTCAACTTTTAAATGTACTTTCTGTCTTATTTTTATTAAAGTTTGTTTTTAATAATACTTTTTATTTGATCTTAGATTTTGTATGAAATTCTATATAGCTAGACATGTATGTGTTTTTTTTGCCTTAAAAATAACTCTATAATGAAAAAGACTGGTATTATTAAGTAAATAATGACTTGCTGTCGATGTGACCTGCATAGGATGCTGTACATAAATGAACATTAAAGCATGAATTCAGTACACTCTAATCAATACGGTAACACCTTGAAATGTAAATCCTGCAAGATCAACTAGTTAGAATAAAGCATTATGCAAATTATCATAATATGATTATGCTTGCAGAAAATAGTGAAAATTAAAATTTTTAAGCCCAACATACAAAAGAAGGTCAGTTTATTCAGTTTCAGGTTAAAGTATGAGTTTATGGTAGGTTAGATCTTTGGTTTGGAGTAGTTTGTGTTCATGTCAGCTTGAAACTTTAATAGTACAAATGTTTTATTATAAATGGAACTTTTTAAGTATATGCTAAATTAGAGTTTTGACTCAGATTTTGCAGCTCACTAAACATGAGAGCATGGCATGGATGTATATTCTTGCTAAACACTCAATTTCTATCTGTTTGAAATGAAAAATAGTTAAGAACAATACACAGCAATGAAATGTGACAATCAGTATGACCATACATTCATAATCTTTAAAGTTAGCTAATTAATGCATGTAGAAAGATATGAAATTTTTTCTTGACTTTGTAGCTTAAAATGACACCATATTTTACATCATCACACCATATTATACTATTAGGATTTCTATTCTTAGATTATAGATCTTTTGCTATGTTTACTGTACTAGAAGTAAACAACAGTTGGGAAAGATTTTGAAAATTGGTTGTTATTCCTGATTCCTTTAATTTTTCACCTCACTAGAATGTCATGAAATTTTACATGAAGTTGGAGAAGAAACAGATAGTAACTTACAGAGCTGTTATTAAAACAACACACAGCTAAACATATATTAAACAAATGTGACTTAATGGAGACCTAATAAGAAGTATAACAATTTAAAATAGGAAATACATGTAGAATAACAGTAGATGTCTTCAGAGCTCCAGATAAGAATTCACAAATTGGGGTTTTTACCCACCATTTTTTTATGTAATTGGGTGATAAAGTTTTTTAATTGCATTATCAATTCCAATTCACCCCTCAAGCAAATATCAAATTGGGTTTTTTCACCACCAAGCTCCTTAATGTATTGGGTTTTTTCATCAACACAATATTGAATATTTAGGCATGTTATAATCACATTATATCAACCACAGATGTGTTTCCATCTTAAGTGTGTTTCTTTCTTTGTACTAGTATATGTGCTTAGCTGTTTTATTTGGTTTATTCACTGACGAGCAATTGTACGTTTAATTTGTGTTCTGTTTTAAACGTTCTGTCAGTTTTGTATTTTCTCAAAACTTATGTAAACTGCAGCTGGTGTCACTAGTTGGACAGTAACTAATTGCCTTTCTAGATCCCATATGATCACCCTACAGTTTATATACCAGTTGGGGTAGGTGTGGCTAAGTGTTTAGATGTTTATGTAATATATGTGAAATTTAGGTGCTGTAAGAAAGTTTTGCCAGTCCTTTCACCTATTTGCCAGATCTACTTTTTAATAAAAATAAAAAGTAGTTCCCAGATTTAAGATATACCCCCAAAGCCTTGAGATTTATAGGGTGGTTTAATGATGGAGACCACATTCAACTTAAATTTACAAATAATTCTGCAACATCAAGTAAATAAATGACAATGTTATACTGCACTTGCCAATAAGACAACTATCTTAAGCATCCAGAACAATTAGACCAAAACAAAGAAAGTGTCAAGCTGCATAATTTGACGTAAAAAACGGATATGTGTATTCATTCATCAACTAAAATGAAAAAAAAATAATATATAAACTGTTTTTGTTTAATTCAATTTGCATAAATCTGGGTTAAGTTGTCCCTTATCAGAACTTTTGGTTTCCGATGCTTTCCAACTACATATCATGTCATAATTGATTTGGCCTTTCACTTTTTCCAACTGATTTCGTTTTTGACGAAACCCCGTGTTTATCGTTCTATAGCAATGTTCTCGTTAAGGTACGCAAACACGCCCGTGCGTTCAATGGACGCTTCCTAAAATCACTAGCTGAGTCTTGTTATCATCATAACTTTCCCTCAGCTATCAAAAAGAAGCCGAAAACATGCTTCTATTCAATATTTTTATCGGACATTTACTTTCGTTTTAATCCATTGTATGTTATGATAAATCCCGAACAATTCGAAAAAATATGACAGCATGTCACACGCTAATTGGATAAACGCTGAGAAGATCGAAATGTTTTCATAAACACGTGTACTTTTTGAGCAACGGAAAATTCCAACAGGGACCCATTACAGCTACTTGATGCAAGGCTCTATTTTAAGAACGAAAGGACATTTCCAATTATAAATATTATAAAAATAGATTTACGCGACGACTGTAATCAGATAAGGGTAAATAACGCAAACGATAGCGAATAAAAGCGTTAAGAACTCATGGTTTTGGCATATAATTGGGTTTTCCTATGAATTAATTGGGTTATTGAACCCTGCAGTAAGCAATTGCATTGGGTTTTTAATTATTTGTATTGCGTGATCACGCAAATACGCAGCTTATCTGGAGCTCTGTGTCTTCATGTGACAAAAGTCTTATAAAACATGAAGTAAGCAGCATGACATTCTTATGTAATTTAATGTACCTTCATTATGATTCCCAGTTTAGTGTAGCCCTTTGAATTGTATATACAGAAAGCTTAAGTTGTATATATAGATGGCATAATTAATGAAAATTGTTTGTTGAGATAAACTTTGTAATTATTTTCAGTATTCACAGACTAGTCGAGCAAAGAGCACAAGGATGGGAGACGCAGCAAAAAAGATGAAAAACCAGATATGGACGGGAGTTGTTACAATAGTTCTAGTGGAGGGTAGTAACCTTATTGCTATGGATGACAATGGCTTTAGTGATCCTTATGTCAAATTCAAATTAGGAACAGAAAAATATAAAAGCAAGGTAAGTATTATTTTGAAATTAGTGTTATGAAAAAATCACTATTTATTTTGCTCTATTTGAAACCATAGATGAAATAACTTGAACATATGCAGCATATCTGATTGTAACCATGGATTAGAAGAGAAAATAAGATATATAGTCCAGTTATCATAGTTACTTTGAATTTTGATTGGTCAAGACTGGCCATATAACACAGAACAAAACGTTGACCCATCTATAATCCCTTGTGCTATACTTGTCTTTCAATTTCTTATGACTACTGAATTCTTCAGATTCTTGAAGTCCAATTCATCATATTTATATCATATAATATACAAAATATATGAAACACCTACCTAAAAACTTCTATTTATCTGAAGAATATGTGATGTGAAAAAACTCATTCAGTATTTATATTTCATGCTGTCAGCATTTTTATTTGTATTCCTGCACCTTCGTTGTCCTAAGCTCTTCATTAAATCCCATATCACTGTTTAGTGATGTCATATGTGTTTGATATAGTCTTGATAACTGACCAGACCTATCATTGACTTCATATTTAACCAGACATTTTTAGTCCTCTACCGACGAAGTCGAAGGGGACTTTAGGTTTGCACTCCGTCCGTCTGTCTATCTGTCCGTCCGTCAGTTCTGGGAAATCAGTTTTCCACACTTTTTTTCGTCGTGCTAGAAGATATTGATTTGATATTTGGTGTATTGTTTTATCATGACAAGTTACAGATCAAGTTGGAATTTTGTTCCGGTCTGATGATTTTGTGCAGAGTTATGGTCCTTGGACTTAAAAAATTCACTTAAATAATCAGTTTTCCACTTTTTTCGTCATGCTTGAAGATATTGATTGATAATTGGTATATAGTTTTATCATTACAAGTTACAGATCAAGTTTGAATTTTATTCCTGTCTGATGATTTTGTGCAGAGTTATGGTCCTTGGACTTAAAAAATTCACTTAAATAATCAGTTTTCCACACTTTTTTTCGTCATGCTTGAAGATATTTTTTGATATTTGTTATATAGTTTACACAATGACAAGTTATAGATCAAGTTAGCATTTTGTTCCAGTACATTGAATTTTTATACGACCGCAAAAAATTTTGCAGTCGTATATTGGTATCACGTCGTCGTTGACATCCGAAGACATTTGGTTTCCGGACAATAACTTTAGTATAAGTAAATTGAAATCTATGAAATTTAAACACAAGGTTTATAACCACAAAAAGAAGGTTGGGATTGATTTTGGGGGTTATGGTCCTAACAGTTTAGGAATTAGGGGCCAAAAAAGGGCCCAAAAAAGCATTTTTCTAGTTTCCAGACAATAACTTGTGGAACAGTGTATGAATCTCTCTGAAATTATACCACAAGTTTCCATACCACAAAGGGATGGTTAGGATTGACTTTGGGGGGTTATGGCTCAAACCGTTTAGGAATTAGGGGTAAAAAAGGGGGAAAAACAAGGGTTTCTTGGTTAATGGACAATTTAAAAGCAGTGTAAGGGAGGTAATCCAAACACATTTAAAGTACAATGTTGTGTATGTTTGGATTACCTCCCTTACACTGCTTTTAAATTATGTAAAAAGAAATGTTGTATTGTCTTGAGGTGATTAGCTGTCAATTTATTTTTAGAAGTTTCTATTAAAGGAATATCAATTTTAGCCATGATTATGTATGTCATTTTCTATTTTAAGACTTTTATGATGTATTTAATTGGTAATTATGGTTGCAAACTCCATTGGAAATTTGAATTGAGATTATGACCATATCTTGAGGGAAAGAATTTTTTTTTTGGAAAAAGGGGGAGGGAGGTGAAAAAAAAATTGGGGGGGGGGCAATTTTTTCTCATTTCAGATTTCAGAAATTAAAAAAAGAAAATTTCTTCAAATATTATTTATTTTTTGCAAAAATTTTTTTTGGGGGTCAATTTGCAACAGCATAGTGTATTGCACAAAAGCAAAAATAAGGGGGGGGGGGAGTAATTTTTTTTTTGTTTGGGGGGGGGGGGGGGGGGGTCAATTCGCAACAGCATAGTGTATTGAACAAAAGCAAAAAATTGAATATAAATTCAAATCATATAAATAAGTTCTTTGACTACAGTTATTCTGTGTCAGAAACCTATTATGTGTCAAATATTTAATTATAATCCAAATTTAGACCTGTATTGAGTGCGAATATTGTGTCCATTTTTGCCCCAACTGTTCAGGGTTGGACCTTTGCTGTCGTATCCAGCTGCGCTCAGCGAAGCATTTTATTAACTGGTAGGGGACTATGTATTGCCATGCAATACTCGCAGAATGCTTGTTAATTTTGATATAGAATTTACACTATATAGAACCTTTTTGAGCTCATTCACTACATTCATTTGCCAAACCCTTCATATTTTGACTCTTAGTTTAATACAATATTAATATGAAGAAAAACCTGATGATTGGTAATGATGATGTAATTTTGTTTCTTAGTGGTCATTTTTTTTTAAAACTTGAATTTGAAATTGATGTTTCTTTCATAAAATTGAAAAATACAATACATTATATCTTAAAAGAAACTTATGTATGGGTATTTCAATTGTTTAAAAAAATCTAAACCCAATGAAATACTTGACATCCAGCTTTTTAAGATGGTTCTTAGCATCCTTTTCCAAAAAACCTTCATATTTTAACTCACATGCAGTTACAATATCAGTATCCTGAAAACATGATGATTGGTACATATGATGTCATTATGTTTCTGAGTTGTCTACAGCTTTGTTTCTACAGTAAGAACTTGAATTAAAATTGAAGATTCTTCCATAAAAACTGAAAATACAATACATTATATCCTAAAAAAAACCTTTTGTTTTGAGAAAGGTGATGGTTATTACACCTTTATTAAAAATAGCTTAATAATTCATGAAAAGTTTTTATCTTGTAGCTATGTCATTATATATTGTATTACCAATTCAACAAGGATGTCAGTATGAATAATGAAAAAAAAATACTTCTTTCCATTTAATTATGAAAATATGTCAACCCTGGAAAAAGCTCTGCCTTCTAGGGACATGACTTTTTTTTTTTAAAAAATTGTCATATTTCCCTAATGAAAAGAACGTATAGTTACATAGAATTTACATATTTTTTTTTCCATTTAATAACAGAACATGATAAGTTTATAAATTGATCATTTTAATTATTGATATGTTGTAATCCCTTGATATTGATATTTTCTATTTGATCATAGAATATGATCTGTAATGTTCTTTAATTGTTCTCCAAATGCCAGTATTATGATAAGAATGCAATATGACTTATCGTTGTATAAATCAAATGGAATAAAATAGTTCTATAGAGTTAGGTACACCAGACTAGGATATGTTAAATTGGTGATGAAAATTATTTATAACACATAGAACACAGACTTAAACCAACAAAGAGATAATGTATAGTGTGAAGAAGTTACCCATGAGAGAAGTTATCGCTTTTTTAGTCATTATTTCTTGGAATGAATGTCATTTGGGTCCCAGTACTTATAGTAATAATTCAGTGTTATTTATTCAGTTCAATAAGGGATTTTCTTATTACTGTCAAACATGAAAATGAAAGGTCCTTTGTGGTCAAATATTGTGGAATCACTGTAAAAGTTCCTATATATAGCCATACATTGAAGTGGAATAATTATAAGTTATAAACAGAGCTAAATTAAATTACCGAATGTTTGCTTTTGACAATCTAACCATGAAAATCAGTCCGACTCTAAATATTTTTATTGCATTTTAGTTTCAAAATTTATTTTTTTATCCTGATTATGCCTGTTCTTTAAGAAGTGCTCATTTTCACTTCATTGTAAAATAAAACTATTTGTCTTATGTAACTAATGTCAGAGTCTGAGTCTAAAAAGGTAAACTAAAGATATAATGTTTCAGGACCAGTGAACAGAGAGGAAGATACTGTTAACCAACTTATTTTGGTGGATACTTAAATTTTGCATTAGACCCTTTATAGCCAACCTCATGTTGATTTATTTTAGCTATTTTTCTTGATGTTTTATATAAGGGACGATCTAAGTTTTATATATGCACGATATTGACAACATAACTTGCTACAGTATGAATTCAAACAGTGCAATGTGCACTCAGGACATCTGGGGAATTATGATAACAAAACTATAATTTTTAATGTATATTTTAGGTTGTTTCGGTAGGTGTGAATTTGTTTTTATTATTATTTGATTATGCTTAATTTCATAGTTTGAAATAGTTATAAGAAAGGTTATGAAATCACCTGGGAAAGCTTTTAAGATAGATTTGCTTTCCTGTAAAAATCTTCGTTTTTTTCAGCATTATTACAGCAAAGTTGTTGGATTTTGTAATTTTTAGTAGCCTTTCCAACAAAGATGCAATGTTTAGCTCCTATCTTATGCTTTAATCCCTTTCCCTTCCTTATAATTTAATTGAAAGGTGTAGGGTGGCTGAATAGGTATATACCATTGGTTTTTTAGATATCATGAAATGTTTTCATGAAATATAAACATTTTCATGTTATGTGTAAATTTTTATCACAAAACACCTCTGACAGCCTAGTCCATGTATTATATACAGTTGTCTTGACAAGAATATTTCTAGTTACATAGCAGTAATAAATTATTATTTTCTCTTTTCTCTTGTTGAAATTATAATTACTCAGGTCTAACATCTTGATTCAGGTGTTTAAAGATTTACAGGAGTTCTGCTTCAGAAATTTTGTTTTCAACAGCTTGGTAACATTTAAATTGAACTGCAAGCAATATGGACAATCTTTATAGAATTTTGCAGTTGTCATGGTTTTGATTTAATCATAGTACATGTTCAAATCTATGAAAAGGATATGCAAGTGGTTGAGTTTTTAGTTTAAGGGTTTTAATGGAGTATTTAATCTATGAAAAGACCAATAATAATTTAACATTGTCTGTCAATTTCTAAATCAATTTTCTTATCTTATTACTTTGAACTGTATGTTTTCATTTTCAGCATAAATTAAAAACATTAAATCCACGTTGGTTGGAACAGTTTGACCTAAGAATGTTTGATGACCAATCAAATTTGTTAGAACTCTCTGTGTATGACCATGATTCCAGAGGAAGGGATGACTTTATGGGCAGGTAATAGAACTTACTGACCTAATGTATATGCTGATTTGAAAACAATAAGAATTTTTTTCATTGATCATTGATTCATCAGAATACTTCTATTAGCTTTCCTGAACCATAGGTCCAGTGTGAGTTGTTGCCATCAATTTCTGTCCATTGTCTGTCGTCCATCGTTTGTTAATGTTTACACTTCTTTTCTGAAACTACTAGACCAATTGCAACAAAACATTCTTTAAAATTTGTATTGGATGAACCCACAGGCAGTTATGGTTTAAAATTGAACGTAGGTGTAAAATGGAAATGATCATCTATTATCTTGAAAATCATAATAGATTTTACTCATATCGAAACACAAGCAAACTTATAGAAATGACAAAATCACTTGGAAACAAGGTTGCTTAGTATATTGAATCAATTATTATTCTGTTTCATAATGCCTTGTGTATAGGTTGTAGTATCTCATCAATTATATTTCAAGAAATATGTAGGAAGTTAAGAAAGAAATATGTTTGGATGCATAAAAAAAAATTCTATAGTTGCATATTAATCATGTCTTCAAATGATAGATTGGTCTTCATGGAATTGTCTGGGTGTGTTAGTTTGTATCATACATCCATCATTAGACATTATTTCACTGCAGTTCAATCAATAGACACTATTTGACTGCAGATGTAAATTACTATGGAATCCTTAAAATATCTGCTTTCAAATAAATTCTTCTAAATTTTTATGTATGATCCTAAAGAAGGAAAACGATACCGATTGCCATGCATTGTAAACATCTCTGACAATTGATAAAGTTTGAAGTGGCTTTTACAAACTAAATTAGTGATGAGATTTTATTTTAATAAGATCTGATAACCTTGCATGATGCAGAATCATTATATTGGATACGTTATTGATTTTTATTGTATTAACTGATTTAATTTTTATTTCTTAATAGATTACCATATCAAAACTTATTCCACTGTAGAGTTTTCTACCTATTTTAGACAAATTCCTTGATCAGAGTAAAAATAAATCATGATAGAAAATTATTGACTTATATCTGAGTTGAAGTTGCTTAGCAAATGTAGCTAGCCCCTTATAGGTGCTTTAGGAAATGAGAGGCAACACATTCTTTGATGTAATGATTGATTGATTGTTGGTTGCTTAATTTCAGTACTTTGATGTAATGCTATGCCAGTCAGTAACTAAGGTCGTCCTATTAATCTGTTCATTTAACATATTTCAACATACTGCACCAACTAAGAAGAGGACCAAACTTGACTGCATATCAGGCCTTAAAAAAAATTGAGCCAGCTGGACAATTTTCAATCCTGTTTATAATCTTTTTTACCTTTCTAACAAAAGGCAACCAAGGAAATAATTGGACAATGACTGACATAAAACCAATGACTATATACTGACTGAATAAGTGTGCCTGTTCTAGGGAAAATGTCAAGTCAAAAACAGAACAAGACAGGTCAATTTTCTTCAGTCCGGAAAATATAACCATTTTGGAAGCCATGCTGCTTATGTAATAATCACAGTACATGCAGTGCTTCTGCACAACCTGTGCATGTTAAATATATTAGGGAACAAAACATTTCCTGGCACTGAGGTTCATATAGGTGTTTATAATGTGTCCAAAATAGAATTTAGCAAAACTGATGTCCATCCATATACATGTATATTTTTTTCCAGTTTGCTTCAGTCCATTCACTTTTTATAAATATCATTACGTAATGTGTCATTTAACCTGAGTGCCTTTTATTATCTATGTTATGCCTATACCAATAACTATTAATTCTGCTCTCAATGAAATTCAGAAATTATCATAAGTATGTATACATTTAGTAATCACCAGACCATGTCTTCTGTGGAATTTGTTAAGCAGGCTTCCATTTCAGCATCATTTTCAGTTACATGTATATTGCGTTGGTTTTTTCTTCTCAATATATTGTATTGCTGCTTTTGGCTGTGCATGCTTTTTTGATTCATTTGATGGTAAATATTTGTGTTAATGCTACGATTGAAATGTATTTAGTGCAGTAATGCAAACCAGTAAATAATGCCAAGATAGCCAAATTTTAGATCTTGTCATTATTATTTAGATTTGTTTGTTTGTTGGTGTTTAACAACATATCATGATGGCTAGATATTAATCATTGAGGAAGTCGGAATGCCAACCAATACTTTTGTCACACTTTTCTAAAACTTCTATAACACAAATGATTTCATATTTGGTCATCAGGTTTGACTGTGATGAGTTGTAAAGTGTGTGTGACTATCTGATTTGTTAGACACCAATTCCTCTTCTCTTCTACTTTGATTTACAAGTTGGGGGTATACTTAGCATGACAATGCAGGCTTATATTTACAATTGCAGAGGCATTCTTGTTTTCCAATTGCAGGGGCCAAAAATTGGCTTTGATCATAATTACTCTTTTATATGCTTTTTGCTTATAATGATTGTTTTCTCATTCTGGAATTATTGCCAGGGCTTAAATCGTTCAAAATCTAACAGCATGTCTTGTTATAATCCAGGTGATGTCCAACTGCGACTCATTTCACAAAAAATCTTAGGAGAAAAATACTTGTAAGTCATGAATATTTCAGTATAACTTACGATTGATTTTAGTTTTAAGATTTTTTGTGAAAAGAGCCCCAGATCTTTATGAATTGTTAGAAAAATGTTTATTTCCATGAAGACAAGCTTTCTTTTTTATTTAGAAGATTAAACAAAATGTCATTTTTAAGTTATGGGACTTTGGCAAATAATAAGCCATTTATGTGTGTCTTACAGTTTTCAATATAAAGGAGATGAGTGTATCGCACACTTGTGGTGCAGCTGTTATGCTACAAATGTACAAGTGATCATGTGTTACACAAACAAGTTAATAATATATGTACCGACTTTACATACATACAAGTATGAATTATCTATTTAGCAATGCATCCATCCCAATTAAAGAGTCGTTAACCTTAACTGTTGAACTATTAAATAAGCAAAAGTTAACAATACTTGCAGATGAAAAAGTGAGAAGATAATACTGTACTGGTTATTGTCTAATGGTCTGGAAATAACTTTCACTTCTTTTCTTACAAAATATGTAAATTGCACCAAATCAATATCAAACAAAAGAAAATTTATCATGAAAAACTGCAGATGAAAATGAAAGTATTGTATCTGTTATTCAAGAGAAAACACATGTAAGTGCATGTAAGACTTAAATCCTTTTAGCAGTAATTGAAAATGAAAAATACAACACTTAAAAGTGCAGATGAAAACAAAAGTCCTGTGATTATGACTCTCAAGAAGATTTTAGTCATTACATTAGAATTTGTATTCTAATCTTGTTGACAATAAAGCACTTAATGCTTGAAGAGGTCTAACTAGTTCAGAATTAATACAAAAATCAATTTGAAATAATTTCCTGTAGGTTGTGTCTAGGATTGATACCTCCCAGAAGAATTATCCATTTTATTCTGATGATTGTAACACTTTGCTGTCCATTCATGGAGAAATGGTTAGAAATGTTAATTGCACTATCCATCAGCTTCTCTTTTCATCTGGCACCTAAATGGATGTTAGATAGCCATTAGTGATTATCTAAGGCACTTTTGAATTTAAAGATGTCCAAGCCTGATACATTGATGAATACAAATGCTCTTTGATTGGATAAAACTTTTCATGATCAGAGAATTTTGTCACTGTGGTTGTTTTTTCTTATGCATATAAATGAAAATATCATCTTTCTGCATTTCATTTTGTATGCAACATTAGTTTTTTCATTTAGATTATAGAATTTTATATGCATGAGGTGATATTTTATTCCCCTTTTCCTATGTTTAAGACTGGAATGTATTTTATAACCAGTTGATATCCTGCATTCATGATGAAAAACAACAATGAAAGTGCTGTTCCTTTGCTTTTGGTTTTGTTAGTGCATGTAGATATTTTGTGTCTTGTTTTCATACTCTATATTCCTTCTTTTTAATTACATCAATAGTTTGTCTCTCTGCTGCGTGGAGGCCTTTGAAATGTTTCCCCCAGCTTGAGGTGTATGCTCCAATATTTTTACAGCCTATTCTTAGAAAACTTCTCTCATGTATACGACTTCAATTTTTTTGTTGATTTGTTTGTTTATAGAAATTGTTATACAGTCCATCAGAATTATTTGTCCTATTCATACATTGGTTCCTGCCATGTCATCTTACAAATATTTTTATGTGCCGAGTTGTTGTCGTAATATTTGTTTTAATTATGTATTTTTGAAAGCCAGATTCTACAGCTAATTATTTGATAGATCTCTTTCCAGTGAGGTATAAGTGTTTGCTCCAAGTAGTGGGCCCATATTTGACTTTGAAATGAAGAACACCAATAAAATTGCTGTTCTTTTGCTTTTTTGTATGAATTTGATGTCATGAAAAAATACGTCTTATCCTTTCTTTTCCACTATTATGCTCCCCCAAATAAATTCTGGAACTTATAGTTGTTGCATTGTTCATCCATCTGTCTGTCCCTGGGTCATTAACAATTCTTTCTGTGTAAAATCTTGAGTTTCCCTTGCTTCATTTAAACAAAACTTATACCAATGGAGGATATGAGAAAAGGGAAGAAGCCTTTTGATTGATTTTGGGGTCAATATGTCAAAGTTCAAGGTTGTTATTACTGACAAAAGAAAGCTTCCAAGATAAAATGATGACTTTCCATTGCTCAATTTAAATAAAATTTATACCAATGAAAGATGTACTTGTAAAGGGGAAGACACTTTTTTGGTAAGGGTCAATAGTTCAGAGTTCAAGGTCACTGTTATTTGTAAAAAAATACAGAATTGGTGATAAATCAGTTTTTTTTACAAAAATAGTCAAATTTATGGTGTGATGTCTTTAAATTTTTGGTTTCTGGATAAAATCTCTAAGTACTGTATTTTATTTTGTAGGAATTTTTATATTTGGCTTGTGCCTCTCTGACAGGGTTAATGAAACCCCTGCCAAAATGTTAACAGGAAATGAGTGCAAAGGGTTTCTGTATATTAAGTTTCTAGAGCAAGCATGTTTAACATAAGAAAGCTTTATATATTAAAGTTTCACCAGAATCTAGAAGAAATCTCTTATAATAAAAACAGTTTTTGGATATTTCGATCAGCAATGTTATTAGTCATGTGGAATTACTAAAAAGGGAAAAATTCATAAAGCCTTTTATTTACTTTTTACGTATGTGTTTGTCAATATAGGAAATTACTCTTGCAATCAGGATAATAGTTATACTAAAATATATAGAAGACAAGGCTGGGTCCAAATCTGAAGTAAAATTCTTTTCAAATTGTTCTTCTGTTTTGCAGAGCTGTTATAGATTTATCAGGAATAGAAAAGGAAGTGACACACACAATAGACCAACCCTTAGAAGATGAGGGAGGTATCATTAAACTTCTGTTGACAATCAGTGGAACAGTTGGTACTGAAACAATCTCAGATCTGGCTAACTACACCTCAAATCCTAGGGAGAAAATAGAAATTGTTAGGAAATATGTAAGTATTTTATTCTTGCTCTTTTTCATGCAGTTTATACATAGTCTAACTACTATTCTATGCTTATCTAAAGTTAACTTTTGAAATATGTTGTTAATTCAAAAATTTGTACTTGCCACCACAAAAGTTTGCAGGGAAATGTTTTTCTTTTTATTGTCAAATTTTACAATTTCAGGGAACTACAAATTTCTTTAAAATAAGAAGCTTTTGCAACAACTTACATGCACATTACTGAAGTTAAATTAATCGGGTGGTCTAATATCTATTAATGAATGTTTTACTACACAGAAATATCTGACATTTAGGTACACATATTCAGTATTGGAAAGAAATGAAAAGCCAGATTTTGATTGAATGAGTGAAATGACTTTTATCAAGATTTTTCAGAGCTGTTTGTATTGAAAGGTCATTAAATAAATTAATAATTTCTTGTTTTTTTTTTAAATTTAGAAACCTTATATAAAAGCTATTAATTACATATTAATTATATATTTATTATACTTTGATATTATGTGTATAAAGATATTAAGTCATCTGTTAATGCTTTCTTTTCCTCCATTTTCAGGGTTTATTTAATTCCTTTAAAAATATAAAAGATATCGGTTGGTTGCAGATTAAAGGTTAGTAAAGGATTTATCTAAAGTGCAATTGATAGGAACAGATTTCTTCATTTACACATTCTGAGTGAGTGACCACTTGTCAGCTTTCAAGAAAATGCCTTGAAAAAGTTGTGAAAATATTTTAAGTGAACCAAAAGTTACATTGTTTGAACCAGACAGGGATTTTTTCTCTCTTTTGTAAGTTGCATCACCAGTTTATAAAAGAGCTGAGGTATGATTGCCAATGAGTTTAAATTACGTGGATGTAAGCAACTATATGTCACTGTATATCCTTCAACAATGAACAAAAACCATACTGTATAGTAAGCTCTTAAAGACCCCAACATAACAAAATGTGAAACAATCCATACGAGAAAACCAGCATCCTAGTTTATACTAGAAAATAAACAAATGTTAAAGACAGTAACCAATAACAACCGCATCAATTACAGGCTCCTTCTCATAAAGAATGTATCAGGGTTAAATATTTCTGTTGAAGCTATATTTGCTTACATCCACATCATTTGGTGGATAGTTGTCTCACTTCTCCTTATTTTAATATTGTGAGTGCTCAACCCTCCCATGGGATAGTGATGTTACAGCAGAGACCTAAGAGCAAACCGTTTAAAATAAGTTGGAAATGGCTTGACTCATTTGATTGGCATGAAGCACCAAAAAGACAAAAGACAAAATGTAATGAGTATTCACAGTTGCTATAAAGCTAGTTCAAAGTCAATTTCAACTAATAGATGATTCATGTACTACTAGTATTTTGTATTTTTGTAAGTCACTCATGAAAATATGACTTGAGGTAAAGGAAAATTTGTATAAGATAAATGCAGCTACACATTTTACAATTAAAGCTTTTTATTTTTCAGTATTTCGAGCTCAGGGACTTATTGCTGCAGATTTCGGTGGAACTAGTGATCCTTTTTGTGTTTTAGAATTAGACAATGCACGATTACAGACTCAAACGGAATACAAAACACTTAATCCTGAATGGAACAAAGTATTCACATTGTAAGTATATGGTGACCTGTAGTTGCTTAAATCCACGTCATTTAGACTTTGGTGCATAGTTGTTTATCAGGTTAAAGTTTTAGTTTAAGGTAGTATACCATGAAGTTATGTCATATCAACTTAAAACTTAGTACACATGTTTATTTAGTCATGAACTTTTTAAAATATATGCCAAATTAGGGTTTTGACTCAGATTTCTCAGTTATATATATATGGACATATATTCGTGTTTATTTTCAATTATGTGAGAAATAAGATAATATTGGTATTCCCTTTTACTATTCCTTCTTTTTCAGTAATGTTAAAGATATACACTCAATATTAGAAGTTACTGTTTATGATGAAGACCGAGATAAAAAAGTCGAATTTCTGGGAAAAATAGCCATTCCTTTGTTACGAGTAAGTATTACTTTCTGAATTAAACTACACTTCAGATTTATAGGCAATTCATATGACATGAAGCAGTCATAGGTTAAACATGATTGAGACAAACAACTAAACAATATTATTTTAATTGAAAGAGCAGGTGCCTATTGTGTTTAGTTTTCCCTATTTTTATGCCCCAACTACGATAGTAGAGGGGCATTGTGTTTTTCGGTCTGTGCGTCAGTTCGTTCATCCGTCCATCCGTCTGACTGTTCGTCCGTCTGTCCAGCTTCAGGTTAAAGTTTTTGGTCAAGGTAGTTTTTGATGAAGTTGAAGTCAAATCCACTTGAAACTTAGTACACATGTTCCCTATGATATGATCTTTCTAATTTTAATGCAAAATTAGAGTTTTGACCCCAATTTCATGGTCCACTGAACATAGAAAATGATAGTGCGAGTGCAGCATCTGTGTTACTATGGACACATTCTTGTTTAAAATGTAATTTGCACAACTACTTGAAACTTGTACACATATTTATCATGATGTAAACTTTTAAGATTATATGCCAAATTAGGGTTTTGACCCAGATTTCACAGTTCACTGGACAAGGAAAATTGATTGTGTGAGCAGAGAGCATGATGTTATGTACACATATCTCAACAACATTTATTCTTGTTGCAACTGTATTTATACCTAGCTAATGTGAGATATGAGCACCTTCACTTTTGTCACATTGGTTATCTCACACTAAAAACAAATATTGTGGAAGAAAGGAAACTTACTCTCTCAATAATAAATACTGTTGTATCCATAGGTAATTACCCAGTATAGTATGAACTTTACTTTTACAGATTAGATGTGGTGAGAAGAGATGGTATACTCTAAAGGATAAAAAGTTACTTAATAGAACTAAAGGTGCTATAATGTTGGAAATTGATGTAGTTTATAATCCGGTAAGAAGAGTTGTTTCAGTTTTTTGTTGAGCCTGTGACTTTGACACAGAAAGCTCGACATAGGGATAGTGATCCGTCGGCGGCGTTAACTAACTTCTTAAAAGCTTTATATTTTAGAAGGTGGAAGACCTGGATGCTTCATACTTTGTATATAGATGCCTTATGTTACGAAGTTTCGGTCTGTCACATGTCCATTGTCCTTGACCTCATTTTCATGGTTCAGTGACTACTTGGAAAAAAAGTTAATATTTTTTGTAATGTTAATTTCTCTCTTATTATGAGTAATAGGATAACTATATTTGGTATGTGCGTACCTTGCAAGGTCCTCATGCCCGTCAGACAGTTTTCACTTGACCTCGACCTCATTATATGGATCAGTGAACAAGGTTAAGTTTTGGTGGTCAAGTCCATATCTCAGATACTAGAAGCAATTGGTCTAGCATATTTGGTGTATGGAAAGGGTTGTAAGGTGTATATGCCCAACTGGCAGGTGTCATCTGACCTTGACCTCATTTTCATGGTTCAGTGGTTATAGTTAAGTTTTTGTGTTTTGGTCTGTTTTTCTTAAACTGTATGCAATAGGTATACTATATTTGGTGTATTGAATGATTGTATGGTGTACATGTCCAACTGGCAGGTGTCATCTGACCTTGGCTTCATTTTCATGGCTCAGTGGTCAAAAAGTAAAGTTTTTGAGTTTTGGTCTTTTTTTCTAATACTATATGCAATAGGTCAAATATATTTGGTGTATGGAAATATTTTATGATGTACATGTCAGTCTCGCAGGTTTATTTGACCTTGACCTCATTTTCACGGTTCATTACTCAGTGTTAAGTTTTTGTGTTTTGGTCTGTTTTTCTTAAACTATAAGCAATAGGTCAACTTTATTTGTTGTATGGAAGGATTGTAAGCTGTATATGTCTGTCTGGCAGGTATCATCTGACCTTGACCTCATTTTGGTGGTTCATTGGTCAATGTTAAGTTTTCTTTGCTAAGTTTGTTTCTTAGATACTATAAGCAATAGGTCAACTATATTTAATGCATAGATTGATTGTAAGGTGTACATGTCTGCCTGGCATGATTCATCTGACCTTGACCTCATTTTCATGGTACATTGGTCAATCATGAATGTTTAGTTTTCTTGGTTAAGTCTGTTTCTTAGAAACTATAAGCAATAGGTCAACTATATTTAGTGAATTGAATGATTGTAAGGTGTACATGTATTTCTCGTTTGGTTTATCTGACATTGACCTCATTTTCTTTGATCATGTTAAGTTTATGTGATAGTTGTAGTAAAGCTTTATATTTAGGACTATCAACATAATATCAATGGTTAGTAAAGAAGGCGAGACATTTCAGCGTGTGCACTCTTGTTTTTACATGCTACTTTCTTCTCATTCATACAATTTCAAGGCAGTGGTATATTTAAATGCTTACATTTCTAGTGTAACCTCTGTAATGTCCTAAAAAACACAGGGGATCCCTGGGTAAAGAAATTAGTTTCTCCTAATGAGGGATACCTAGTGTCCTTGAATGATTGGTAGCTTAGTTGTAAATGTATTTAAATAGAGCAACTGTTCAGGGAAATATTAAACAAATCCTATCTCATAAGGATCTTCATTTTACAAATCACAGTTGTATTTGAAGTCTTGAAATAAAACTTGTAGAAGGGATCACAAATTTTCAAATGTAAATTTGATTGTATACTAAATCTTCAGATAGAGAGAATAACCCAGTAGAGAATATATACACTACATTACTCCGACCCCAAATTAAAATATAATAATGTATTGTTCATTGATTTTAGAAAATAACTAAATATCAAGCAAATAGCCATTGCCCAGGAATCCAGTCAGAAATTGTTCTGTTATATTTCTATAAGCCTTTTCAGTGACAGCTTACTTTCAGTTTTCTATAGTGAAAACAAAAAAACTAGTTGTGTTTTTTATTCTAACTCTTTATCTAGGAATATTATTATAAAAACTTTGAAATGCCTTGTCTGAGTGTTTCTGTGAAAGGAATCATACATTTTATCTTTTTGATTTTGTAGTTAAAAAGTGCAATTAGAACAGTAAACCCTAGAGAAGAGAAATATATGAAACCAGAACCAAAGTTTAAAATAGCCGTAAGTTTTTTAGTTTAAAGAACATTTTATACCTTTTTAGCTCACCTTTCCAAAGGAAATGTGAGCTTTTGCCATCACTTGGCGTCCGTCTTCGTCGTCTGTCCGGTGTACACTATTGAACCAATTCCTACCAAACTTAAGCTAAATGATCCTTAGGGTATTTAGAATAAAGTTTGTGTTTTATTTTCTGTTTCGTCAAAAAACATGGCACCATGGCTAAAAATAGAACATAAGGTAAAAGGCAGTTTTTGACTTGTATCTCAAAAACTAAAGCATTTAGAGCAAATCAGATAAGAATTTAAGTATTCATTAGGTCAAGGTCTACCTGCCCTGAAATTATCAGCCAAATTGGGTATCTGATTTTTAGGTTATTGCCCCTGAATTGATGATTTTAAGGAAATTTTGCAGTTTTCAGTTATTATCTTGAATATTATTATAGATAAAGATAAACTGTAAACAGAAAAAATGTTCAGCAAAGAAAGATCTACAGATAAGTTTAATGACCAAAATTGTCAATTGACCCCTTAAGGAGTTATTGCCCTTTAAAGACAATTTTTCACAATGTGTTTATCTAGTTTGCTTACTTTAAAAATCTTCTCCTCTGAAACTGCTGAATCAATTTCAGCCAAACTTGGGCTGAATGAGTTTCAGAGTATCTTGTATAAATTTTGTATTTAATATCCTTGTACGTCAAGAAACATAGCCACTATGGCTAAAATGGAACATAGGGGTAAAATGCATTTTTTTGCTTTTGAAGAAAATATGACAGATACAAAGAACATTTAAATGGCATTTTTAAGCCACCCATAAATATATAATGAAAATTAAAAATAATTATTGATGAAAGATTTAAGCAAAAATTACAGGTGAGCGATTCAGGCTCTTGAGAGCCTCTTGTTATAATTAAAAAATATTTGAAGTAAGTTGTAGATTTTGATTACAGTTTGCATAAATCAAAAGCATTTTTATATAGAATTAATGAAATTTGAATGTCCATTGAACAACATTCAAATGGAAATTTCTCTGATTTAAATAACCAATGATTAATATGATTGAGAGATAACTAAAATTAGTATGGTTAAGTGGCTTTTATGATATCTTTTTGGGTGTTTCATAAATTTGACACAAATTTATTCGACAGAAAATTGAATTTTTCAGACAATGAAGAGGAACATAGCTAGAGTAACACAGATGGTATCATCATTTACAGAAGTTGGAAAATTTCTACAGAGTTGTTTCGAGTGGGAATCTAAACCCAGAACAATCACTGCCTTTATTGTAAGTTAAACAGAGTTATATCCCTTGGTTTAGAAATTTAATGAGTAAGTTTTAAATTTCAGCTAACTCAAGACCCATCAAAAGCCTAGCTGATCACCACTATCAGAGACTCAAATACCTATGCACTTGTCAAAATCTTTACAATTGTATAGGCCTTTCGTGTAGATAATGTAATCAAGTTGGTAAAATGGGGAAAGTTTTTTTCTCGGATAATGTCTTTAAATCTTAATCATTTATCTCCTCACATGTACTGTGAATAAATCACCTGAATGTTATAAATGATTTACTGTTTTATAGGTCTATCTTGTAGCGGTATGGTTTTTTGAGCCCTATATGCTACCAATAACATTATTACTGGTTTTCCTAAAGAATCTTGCCTTTTCTTCCATGCAAACTGCTTTTTCTACAGAACCAGCAGATGATGTAAGTATTTATGAATAAGAATAAAAATAAATTCCATTTCATTTCATTTACACAATTATCTGTCAGAGATGCTGTAAACACCATACCCACATAAAAGTTATCCTAGAATTGTGGACATTTCTGGTAAATGTTAATAAAACAGCTACCTAACAAAGGCAATTCAAATCATACATTTTGATGACACTAACCATGTTTCATAACAAACTAACAAAGGCAATTCAAATCATACATTTTGATGACACTAACCATGTTTCATACAAACAGACACTGACATATAAAAGGTTCCCCATTTCCTCAAGTCTTGACAATTTGTACCGGTAATTGATTTCATCAGAAACAATAAAAAGTCTTAAAGCAGCACAGAATTTTGTGCATAAGCTCTCTAAAAACAAAGACACAATGAGGATCAATGGTTTCTAATTTTAAACACAGTTTAGTAAATAACCCTTGATTTGCAGACAGCCATATATTTGTTATCCGTAATCCAGTGGTTTTCAGCTATACAGGAATTGAGATTTAATCACACCTGGATTAAGAAATGAACAGGAACCAAGGGTTTGGTATTTTATTTCAAAGGATTTAAGAATAAGAACCCTCCTACCATTCCTTAGAAGTAGAACAACTTGACATAACCAAATGTTTGATTTAAATAATAAGTATCATATGCTTTATAATGACTGTTAACATTTATCCTCATCTATTTGTTTGTAGTTATACGTAGATGAAGATGATGATGATGAGGACGATGAAACTAAATTGGAAAAGGTAGATAACTCTAGGATTGATAGAAAACTGATGATTGATATTCTTAGTGTAGTTATATGTTGTTATGTTAATTATGTTAATGATTACTTTATCTTTAACTTTTGAAAATTTTAAAGTCAGTGCATCAAGCAAAGGGTGTTTGGTTTATAAAGAATTAAAAAAAAAGAGATTTAGTACTCAAAACACAAACACAGGGAAAAAAGGTTTAAATTGTGTATTTCCTTAAAACTTAATTAATTAGGTCCTGGCTTGGATTTCATGAATCAGATTTTAATTTGAGCAGACAATTTGAAGTATATTTTAGTTACTTTTTATTAGGACTAAGACTTTATAGATATAAGAAGATGTGGTATGAGTGCCAATGAGACAACTCTCTATCCAAGTCAAAATTTGTAAAAGTAAACCATTATAGGTTGTTTCAGATTTTTTAAACTCAATGTACATATGTATCTTCACTTATGAATTACCTATAACAAGTGACTGTAGTTTTATATGCCTCATAACTATGAAAAATATATTGTTCTACTAAGAATGCTAGCTGTTTGAAGCATGTTAAATATGTAATCTCTTTGAGATGATTGAATTAACCCAAAGTTTTGATCACCAAAAACATCTTGTCACCATTACTGTTGTATAAATGTCGTAGGTGTATTGTATATTGGTTGTCACCATTACTGTTGTATAAATGTCGTAGGTCTATTGTATATTGGTTGGGGAACTTATAAAGAATGAAGGTGCATGACAAATTATTAACAAAAAAACTTGTATGTTGGATCCTTTTCATGTTAGATGTGATACTATAAACCAGGGGTATTTTTTTCTGTTTTGAATGACATAAGTGGCTTTTGTTATCAATGTGTACGTCATGCACTGAAAAGGTGCTGATTTGTTTTTAAAAAAAAAAATTCTCCAAGTAATCCCAAGATTTCTGTTTGCAAAAGTTATATGAGGACAAAAAGTCCTCAATAACACAAAGGAAAACTATAAAAATAGTCAATATACTAGTGAATCTAAAACTATAAAAATAGTCAATATACTAGTGAATCTAAAACTATAAAAATAGTCAATATACTAGTGAATCTAAAACTATAAAAATAGTCAATATACTAGTGAATCTAAAGCTTTCAATTTACTGGGTAAGTTTTCTGTCTTTCGCTTTTCTGGACTTTGCCTAAAACATTATCAAAGAGCACTTGAATTCCCACTGATAGTATAATGCCATGCATTCTTAAGACAGCTTTAGCAAAAACAATTTTCTGTTTCTATGAGCTATTAAATGACAATTTTTTTATATTTAGTAAATCTTCATGAAAGTTTTGACTTTATTGTTACATTTTCTTGGAAACAAGATGTTAGAATGAAGGACACTCTTAGGTTAACAATATATAGGTTTTAAAGGATTAACATTTTCTTGTTTTTTTTTATTTGCAGAAAAAGGTAAATTAATTTCTTCAGGTAGTTTACACCTGTCTGCACCTCAACTTTCTAACAACGATTTGATTACATGGTTATAATTTCCCAGACAAAACAGTTTATTCAGGGACATTTTACTTCTTACATGATGAAAGTTCTTTAAAAACAAATAACTATAGTTTTTGGATGTTGATGGAGAGCTTTTACTTAAAAATGATTGCCACATTTAAAATTTGCCAATTTTAGTATTTTGGGAATTTTATTATCATAAATGATGTGTACTTTTGAAAGGATGTACAATTCATAAATTATATATAGACACTAAACAGCATTTCCAAATTTTATTTTCCATAGATATGTCCTGAATAACTGTTTAAAGAACTGTTTCCTGTATTTGCGTCTGGTTTATTGACATTTTAACCATTTGAGCTGGGGTTTGCTTAATAATTCTGCTTTATAGTAATATCTCACTTTTCACCCAATCTTTTCCTAAAACTATTTATAGTAAAATCACTCTCTTTCTCTGCTGAATGGTGTTTCTCACTCATTACTATATCATAAATCATAAAACATAAAAATGACAAAAGTGAAATGTTGAAGGCAGGCTCTAAAGGGGTTCAAGTGTAAGTTATTGGACTGAAAAAGGTGGTTCAGTGATGTATGAAATATGTGTACATGAAAACAATTTCCCAGAAAATTCCAGTATCACAAGAGGAAATATTTGACGACATTGATAAAAAGTGATTATTCTAATGATCTAACTGAGGTCAAATGAGAATGTAGGATTTTCAGAAAGGGGGTTCAGATCTCTAGGAAAACAAGGTACTGTGGATTCAGTGTAATTCGTAGGATACCAATTTCCATGGATTTCGTTGGTAGAGGTGAACAACAATTTTAAATGTTCAACGAAATAAATATTTTCTATAGGCTTGAATGCAGAATTTCACACAACCACGAAATCAAGTATCCACGAAAAAATATATATTTTTTTATCAATCAACAAAAATTGGTACCCACGAAAATTATAAATTTTAGAAATCATTTTGTCTCTTTTAAAGGTGATGGAATGGGGATTTTGGTCCTAAATTTTTAAGTCATCTGATTAATTTGTTCTTTAGAAAACATTTTTCATTTGTTCAATTATGTTCTGTTAATGATTTATGACTCCCGATTTATTCTTCTCCTGGGGTACTTTCTATGCTATGAGCCTTTGCACAATTTGAAGTGCAATAACTATTTATAACTTATATACTGTAACATCTATGTATAACCTTTTCTGATGGCCTTATCATATTTAACACATATATAATATAGAGTTTGTTGAAATGTCATAATTCACACTTCTATTATATAAAGATAATACATGTAACAAGTCTTTTTCTATATCATCCCTTGTATCCTCCTGAGACTCCATATAAGACTAAGGGGCCAGCTGAGGGATCATATGGGTAGAGGGATGATACCAGGGCTGATATGGAAAAGGGCATGTTGTAATCTATTTATCACATATTTAACAAATGCTTAAAAAAGTGGAAGAATCTTCCTCATCTGTTATTGTTGTAGGAAGGCTTATGATGTAATTCAGAGTAGGGCAACAAAACTTTTTATTTGCCCTGGGCAGAAATATTCTGTTTTTTCATCCTTGTCAAAAATAATACTTGAGCAGTTCTGACGTTATTGCATATGCAAAACCCAATGTTTTTGCTACAAATATGTGATGAATACTAAATATCTGATGATTAAAAAGGAAAGGAAGTGCATGTTTTTTACAGTTCAATTTGTAGGCATGTTTTCTTTGCAAATAATGTGTGTGCTGCATTAATTCAAATACTCTAGTAATCAATAAACTGTCTATAGTATCGGCTTCAAGTTTTCTTCATTTAAAGCGATGTACAAGTTTTATTAATATTCAATGGTCAATAACAATTACTTATTTGATATTTTGTACATTAGGATGAGAAGAAGAGTGTCCATGAGATATACAAAGCTGCCCAGGAAGTATGTCTACAAGTACAACAAGGAATGGACATGGTGGCATCACTCGGGGAAAGATTTAAAAAGTAAGGAGATAAATCAGTTATATTGTATGGAGGGAGAAGTCAGAGAGTCTGTTAAGCATTTTACATAGGATGGTAAAATCATTATAAGTTCAAGCCCCCATTAATTATTCTATTCTAATAGGATAAAGACGGCAATTCTTTTGGATTGGAGCACTATAGGTTTAAGGCAAATATTTGCTGTTTCTGTGATTAAACACATTATTAAGATTGATGTAAAAGACAAAAAAATCTGAATTGGTGACATGCTTAAACAATTTACAATAACATACTTAGACAGGTTTGGACGAAGTTAAATGATTATCTTACTTTCATTTAAAAAATTAGCTTTCAACAAATTCTTATCATCGTTTGTTTAAGTTTCCGTGTTTTGATGACTTTCAGTTTCACATTCATGCATTTTCCCTTAGAATTCTTACGTCATCGTTCAATGAAGTCCTTTTCACCTATTGACTCTGGGTAACTTATTTATAAAAATCATACAACATGGAAGTACAATTGGGAACCAAACAAATCATGACGTTGCAGATCAGCTGACATACAATATATTCATATTTTACCATTGGTGTGTATTCAAAGCATTTGAAGAGCGTCAGATTAGAATTGATAAGGCTTTCTTATGTTGTAGAATATTGATTTTATACAAATGTACATACATTGAAAAGTTTGTATTTGAAGTGTACTACAACTAATGTAATGAATGATAATGAAGAAAAAACTAAACACAGATCCTGTTACCTTTTACCTGTTGTTTCTGTTTCTATCAGGTGCACCACCAATCGTGTAGCACGGGTAATAACTATATACTGATCAAAATCACATCTGATCTCAGTCCATCACTTGTACTTTTAGAATAATCCATAACTTGTACTTTTAGAATAAACAATGCTAAAGTAAATAAATTTTTTTTTTAAGATTTATGTATATGACACCGCTCCAAACTTTGAGTATAAAGGTGATTACAGAGTCCTTGAAAGTTCTCCAAACAAATTAAGATTATTTGGTATGTTTTCAGTACATTTAATTGGACAGTTCCATGGCTGTCAACATTTGCTGTTATTCTGCTCAGTATTGGTGCTGTGATATTATATTTCATACCAGTCCGAGTACTAGTTATGGCCTGGGGTAAGTTATTATATTTCATACCAGTCCGAGTACTAGTTATGGCCTGGGGTAAGTTTTGCATCAGTCAGTTATTTTATTATTACCCTAAGGAAGTTTAATATCAGTAAATATCTAAAGATGGCCTGGGGTAGCTTTGATACAAGACCTTTGGTGAGTTTCATATTGGTACAATATTTTAATTATAACTTAGATTAAGTTTCATGCCAGTCCAATTTTTAGGTTGCCTCAATTGAGTTGAGCAAATTATTGGAGTACTCAATGTTATTCATGTCTATTTCTGGACATCTGCAGTCAGTTCTAAGAAACTATGAGATATACAGCCATATAGTGACATGATCAGATGCATTTTTGAGAGACAGACTATGCTATAAGATTAAAGTTACATGACCCATATTTCATGGATCATTAGCTTGGTTTAAGTTTAAAAAATTTCATTTATACTGATATAATCATATTATGTTTTTTGTCATAACTTGTCAGTAACTGTTTGCTATTGATCTTTACAAGTTTTCATAAAGGCTGAATGTTATTTGACACATGATTTCGTGTTATGCTTATTTACTTTACAGTTGTATTGAAAGTGTATGAAGATATGAGAAAAGTTCCTGAATAATTTTGTAATCATGGTTTATGATCTCATTTCAGGAATCAACAAATTTACCAAGAAGTTACGAGCGCCTAATGCAATACCAAATAATGAATTGTTGGACTTTTTATCTCGTGTTCCTTCAGACAGTGAATTGGTTAGTAAAAAAGCTGTAAAATTCTTCATTGTTGAAAAATCTGTAACATGACATCTGTAAAATTACATAGTGGTTATTATTATTGAAACCAGCCCTGCTTCATGTTTTAAACAACTTAGAGTATCTGAAAATAATATGATAATACATGGCCTTAGTAAGATAAACTATTACTGATGACATTGAAATTTATTGTGATTTTATTGTTATTTCACTAACTACTTTTATGAAATTAGGTACAAATGCATAACAATTTAGCTACTATAACCTTTAAATTTATGTTTGAACGTCTCCAGTTATGTATAACGATACATTAGTGTGGATATTACAGACATTCTCAATAGTATAACCATGATATTTTGCTACTATATTTCATTAGATTGTAAAACAGTTCTTCAACATGTGGGACATCATTACATACTTTATATACTACGCCAACTCTTTATGAAAATTAATGTTTAATTTTAGAGCTAGATATTTATGCAGTGCTTCTGTTTCTTACATGCCTGTCTTGTTATTTTGATTCATTAAAGTGCAGGATTGAATATGAATTTCTTATCAGTGAAAAATAAAGATTAAGACTAATAATAATAACGGATATAAAATGAAAGAGTGCTTCATGTTTTAAAAAGTTATAATTTAGAAAATAAAAGAAAACATCTATATCAAACTTTACACATATTTTCAAGGGTAAGCTACATTTTTTATCATATTTTTTTTTATTTTCAGGTGCAATATAAAGAGCTAAGACCAGATATTCCTAACTTGAAGAAGAAGAGAGCTTGAAATTTGTTTAACCATGTGATATTTTATACAGAACCAATACTAAACAATGGTTGTGCTACATTTGCTCATTTACTTTTATACTATGTTCCTCAATGAACTCAAACTTGTTATTCCTTTTATGTTTGTCTGGAGACACAAGGACTCTTTTCGTAAAAAATCTTAAGATTGAAATTCATTGTTCAATATAGAACAAATTGTTTGTAAGAAATGAATTTTGTTCAAAGATATTTTGAAATAGATGTCCACATTGTATATTTGTTCTGTCTAACTGCTGGTACAGTTTGTGAAATTCAATACTTCATTCTTTTAAGTTTTTGTTTACACAATCAGTATTTCCAGTTCTAAACTGAATTAATATATAATCATATTTTTAGTTACCCTCGAAAAAGGGGGAGTAAATCAGTGTTAATAATTTTGTTACAAAAATATGTTTTCTTCTTTCAATTTTGAAATGAAATATTGTAAATCTTAGCTGCATAGAGAACTTATCATCTTAAATTAATGATCTGATAATTTATCTTTAAAGTTTTCAGTACCGATCGGTTTGGCTAGATTGAGATATTATTTGTGTTCAAAAAGTCAAGATATTACCTCAAAGCCTTTTTAACTGGTTAATTTTAGAATTTTTTAGCCCAACTTTCTTTATAATGAAATGTTATTTACTGAAAACAGTTTAGATAAATTATTGTTTTATTTGACTTTAAATAAAATTTGACTAATTTAATCCCTGCTTTTTCAAATTAATTGTTTATTTATTCAGATGGTAGTCTGGGGACCGACCATTTTGTATCGTATGAATTAGTTTTGTTTTCACATGAACAAATAACATGTCCCCAAAATATATATGCACTGTACATGTGTATGATATAAAAATACTATTGGCAGCTTAAATGGAATCTCATTCTGTAACTCAGTATCAATAATAACGAGAAAAATTCAGCTATCAGGCATAGCCACTGTTTTCTTTTAAATAAAGAGGTCCATGTTTCATAAAAGGATGTATAGTATCTGACCAGTCTTTACAAATTCGCCGTTTCAGAGGCTAAAGGACTATGGGTAGTTTCGTTGTTCGTACCACAAAATGAAAATAATGTTACATCCTTGGTTGAATTTCCATTGTTTAGGACGTATTGAAGCAATCACAATATTTTGGTGTATGCTTTTGAATATATTACCCAGAACGCATTAGATTCAGAAACGGCTAATTATACACATAATGATAGTGTCTTGTTGTAGGTACAATCCTTTTGTGAAATAAGGATCAATTCTTTAGAACTTGTTCAATATCTAACCATTATCAATACGATTCTCTGTATGAGATATCCATTCTTACCATGTGTCTTAGTAGATATGTTATTTAGTGTATGTGTATATTGAAATATATTTGTCAGTTTTTTTTTTAATGTTTCCTTTATTTGAAGAGTGAAATATATTGTTTTTGATCTGTTCACATGTTTGCCTGTTCGCCCTTTAAAAAAAGTTGTCAGAACATATTCTCCTGCATTTAATTTTGGAATGAAAGAATTTTACTAAATGGCTTCATGCCGTGCACAGATATGCTAGAGATAAAAGATCGATTTTGTGGATTTTTGGTATAGAAAAACATTGTTTTTTACCATTTCACATATATAGTAAAGTTTGTTATTGTGAATTTCCTACAACAGAAACTGGACAGAATTACTTCATAACATGATCCAGAAACTGGACAGAATTACTTCATAACATGACCCAGAAACTTGACAGAATTACTTCATAACATGATCATGTGTAGAAGTGCATTTCTTCAATATTTTTGAACCTCAATTTCTTGTAAAGGAGTTAATATCCTATATATGTACAACTTGAAATAGAGGAAAGAGACGAACCCATGTTTTTTGTTTAAAATTTTCAATTGGCATGTTATAATGCTTTGTAAATAAGTCCTGTATACTATTTATTGTATCATTTTGTATTGAGATTATTTACATTTTACACAATTCCCATTATGTATAATACATTATTTTGTATACTTGATTATGTTTGTACTACAGAACTTATGTTCTCATCATATCTTATTTATGATTATTTTTCTGACATAGGAAAATTGAGATGACACTTCTGAGTGTCTTTTCTGTGTGGAAACTCTTTAATTTTGTTTTTCAACTAACATTCAAAGCAATAACAGCATATAAGCATTAATTTATAAAAACTTGAATCATACACTTATAGAAATCCTAATGTAATACCTCAACATCACAGAGATAGTGTATACATCTTTTTATTGGGGGTTAACATTTTGAATAAAAAGAAAAACCTGATTTGAAAGGAAAGTATACTTCCTTTCATGTCCAATTGCAAAAGTGATGTAAATATCTCAAACTTATGTCAATTGACACTCAATACTATGAAGGATGTGTTATCCTTTAAAATGAACTACAAGTATATAAGAGCAAGATTTTTAACATTAATTATTTGACAAATTCTATTTTCCTAGGTCTCTCAGAAGTTGGTTTGAAAGACCTCGCTGCAAAGAGTTTTGAAAATAGTTGTTTCGGCCAAGTGAGCTTTTCTCATCATTTGGCATGGCTAAAAATAGAACATAAGGGGAAAATGCAAGTTTTGCCTATTATTTTGAAAGCCTGTATAAAAAGAAATTTTGACAGGAGTGAAAATGTTCAGAATGGTGAGCTCTTACTATTGTTTATTTAAGTCAAAACTGTCAGAAGACTTCTTATAGGAGTTATTGCCCTCAAATGACAAATTTTACCATTTTAAAATTTGTTTCCATATTATCTCGAAAATCATAATAGATAGACAGAAACTTTATATAGCAAAAATAATCAGCAATACAAGATCTACAAAATAAGTCAAACATGACCAAAATCGTCAGACGACTCCTTATTAGAGTTATTGCCTTTTAATGATAAAAACTTCAGAAAGGAAATATCAGCAGGATAAGATCTACAAATATGTCAACATGACTGAAATTGTCAGTTAGCTCTTAATAGAGTTGTTCCCCTTTAAAAATAATTTTACAAAAAAGTGGCTATTGTTGAAGATGCAGGTGAGGGACACAGGCTCTATCTAGTTTCAACTTGCTCAAGAATAGGATCCATCTTTGAAATAGGACTCTAAAGAATATTGTTGATTGAGGTTTGATTAAACTCAGCATAGATACCAGGCTTGAAATTTTGTAAGCCAGACACAAGTTTTAATTACCAAAGACTCATCATTGACGCTCATATCAAAAAGTTAAATAGGCCAAAAAAAGTGAGAGGTTGGAGAGCATTGAGAAACCAAAATTCTGAAAGGTTTTGCCAAATACAGTTATGGTAATTTATTCCTAGGGTAGAAATCCTTAGCATTTCAAAAAATTCAAAGTTTTGAAAACAGATAATTTATAGTTATGACCATATCAATGATAATTCATTTCAACAAAGAAGTGTTAAGAACAAATAATTATGTTATTTTATAGATTCGATACTACAAAATTTGATGAACTAAAGTTAAAAGACTACCTCATTAGATCATATTTAGTATGTAATAGTTATCATCTCTCTTTATCCTGATTTTACTTGTATAAATACAATATATACTAAAGTGCAATTAAAGCTATTAATCAAATGTAAGAAAATGGTATAGTAGAATTAGTTTTGTTTTTATAACTCGTTGTGCAATAATTTCTTTGACCAAAGATGAGAATCATTATAGAAAAAATCTGAATATTGTTATAGAACAGAAAATTTAAGTGATTTATTGTCAGATAAAATTCTACCAGTAATAAAATGATAATCAGGCATATTCATTTTTTCCAATTTTGTCATGTTAGGGCCATTTTATAGTTCACTATAAGGTATGAGTTTTGCTCATTGTTGGTGGCTATAAGTTGACCTATAGTTTCCAAAATTCATGTTATTTAGGCTTTGTTTGATAGTTGTCTCATTGACAATCATACCATATCTCTTTATTTTGTATATAAATGGGGGAAATTCTAAAGAAGGTACATGGCTTATTTAGCTCTGTAAATTCATCAACAATTTTTAAAGAAAATGTATAATAGTACTCGTTGCATTTTTAAATTTTAGAAGAAAGACTTTCACAAGGAGTAAATGTAAGCCATGCTTTTGAGACTCAATTTTAACTGTGATGTCACAAAGGACATTTTTCAGATTTTTTTCAAAAATGGGCTAAATTCCAAAATATTTTGTTTTAGTTAACATAATGCATAATGTATTGTCCCAAATGATTTTTGTCATTGAATGGATAAACACAAAATACACCTGTGTAAAAATCTCTCTGGGAAACAGTTGTGCTCTGTTATGCTCTACATTATAGCTAGGCATTTATGAATCAAATAGATTTTGTGTAATTCCACTGTTTTCTTAATTAACCATTCATTTATTAACTCTGATGCATAAAAAGAGTATCAATTCAAAACTTGAATATTTAACTTAGCCAAAATGTTCCAGAAATTAGCCTATTTTAAAAAAATGAAATCCAGAACTGCTCAGCTTATGTAATGATCAGTATTTAAATTTTGCGAATTTTATTTCCAAAACTTGCAGTTGCTATAGTACAAATGTATATATGCACAAAGTCATCCTTTTGAAGAATTTTGGTAAATGTATTTGGTGAATATATGTTTACAGATAAATGTATTTGTGAATATAACTATGTTTACAGATAAATGTATTTGTGAATATAATTATGTTAACAGATAAATGTATTTGTGAATATAATTATGTTAACAGATAAATGTATTTGTGAATATAATTATGTTAACAGATAAATGTATTTGTGAATGTAATTATGTTTACAGATAAATGTAATCCATACAAAGTACAAATTTACATGTGTATTAGTCACTTCTTGTTATTTATTTGTTATTGTTATTATTTTTTTTGAATTTTTTAAGGTGGAAGCCATGGAAAATTAAAATATATATGCAACATTTCTTAGTTTTTTTGTTGTTAGCAATTAATCATTGAATTTTCACAAGTTTGGCTATCTGTTGGTGTTGATGGTAGTATGCCGCAAGACAAATTATTAGTTACTGTGGAATTGGAGATTGTAATTTACACAATTAAATTTCAATGAATAAATTTTTCACCCAGGGGTTAAATATCTGCATCCAACAATTAGTATACCCTTGACATGAATATTATTGATTTGTATTTGGTGTGGAGGGAAAATATTGTATGTTTTAATTGATCACAAAATATGCAAACACAACCACTGCACAAAAATATCATGTTTACAGAACTATGGTAACTTTTAATCATTCAGCAAGGGGCCTAATAGATAGTATTCTCACATGTCTGTGTAATTAAAAGAGATGTAGGGTACATATATGTCAATGAGAGATCAACCCGATGACACAAATAACCAAAGAAACATCTGATCTTCTTTTGTCATCTTGATCATGGTCATCTACTCAAGTCTAGTTTACTCCAATAAATCATATTGCTGAGAGAAAAGTTGGGCATGCAAATTAACTAAATACTTATATAGGGTTTCATCAAGGAGATTCTGGACACAATAAATAAACTAATAGCAAAAAGATTCATCCATGTGTATTATGATAACTACATAGTAGAGGATATTTAGAAATACATTATGAGAAAGGGATCTGATCTGTACACTTTCTTGTCTAGTCTCTAAACCAAAATGACTACAGAACAATATAAGCTCTGATTGAAGGGATCTAATCTGACTTTGTCTAGTCTCTAAACCAAAATAACTACAGAACAGTATAAGCTCTTTTTAAAAGGGATTTGATCTGTACACTTTCTTGTCTTGTCTCTGAACCAAATTGATTGATTGATTGATTGGTACTTATTGTCACTTTCAACACTATTGGCTATTTTGTGGCTGACAGTTTTTATTGGTGGGGGAAACCAGAGTGCCCAGAGAGAACCACCAACCTTCGGCAGGAAAACTGACAATCCTAGTCAATTAAGATTGGAGTGGAGTGCACCTGCTACGTGCATGATTCGAACTCACAACCTCGGGGTTGACAGGCTAGTGATACAGTAGTTGAATTACTTAGACCACTCAGCCACCGAGGCCCTGAACCAAAATGACGAGCTCTGATTATCTGTTTAATTATAGTTTGCTTAACATCCAGTGTGTAAGTTTGATAGTAACTTGGTATTAATCTTGATGTACATGCATGTTTTGCAAAGCAACACCTAAACCCAAATACACTTACATCAGTTTTTTAGCATTCAAGATTTTTTTTTTATTAATAATTACCACAAATTAATTTTGCAAAAAGGTGAAAATACCTGTTTAATAAGAAACAAGAAAGTGTGTTCATAGGATACCATGCATATGCTACTACATGTCTATGTTCAGTGAACTGCAAAAAACAGACTGGAGGATGGACACACGGATCAAAAAACAGGCTGGAGGATGGACACGCGGATCAAAAAACAGACCGGAGGATGGACACATGGATCAAAAAACAGGCTGGAGGATGGACACAAGGATAAAAAAGCAGACCGGAGGATGGACACACGGATAAAAAAAAGACCAGAGGATGGACACACGGATAAAAAAACAGACCGGAGGATGGACACACGGATAAAAAAACAGGCTGGAGGATGGACACACGGATCAAAAAACAGACCGGAGGAATGGCTTAAAACTGTGGGACCCATGTGAAAATATGTTGTTTTTTTTTTGTGGCTGAAATGGAAGAGATTAAAGTTATTTCATGTTTTTATAACAATATTACAGTTGCCTCTGGGGTCATATTCTTCTGTCATTATTAAGTAAGAGAATATTAAGGCCACTTAACTATTAATAAGGATTTTAATTTCACATGCTTTTACATCTGAACATCAATGATATTTCAATAGACTTATTTACGCTTTTGTGTATTTAGCTGAATTTGCTCCGAAATACCCTAGTTCTGTCTCCCAATAACCTACTGGCATCATGCTACAATCACTTTTTAATTATGACTTCAAATGTTTTAAATTGTGACACAAAATTTTACAGGAACTTGTTTGACTTTAAGTGATGCCAGACAAATTTGAATACAAGTTTAAATATGTCTAAACTACAATTAATTTGTATAGTTCTGTGCATAACTTGATTCAACAGTTTATGCAAATTATACCTGAACAACATTAAAACTATGATTTTATAGCTATAAATACGTTACCATCATAAATTCTGAGTGTAACCCCAATTGCGTCATAGGTCAGATGGAAAATCCCAACTAAAAATAAACGTACTCTCACTGGTCCGGACATATACCCCTGTTTGCCCATATTCTCCCATTCAATTTCCATCTGCGACATCGGTCACACGTGCAAATTATTACAGATTAAACAGAGAAGTGTTTAGTTGTTTGTAAAATTTTTTGAATAGCTTAATTGCTTTTCATATATTGTGTATATTAATGGAAATTTATTCCCTTGTTTAGTTTGAATTTCTAAACAAATTATTTGTGTTTTTTTGACTAAAATAAATTTTATCATGGACTTTAATTTGAATAGTTCTTACGTAAATATTCCTGGTTCGGACTATCTCCTGGATGGGTCACTACCTTTAAGTCCCCCCCCCAAAAAACTACCAGTACATTGACCGGTGTTTCGACAACGGTGTCTGGTAATGCTACCTATCCGACCCTTTCACAAGGTTCGGCTATGCACTTTGGGGGGGGGGGGGGGGGGGGAACCTACGTCAACTTCGGTGACTCATACTTTATCTAGGCCTGTTAATTCATCGGGTACTATTGGTTCTGTCCCAGGTACAGCTATGGGCTTGAACTTGCCAGGTTCTAGACCCCCATTATCCTATTGTGGGTATATGCTTCCCAACTCGGGCATCCAACCTTTACCCTCATGGTCTCAGCCACCTTGGCCACAGTCTTACCCTTATGGTTGGTTTATGCCAAACCAACCTGGTTTTTGGCCTTATAGGGACAATTTCTATGGTCCCCCTTCTGGGATAGCTACTGCACCACCTTTAGCTCCTGTTCCACCCGTAACAGTATCTTTGACTCCTGCAGTAGCTCCTTCTACCACCGTACCTGACTCTCGAGCTCAATCGTCTAGCTCTTCTCATGGTACTCAGGGTTCTGATCATGCATCATCTTTGGATGGTTTTCAGAAGTTACTTTTGGACTTTGGTGAGTCTTTCAAGGCTGAATTACCCCCAAGGGTGACTGGGGAATAGAAGTATGGTCACCATTGGTCTTCCTCCGACCGGCAGTGCAACCCTTGCTTAAGTGGGGCGTCCGTTTGGCTGTGCGGGATGTACAAATTTGCAGCCACGTCCGGTCAGAATGGGGACGTTAAATCCGATGCCTCGTGTAAAGAGAGTGCTACGCTCTTTGCACGTTAAGAACCCTTGCAACAACTCTTTGGGGGGTCCGTAGGTGACCTGTTGCAAGGTTAAATTTCTGTCCCTATCCAATATACCCTCATTTCCCGTGGCAGTCTAAATTTCTCCGACCTTAATCCCGGACGCCCCTATTACAGAACCTACCTATTGTATTTATTGTTAATTTGTTCTCGTCCTGAATATGCATGAAATATTTGCCACTGGACGTTAAGCAACCAACAATCAATCAATCAATCAAGGCTGAATTTAGTACTCTATCCAGTCGTATGTCTCTACTGGAGAATAGAGTTTATTCTCATCAACCTTCTCCAGCTAAGTCTGTAGAATATGATGAGAGGGAGGATGACGAGCTTTCTGTATCCCCTGGGAGTCATGAAAGGGCTTTCCTCACTGGAGGATGTTGAAAGTTCTTCTTCTCCCAAGGTATCGAAGACGGCCCCTGAGCCTTCTTCTAAGTCAGCTCAACAACCTCCCACCAAGGAGACTGAGGATCCTCCATCCTTGAAGGATCTTAGGGATAAGGTGTATACCTTGATGAGGGATGAAGCACATTTCCCTTTTGCCTCTCCTTCCAAGCCGAAGAAACCTTCTTCAACTTTTGAAGCTTCCTGTGGTATTTCTCGGGATACTGTGACTTCTCACAATTCTTTTCCTGAATCTGGCCATAGGGCATTTGCTTTACAATTTATTAATGAAGGTATCGCTAATTCTGCTAGTGAAAAGGTTGCTAATAACAATATCTCTGGATTTGGAATGTCATTCTTTTCTGATCAGGTTAAGTACAAGGATTTTGATATCTTTGATTCTTCACTGGGTAGACTTGTTCCCAGTTGTGACAGATCTCTTTCATCTTTATTTGGAAAAAAGCCAGTAGATGGTCTTCGTCTCACTCAACCTGTTTGGTCAAAGACTTAGAATCTCCTTCGTAGTGCTTCTCAAGTTCTTGGCACAGCCGAACATTTTTTAGCTGCAACCGGACATTTGCTTAACAGCGAAGATTCGGTTGTTCCAGCAGAAGTACGATCCTTCTTACTTCAACTGGATAAAGCTCTAGGTTCATCTCAGTTGCTTTTAATGGGTTCTATTGCTAATTGCACCCTATCTAAAAGAGCAGAGTTTCTTGAAAACATTTCTGTTGCTGAGCCTTTGAAAGATTCTTTACAGAGATCTCCACTTACTGACAAGATGTTTGGTTTACCCTTACAGCGGGTTCAAGAGAAACTCAGCAAAAACCCTCCTCCAGTCAAAGTTAGTGTACAAGTTACTAATGGCAAGGGGTCGGTTAATGCAACATCTAGTTCTACTAGTACTTCTGCTTCAGGTGGTCCTCCTCCTTCTTCTGCTAAGAAAAGGAAGAATAACTACGGCAAACCGCAGAACAAATCCCATAACTCCGGAAAAAGCTCAGATAAGCCTTCTGGTGGTTTTAAGGGTCCCAAGAAACCTGGGTCTAGTACCTAGGTTATTGCCCCCTCGTACGTTATTGACAGCTTCCCCAGGGGAAAATTTACAAGTTCCTCAAAAATCAATACCATTAGGGGGAGGTTAAGTTTTTTCCTAAATCAGTGGAAGAAAATTACCTCAGACTGTTATGTGCTGTCAATAATTCGAGGGGGATTAACACTTCAGTTCAAGAACCCACCTCCTCTGTCTGCAGTTCCGATAAGTTTGTCTCATACACAAGACCCAGTCAAGTATCAACTTCTATCAGTAGAAGTGGACACAATGTTACAAAAATCTGCAATAGAGGAGGTGTCGCTCTTAACTCTGTCTCCGGGATTTTATTCCCGTCTTTTTCTGGTTCCAAAGAAGACTGGAGGAATGATGCCGGTCATAGACTTATCTATTCTGAACAACTTTCTTATTGTTCCCCATTTCAAAATGGAAACCAACAGATCAATCAGGGCTTCAATCCTTCCAGGAATGTGGACTACTTCTTTTGATCTTTCAGATGCTTATTTCCACATTCCCATTTCCCATACTTACAGGAAATACCTTCGCTTCGTTTGGAACAACAAAGTTCTCCAGTTCAAGGCTCTCCCTTTTGGCCTGTCTACAGCCCCTTTGGCTTTTACCAAAATCATGCAGGCAGCTATAGCTCACCTACATTCCCTGTCTATTCAGATTCATTTCTACCTGGACGATTCCCTTCTCAAGGAATTTTGCCCAATCAAATTGAGGGTTCAGACAGATTTGGTCATCAATTGTTTTCTGTCCCTAGGCTTCATAATCTCTTTGAAAAAGTCAGAGATAATTCCTTCTCAAGACTTTGTTTTCCTGGGAGAACATTTCCTAACCAATCTAGGCCTAGTTCTCCCACCAGAGGAAAAATTTACAAAACTATGTCAGAAAATACATTTATTCCTGACGGTTCAATCAGTCACAGCACGTCAATTCTTGCAACTTCTGGGTCTATTGAACTCTCTGGCAGATGTAAGTCCATTGGGACGACTTCACATTCGTCCGCTTCAGTTTTATCTGCACAAGTTATGGATTCCAGCTTCACAAGAATGGGAAGCATTGATTCCAATCACTCAGCCTTTATTTCCACATCTTCAATGGTAGTTAGTACGGAAAAATGTAATGAGGGGCCTATGTCTGTCCCCTCAAGTTCCCAGTCTAACATTATTCACAGATGCCTCCATCCTCGGTTGGGGAGCATATCTGGAGGGGTTTACAATCTCGGGAGTCTGGAATCCAGATCTTTTGGAAGAGGATATCAATGTATTGGAAATGAAAGCAGTTCTGCTTGCACTGAATCATTTCCAACTGTCTGTAAAGAATCAGTCTGTCATTCTGGCCACGGACAACACAACAGTTGTAGCTTATCTCAAGAATCAGGGAGGAACTCATTCACCTTCTCTTTATCAGATAGACAGAGATATTCTCCTCCTGTGTTTTCAACTCCAGGTTCATCTAGTGGTGAGACATATTGCGGGGCACCTCAATATTCTAGCCGACACTCTATCCTGATCCCTTGCTCCAGTAAACACGGAGTGGGAACTACTTCAAGTTTTTTCAAAGCAGTGACTCTTCATTGGGGGTCACCTCAGATAGATCTGTTTGCGACCAGTCTCAATCACAAACTTCTAACATTTGTGTCTCCGGTTCCAGATCCAAAATCTTTTGTGGTAGACGCAATGAGCCTATCTTGGAAAGGAATGTTCGGGTACACCTTCCCTCCTTTCAGGTTTCTCTCCCCAGTACTTCAGAAAATAGCAGGGGAAAGTTGCAAGATCATAGTTATTGCTCCAGCATGGCCGAAACAGTCTTGGTTTCCAGACCTTCTGCGCTTATCATGTGCTTGTCCTCTAGTTCTACCTCTGAAACCAGACCTTCTGTCTCAAATCAAGGGCAAGGTTCTTTATCAAAATCCAGAAAAACTTTATCTACACGCCTGGCTTCTCTCAGGGTTAGCCTCAGAAAGAGAGGTTTTTCTGAAGGAGCAACCAAGCATCTCACAAAGTCTGTAAGAGACTCCACTAGCATTGTCTATGATGCAAAATGGTCAATCTTCTCAGATTGGTGTAGTGAGCGGGAAATTGATCCTTTCCAAGTCACTGTACAACAATTAGCAGACTTTCTAGTTTTTCTTTTTGAATCCAAAGGATTATGTCCCTCTACTATTAAGGGATATAGATCAGCTATTTCAAGAACTATTTATATTTCTGGTGGCCCAGATTTTGGAAACAATGAGCATATTTCTCTTTTGGTTCGTAGTTTTAGTCTTGAAAGACCAAGACAAAAAACTTTAGTTCCTAAGTGGGACCTTCGACTAGTTTTATCCTTTTTAAAACTTCCTACTTTTGAAACAGCAGAAACAATAGATTTAAGGTTTCTTTCCTATAAATGCTGTTTTCTTTTAGCTTTGGCTTCTGGACGGAGAAGGAGTGAAATCCATGCCTTCTCTATTTCTGATGCTTGCCTTCGATTTAACAGGGATAAATCTTCTGTTAGTTACTCTTTTAACTGATCCTGCTTTTTTGGCAAAGAATCAGATTCCAGATAATGGTGCAGAACCAGTCGTGGTTCGTGCACTCCCTAGCGATTCTATTTCTGTACTTTTATGTCCAGTAAGAATCCTTTCTATTTATCTGGATAGAACGAGTAGTTTACGTTCTGTTTCTAAATCAAGACTCTTTATTCCTATTAAAAAAGGAATCTCAGATCTTTCTATTAAAACTATTTCTACTTGGATATGCAAATGCATATCTTTAGCTTATGGTTCTTCTAAGGCAGAACTTTTAAATAGTTTTAATGTTAAAGTTCATGATGTTAGGGGTATCTCTACATCATGGGCTCTGTTTAACAGTGCATCTTTAGAAGAGGTACTGTCTGCAGGTTTCTGGAGAAATGAGAACTCTTTTATATCTCATTATCTCCAATCTATGGCTACTTTTGCCGAGAGTTTATGCTCTCTTGGACCTATAGTTTCAGCACAAAGATTGAACTTTCCTCCTGTTTCTTCTGTTACTGGGGATTCAGCTTTACGTTAGATTCTGTTACTCAGAATTTATGATGGTATCGTATTTATAGCTATAAAATATTCAAATTTTAAAGTAAATTTGGATTTTATTAGATAAATACTTACCATCATAAATTATAGGTCCCACCCGCCTCCCCTTCATCCTCTTTCCTTACGTTTCTGTCTTGAGGAAATTGAATGGGAGAATATGGGCAAACAGGGGTATATGTCCGGACCAGTGAGAGTACGTTTATTTTTAGTCGGGATTTTCCATCTGACCTATGACGCAATTGGGGTTACACTCAGAATTTATGATGGTAAGTATTTATCTAATAAAATCCAAATTTACTTTAAAATTTGAATATTTGCACACGACTCATTTGACAAAATCCTACAATCTCAAAGTTGCAATGTACTTAAATACAACAAAAATAGTCATAATTCAACAGAGTACAATTTTGATCATACATGCATACATTAAAAAGGTTAGAAGAAATATTGATACCTAAAAGAGAGAACTAAGCTAGGTGCACATATAACAAGCTTTACAGGATACTTAGCAATCCATTTTAATAGCTTTAAATGATGTAACCTCACAAAACTTATGTCATGCAAACACTCCAGAAAATCAGGGTAACACAACACATGTAAATAGCTGGTACCAAGTCTGAAATATAGGAGTCCTTCTTCATACAGTTGGTATGAAAAGGATTAGCACATTTTTGTCTATTTTATTCTAGCTTTAGGTTTTAGCAGCAGACTGTTTATTACCTATTCTCATTACAGTCTTCATTCTACAAGTGAAGAATCAATGTGTTCTATATACTTTGCATAGTTGCAATGAAATTCTTACTATAAATTTACTAGGTTTTTGGACAGGATCGTGACTTCATGCATTGTTTATAATGTTACTGTAGCTAATATGCTTTCAATTGATGTAATAAGCACTTATTGATGTAGGATTATTCCTTATTTTTTTCACTTGTACCTGTGGTTTTGTTCTTTACCATACCTTTTTTTATAGAGTAATGACTTTTATGTATTTTGTCATTAAGATCTTTGACAGTATCTGTTCATTATTGTTGAAGACTGTAAGTTGACCTCATTATTGTTGAAGACTGTAAGTTGACCTCATTATTGTTGAAGACTGTAAGTTGACCTCATTATTTGTTTTGATTACTTATTTTACTAAATTTGTCTTGTCAACATAAAATCCCACATTACTTTTTATTCATCAGTTGTTGAGTTTGATATAATGACAAATAATGACTTTGCAAAAGTTTTATGGTCCAGCAATTCACATATCTGGTCTTATTGATAAAATCAGTTTTAATTACTAAATGTGACTGTTCAAAACTCTTTATGCTGTAAATTATAAAGATGGGTGTAGGTCTATGTCTAAGAAGTGTCATCTGATCTTGACTTCATACAACATCTATATAGAATTTTCTATGTATAGCTGTTTAGTTAGTGATATAGTTTTGCATGTCCCCCTTGTTTAAAGTCGCAAACACATATGCTACAAATTAGAATTCAAATACAAGAAGTTCCTTTAATTGATATATAATGAACTTTAACAGGAATTTTTTTACATTGCAAGCTTGATATAACACTGCATTGTGTAACATATAACTACAGTCAAGAACATGGTGGGGCAACAAATACTCTACTCTGTAGTGAAAGCAAAACAAAATTATATGTGCAAATTTTTAACCTACCATTGAACATATAAACTGTTAACACAGAGATATGTCTCACCTTTTTTGCTATTTTGATAGTAAAATGCAAATGTTGAAATTAAAATAACAATACTTTAACATGTAAGTTATGAAAATAGTCAGTCAATGAATCATGACTGAAGTTACAGGGCAAAATAATCTCCATGGAAATGAGATGTGCAAATGCTAATACAACTGCATATCAAATATAATTGACCTACCACTAGTTGTTCCCCATAAACTGACATGATCACAAACTAATACATGTAAACTAAGTAAAAGTTTCAAAGTCAATGAATTATGACTGAGGGGGCAGGGCCAAATAATCTCCATTAAATGAGATGTGCCAATGCTAATACAACTGCATACTTAATATCATTGACCTACCACTAGTGGTTCACCATAATCTGACCTAATCACAAACTAATACATTGTTGAAGCACCTTCAAGCCCCGCCGCGGATGCCAGAAACAGCATACCTATGTCTCTCATTTTGACTCCTTCAAGGACAGACAAAAATGACATGTCACTAATTATGAATATGGTGATGCATATGATGCACATCAAAATAAGTTTTTTAGAATCAACTGATTTTTTTTTTATAAATGATACTTTGATGGAAATAAATAAGCAAAGAAAAATAAAAAATCATTCAACCTTTTTTTCTTTTCAGAATAATAAGATATTTATCAATGAAAGTTTTTTCTATATAAATTATGACTAGAATTAAGAACAGATTAATTCTTGGAACACTTTTGGAAAGATGTGCTTTTCAAATATACAAAACATATTTTACAAAATTCAATACCAGTAATACTGTCAGAATTTTGTCAATCCCAAATATAAAAGTAACAATTTCCCTTGACAAAACAGATTTGAAAGATATATAAAGCAATTCCTGTAAATTCAGAAATTATTGTGATTTTTGAAGAATGGACAAAATGTTAGATTAATTATTGCGATTTTAGGAAAATATATATATAGTTTTATGCATCAGATTGATGAATGCGAGTTCTTATTATTGCAATACTCACCGAGTCCCACTATTCGCATTAATAAAAACCTCACAAAAATTTCTGAATTTACAGTACGAAATAATGTGAAAGGAGATTGAGGTTAAGAGTTTAGAAAAACCCCAAAACAAGGATAGAAAAAACTGGATTGATGAAAAAAAACACTTGAAATTCACATAAAAAACAAAAACAAAAACTGCACACTAATACAGGTAATAAAATAGTTCTTTAAGCTAGCTTAATGTCTGATTATAAATATTCATCACTTATAGATTTAGACATGAAAGACTATTGGTTTTAATATCAAATAATAATGCAAATTTACAGAAGCAAACAAATTATAAGGTTGTATATCTTGTCAGGGAACAAATATGTTGTATATCTTGTATGTATATTAGAATGACCATTTAATATATATAGAGAGCATGGTTTATCTTTTCAAGATAAACAATGCATAGCATATATTTAATAAGAAACAACAATCAGTAGCAACATTAAACTTAAGTTTTTACAAAATATTATACTTCACATTATTGATAAGCACTTTAGGTCCACTAGGGGCAATGACTTACAAACAAACATGAACGAACAAATGAAAAACAATACATATAAATAATACACTTATCATATTTATGTTAGATACATATATTTATAGATTATCGATGATTTTTCAAACGAGAGGGTGTTTCTGAGCAACAATCACATTAAAGGGGACAGCCTGAGATGAGATGTGGCAGAGAAACATCCTTGAGTTTGAAAGACCATTGATAATCTGTTTATCACTATTTTGCCTACGAAGTCTTTGATGTTTACATTGACAATGTCATGTGCGCCTTTAGTTTCCGATAATTTTCTATCTCAAGCGAGTGATATGAAAAATCATCACAAAAAAAGATTAAGGATAAAATACACTAAATAGCAATAATCAAGTATCTTTACAAGAACTTCCTTATAACATACAATTATACACTTCCACAACAATTTAAAAATAAGAATAAAGAGAATCATATCATATCATATATACTCCATACAAAAAAACCTATAAATATATCACAGATCTATGCTTACAGATGAAAGTATACTGTCAAGGTATGGATCCCTTAAAAATAACATGCAAGTATGCTCACATGGTGTTAGGGATTTTCTCCAAAAAAATTGGGTTATAATAATTTTATATCTACAACAGTTTCTCAGCAGACCTATTTCATGAACGTGTCAGCTTTTTGCTATAGTATATAATTTTTGCTGTCTTGTATGAAAAATTAACTTTTTTGTATCCATTTTCATTATTTTATCATATAAGCAAAACAGTTTAAGGGTTTGATGTACTATTTCTTTCATCTTTATGTACTCCTCACAGAAATAGTCAAAGATGAAAAACTGCAGAAACAAATACTTGAACATTAGGTTGTAAATAGTCTACAATAACTTTATACAATACATAATCTCACTTCAAACAAAATTCCTGCAATAACACTGGCTAACAATAACTATCTTGGATTGTGTGCTTATAAAACTTATACATATATAAATATATAAAAAAACATTAATCATACAATGATTCTTTTTCTTACTTCAATTCTTACTAAAGAAATTATAGGTTAACTGGTTTTATCAAATCAAATCCTGAACAAAAATGGCTATTTGATCTCAAGTTAAAAGATTCATGTCTTCACTATCTTTTTCTTGTTATTTTTGCCTTTATTTTTCTATTTTTAAGTCCATAACAACACGTTGTTTTGCCATCATCTAAATCATCCATGACAACTTCATCTGAAGAATTGGAATCTGAATCGTCCAATGAAGACATTACATTCTGATTATCAGGTTTATTTTGAACGTCCAATGAAGACAATACATTCTGATTATCAGGTTTATTTTGAACGTTTACAACACTTGCAATTCTTGTGTCATAAATAGCCTGTCTTGACCTCCAAACTCTGATATTAAGGTCGTCTGCTACTGTTACCAAAACTTCCTGATCTGTTGGACAGAAAGCAGTAGCATTTACACCATTCTGTGAATGAATTCCACATTCATGATTGAGTTCTGATAATATAAATCCATAGCGACGGTCCCAAATATAACCTTTCAAATTTTCACTTCCACTGAAGAAAAAAAAACAGAAAATTTTATCAATAAAGAATAAACCATGTGAAAATCATAAATTTTCAAATAACAAAAGTTTTATATATAAAACATTTGTAAAATCATAATTTGCAATACTAACTTTACTGTATAAAAAAAATATCACGTCATAAAACTGAACACAAATGCAGAATGTGAAAATATAACCAAATAAAAAAAAAGCCTGTGACAATTCTGCTTCTATTGGTACCGGGTAGATTAAAATTCAACCAGAAATGTCCTCATAATATTTTTTTGAAAAAACATACTTTTATATGAAATATATAGTTAAAAATCACAATACTTTTTGCCATGTACTGTATATTGCCTCTTATTATCTAACGAACATCAGCCATTCCATATATCTTAATAGGGCTGGGACAATGGAATGATGTTCATATTGGACGTCTTGGATATTAAAAAAGAACGTTTTGAATAAGAATTTAAAATAATACCAGAAAAAAAGATTAAATTCTCCGTGTAGTCCAGAACAGAGTTTAAAAGCATTTCAATATAAGAACTTTTAAGCCATTTGAATATTACCCTGATACAGAAATATGGCTATATAATTATATTTTGTATCACTGTAATTATTTAACCCTGCAGTAAGGTTTGATATTTTTTACAGTTCAGTATAATATATATAACAAATAATTCATGACCCTGAGTGCCATATGGTAGTTTAGAGACTCAGGGCCCATCTCCCAAAAAGTACAAAATGTATATTTCAGATAAGGGTGAAGGTTTGGTACCATTTAAACATTTAAACCCGCTGCAATTGTTTGCACCTGTCCTAAGTCAGGAATCTGATGTTCAGTAGTTGGCGTTTGTTGATGTGGTTCATAAGTATTTCTCGTTTCTCGTTTTTTATATAGATTAGACTGTTGGTTTTCCTGTTTGAATGGTTTTACACTAGTAATTTTTGGGGCCCTTTATAGCTTGCTGTTCAGTGTGAGCCAAGGCTCCGTGTTGAAGACCGTACTTTGACCTATAATGGTTTACTTTTATAAATTTTGACTTGGATGGAGAGTTGTCTCATTGGCACTCATACCACATCTGTTTTTACTTTTACAAATTGTGACTTTGATGGAGAGTTGTCTCATTGGCACTCATACCACATCTTCTTATATCTATAATATAAAGCGAATGGTCTAATCAAACGCAGGACAAAAGATGCTTCATTCTGAATATTTTGCGGAACTTATATTTTGTATGCTGAACTGTAAATTGTCAACTACTGCATGGATAAAATAATTGTCAGATTTATTTTTTTCTTTTGTATGATTACATTAATAAAGACATGTGTTAAAAGTTAAGTTTGATAAAATAATTCCCATGTAACAAAAAGTGATTTAACTTTTCTTACCAGGCAACAAAATTCTTGCTAATAGAAGGGAAAATATAGGACACATGATCTTCTCCAACAGATCTGGCTCCAGTGTAAATCTCTTTAGTTTCAAGGTCATTCTGTAGGTCATAAACTCTGACTTCTATACTCTCATCATACAAACTAAATCCTTCCCCTGGAATCTTTTGTCTCACACAATAAGCAAGATACCTATTTTAAGCAAACATTAATAGATTCTTATCTGAGATTGTTGCATAACCTTTAATTGTGAATAGGTTAACTTTGGTAACTTTGGGGGTACAGGTGTGCAGACTACCCTATTAGGACAAATCAAGCCATGAGTAAAACACCCTTAAATAAGTGAATCACCTGCCCCTAATTAATGAGAAAGGAAAATCTGGAACAAAATATACTCTGATATAACCGAGATTTGTGGAATCACTGATTGATTCATATATCTCAATATAAAATTTGGATTTTTTTTTTAAAGCCATTTCTGTAAATTTTCCTATTTCACTGAAAACTGCAGCCTTTTCACATATGGAAGGTCATATTGATCATTGTAATGTTTATCTGACCTTTAAAAACATGATACTTTTAGGTTGAATTAAAAAAAAAAATATTTATAAAAATAAAAGATGACATTGTTTACTGGAAATTCAGACATAATTTTTGCAATGTTAATATCACTGAAAAAATTGAGATGGGATTGCTTTAGCAAAAATAATAAAAACCTACATTTAAAATGTTGACAGCTCTATTGTACATAGCCTTACCTGAAATTGCAATAATTAATCTAGCATACTTGTCCATTGATCTCAATCACAACATGCCCACAAAAAAATGTGTATTCACAGTATTAAAGAAAGACTGTAATGCTAAAATATTGTTGACATTTTCTAAGAAGTTTATGATGAATGGACATAAATGCAATTGTGCCTATGGTCAATTATTTGAATTTACCTATGATCTTTTGATAAACTTGTTCCAATACATGTACCATCACATTCATATAAACAATGGGCAGGTGTAAATATTGTTTTCCTTTCTGCTTCTCCTGACTCAGCTTCTTTCAAGACATTATAATCTATACCATACTTGTACAAAGAAGCCCTGTAATCCAATGATGTTTGATATAAAATCAAATATTTATCATGAGTTTCTACACTGCTACAAGCATTTTCACTATCATCTTCATTGCTTTCACCATCTTCCTGTTTTTTTTTCTTTGTCACAGGGTCACGGTCACAATCACAAACACTTGTTGATGCATGACAAGTCTCTAAATTATAATCTGTTTCACAATCATCTGACTTTTCGTTTTTTGTTTTTGGCCATTTTGATTTATCTATGATTCTAACAAAATCGTTTCTATGACGACAATGCCTGATTTTCATTAACTCACTGAATTCATGCTGACAAATTTTCTTTTCAGCCTAAAAAAATAAAGCAATATTTCATTTGATCAGAACAATTAAACTAAAGGTTTGTCAATTAAAGAACTTAACATAAAATAAATGGGCCTTTAAAACCTTGAATAATTCAGTAATTAATAATAGTGTGAACACAGCAACCACTTTTTATATACAACCTTAAGGTGGATAGGGGGTCTTCATTAATATCCATAAATTTTTTTTAATAATTTGTCAAAATGTAGTTTATATCATGTTTTTTTTCAAAATATAATAAAAAGTATGGGTCACCAGGCTTTTTTTCACGCTACAGGTTGTGCAAATTTGTCAGATTTTATATAGATTATGCATGGAAAACACAATTTTGTGTGATAAAAAGAAAACTGCACCATAGAATTGTAAGATAAAATATGAGAAGATAGCTCTAATAAAGTGCTTTCTGATAAAAAGAAAAAATGAGGTCACCGAACTCATTTTCTTGCTACATAATAAAATAGGTAAATCCACAAACACATTCTATTATAAAAGTTACATTACCTGAGTTATCTCCCCTTATGTGGCAAAGTTGGAAAAAAATGAATCAAACAAAAATATTCTGTTTTTTGTAAAATACAGCAGTAAATATGATAAAACACATAATTTTCTATAGTTACACGAAAAATCTTACACATGAATTACATACTACTCTCGAGATTTGCACATTTCATTAAAAATATAGACCGATTGTTATCTGCTATTTCAAAATCCAAGATGGAGGAAGACACCCAAGCTACCTTAATCAACTTCAAGCCTTGTTGCATATGGATTTTACATGACAGGGTTGCTGGTCCTATTCACAAATCTTCCCATTTCTTTAGCTTATCAATTTTTTTTATAACAAAAACAAAATTTTTTACCAAACATCATCCCTTATAGTAAGTTCCACAGCTTAACAGCTTATGCTTTATGTAAAAATTAACAGGTAAAGTGCCCTTTTTTATGTAACAACAATGCCAAATTCTGAAAAAGCTGTATAAAATTTCCAGTAGGTCTGCATCTAAAACTACAATGTATGTTTATCAAACATACATACTCGACCAAATAACTGTTTTTCTTAAAAAGTTCTATGTACTTGTTTAGTCCTGTTGTTAACCAAGAAAGTTGACACCAATAATAAGGACAATGCAAATAAAGCAATGGGGACATCTCAAACATGATATTAATGTTTAATTACATAATATATAGAGATAGTTAATTCGAACATTCCAAATTATTCCTCTGCTATCAAGACATTAACAAAACAGCTGCATTTAATAAAGAGTACAAATGATCAGACGTCTCTAAGAAGGATAAAACAGACATTAAGGTTTTGGCAAATACCACAGCAAAGAGGGCAAAAACATTATCCTGTTACAAATACCTTAGCAGTAGTGAAATTTAAATGAAATTCATTTGATAACAGAAAATTCACTTGCTATCAATTCAACCCATCAAAAGAATACTTCTCGACTTGACTGTATTACTCTTACCTTGTGAGTCCGCACTTGTAAAAAATAGCCATGTCCATCTTCACTAGCTCTACCCATGGAAATAAAATTATCGTCATCATACCAAGCTCCTCGGAAATTAGGAAATTCAACTCTAACAAGGCAGAGTTCTATTAGTTCTGTAATAAATTGATTACCCTCAAAACAACTATACAAATTTCAGACTATTTCATAATGATGGGACCCTTTGTATTACTGTTAAAGAAACTTCTAAGAGGATTGTATAAAAAGTGAACCATTATACTACAGAAACGAAATTGTTTTTTCAAGATGATGTAAGGAAACTATAAACTGTAATGGGCTTCAATTCAATTCAATTCTAAATGCTGAGGGACTGACATTCTGCATTGGAGTCAACTAAATACAACACAATTATTCTATTGTCTAACAAAAAATTAAATAGATATTACCTAACTCGGCTAAATGACCATGCAAAAGCCTCATGGGTACTCAGGCTTGTTAAACACCCCAGTAGTAGTACATGTACATGTAGTGACTCCTCCATAAGAAGCACCTTCCCTTAATATAATATTTACCTTTTCCAAAGTGATAAATCTTTATAAAGCCATCATAGAAGTACCCCATATCCATGCCAGCCACTAAAAGTTTGGTCTCTGATTGATTAAATTCAGAAAAACGTGTATAACTAGGTAAATCTACAACAAGTTTCTTTGTAAACATTGTGGTTGGCATTCCAAGTTCCCAAACCTAAAAATAATTATATAAACATATGAGTCTTAATAACACATCCATCCAGCAAATCTAATAGATATGTGATAACTTGGAAATGACAATGCTACACCAACAACAAGCAATAGTCTTTCTATAAAATATTATTTCATCAAAGAAAAATGTATGGAAGGATTACTAAATAAGGAAAAAGGAATATGTGATGAATGTACATGTGACAACACTAGCAAGATTTAACATGTACTGAAAAATAATAAATTATATCAACATGATCAAAGGAACATTAGTGTTATTGCTGTCCTTAATCATGACAGTTACTATAAGGTCTTTTAAAAATTTACATCTATCACTACGATGAAGTAACAATAAAAACAGAAATTATATATTGATATAGAGATATGTCTTACCTGTGTGTCATTTTGATAGTATAATACAAATGTTGAAATTCAAATGACAATCCTTTAATAAGTAAACTATGTAAACTTCTATGTCATTTGGTTTCTGGTGGAGAGTTGTCTCATTGACAAGCATACCACATCTTCTTATTCTTATATATAAAAGACATTCAAAGTCAATAAACCATGACTGAAGGTACAGGGCCATATAATCTCCTGGAATAAGAACTGCCAATGTTAATACAACTGCATACCAAATACTATTGATTTATCCTAAGTGGCTCAACTTAAACTGACCTTAACACAAACTTTAACATGTAAACTATGGAAAAGGTTCAGAGTCATTAAACCGTGACTGAAAGGGCAGGATCAAATAATCCCCATAAATATGAGATGTACCAATGCTAATACAACTGCATACCAAATATCATTGACTTACATGTACCACTAGTGGTTACCCATAAACTGACCTTATTACAAACTTAAACATTGTTGCCTAAGCTGTCCAGGAAACTCTTTAGTCTCACCTTCAGGTTAGACAAAAATGAGAAGGTATGAAACTTACACTTCAATAATCATTGTGTTACATCTTACTGAGGAAGAAACTTACAATAACATAGCCATCTTTTCCTGTTGAAGAGAAATATTTTCCTGATGGAGAGAACATCACATGATAAACTTCATCCTCATGTTCCTTTAAAACTTCACTTTCCACTACAGGAACATTCATACAGAGACGTCTGAATTCTTCATACCAACTCTCACAGTCAGGTAATGAAGTCCTTGGACGGCCCACTTTACAGCTGACTAAATCTTTCCATAAGCTTTCATCTATAGCAACACGTCTCCATTTCTATGAATGCAACAAAGTTTCTAATTCAGATGGAATGTATGAATTTAGTTTTTCTTCTGTCTCATAATATTGCTTGATGCATGTTTTTTTTATTTTATTTTTGTATTGCTGGGTTGCTGTATCATTGAAGACACCGAAGTTTTTTTCCTTTATTCATGTTGGCATAATGTCTTTTTATTTCAAATTCACATAGTGTTAACATGTTTGGTATCATTAAGGTAAGATTCCTATATATCAATTTTGAGATTTGTTGTTCAGGAGTTGTGAGACTCCTATTTTAACAAAAAATACACAAGAAAGTTTAAAAGAAGACAGAAATGTTGTTGTGTTAACATGTACATCACATCGTTTCTCTATTATTCAACCTATGTAAAATAAACATATTTGCCAGCTTGCATAATTTCATTAGGAATAAAAGTATCTAAATTATTTTTCATTGTTACAATTGAGTCTTTCAAAAAATTCTCTGTTAGTTTGCGTTAATATGCAAATACAAACAGAGATATTAATACTGTACATGTACAATGATGTACAAAGATGTACAATGATGTATGTATGCATCCAAATTACGTTTACAGATATCTTACACTACATGTCTTTGAAGCTTCCAACAAACTGTTACAGTCTAAGAATGAGAATATATGAATGATAAAGTCATCAGGCATATGTTGCCAGATTGAGCCATCACTCCACACATTGTCCTCATAATGCTGGCACAAATCTTTCTCCTTTATATCTTTGAATCCATCATGTATATCTTCTTCTATTTCTTCATTTCTGTCTTCCATTTTTTCTAATTCAAAACTAAAATCAATAAGTAAAAATTATTAAAGTTATAGCCTTGACTTGATCCATACAATGCCAGAGGTCATTCATAAAATTTTGGTAAAACATATAAATTTCCTATCGTCTTGAAAATGTTTTAATTATGTGGCTCAAATAATTTAAACTCTTGAGTAAAAAAAGTCATGAACTGATGACTCAAGCCAGGAATTATTATCTTCAGGTAATATAATACCCACACAAACATACAAAATCATTACAGTATTGCCAATGGGACAATTATCCACACTAGTTCAAATGACGAAGATATAAGCAATTATAGGTCATTGTATGCCAGCTGTCAACAATGAGGTAAAACCAGCTATAAAAGACCTTGACATGAAAAATGTGAAATAACTTGAACAAGAAAACTAATGGCCTAATTTATAAAAATTCAATTTATGAAAAAACAATTATGACAGACACGAACCAATGACAAGCATTGAATAACAGGCTTCTGACTTGGGACAGGCACATAAAGAATGTGGCGGGTTTAAACATGTTTGTGAGCACTAAAACCTACCCTTCACAAAAAAAAAACAATAGACACAAAGCACCAACATAAGAGTACTCACACAGGGGTTCAAATTAACGGTGGTCCGAGGTCTGTGACTTCCATTTACAGATTCAGACCTTCTCACCGGTAGTTAGTTACACCTGACGAACTTTCCTATTTTTGCAGGTTAAAAGTTACAAAAGCATTTTGAACAAAAAGTATAAAAATAATCTTAAAATATGCAACCTATTGAAACTTAACTTATGTGTTTTCTTAGATTCTTCACAATTGATTTGATGTGTAGTCACATGACCGGTCATCGTACAAGATACTGGGAAACTCGAGAATATAATATTACAACATAACTAGTAAATGATACAAGTCTGTTTGGTTTTGGGGTGACCTCTTCCAAAAGAAAATCTGATGAAACAGGGGATACAGAGGGGGTGATTGACGAAATGGCTTAACGCAGCTCAAAAGACAGGATCTGACTAAAGACCAAAAATAAGAACGTAAATTTTTCCCACACAAAGGGAAAGGGATATCGAAAAATGCCCGGGTTCGTTGGACAAAAAAACTTAAAACTTGACCCCATACTAATCATGATGAAAAATTACGCCCCACCATCTATATATCTTGCCAAAAAAGTGGTCAAAAGAAACCGACCCCAACGATTTGAAAACTAAGTTTAGCTGTTATCTGACACAAGGTTAGCCCAGTGTGTTCTTAAGCAGCAATTGAAACCAAAAGGTACAAAGTGTTATTTAACACAGCATATAGTGTTGGGGCAAAGGGGAAGCCTTTTTTTTTTACTGAATTTATTTAAGAAATTCAGAACATAAATGAGGGTAATGTAGTAGGATATGATGAGTGCTTTGGAATGGTAAGTATTTTCTGTTATAAATTGAATTTTCAATAAAATTGGACCTTCTAAGAATAAAGGAGGACCTTCAAGTATTTTTGGTCACAGGTCCTGGACCTTCCATTACCTAAAGTAAATTTGAACCCCTTTCACAGTTATTGACATCTAGTTCAAAACTACAGCTGTTTTTTTTATCAGAGAATATGTGCAGGTAAACAGGTATCATATGCAATTTCTGGTTGTGTATTAGACAGATTATACACTATCTAAACACATACAAGTTGACAGGCACATATTATTTACTCCAAAATTGGCAAAATATTATTGAAACAATCTCTGGTGCCCTAATTGATAATATTAGTCTCAAATTTTAGATATAGTCAACTTTCAACTCGTACACCTTCCCCAACATTTCTATGTCACAATGTTTATGTTATTATTTCACATTAAGAGTTGGTTTTTCAATGACAATTGCAACGAATGACCTCGATACAACTGGTGTTTTTCATTCATAAAAAAGAAAAATGGAAATTGGGTCTATGACGATGAAGAAAGTATGTTGCCGTAACAGCATATCAAAATTTTGAGTATTCATAAAGTTTAGCTTGCTTACAAGACCTGGGTGTCAATTAATAAATGTAAAAGATGTAAAAGAAATTGTAATATGGTAAATAAATAGCATTATTGGGTATCGGGTCCGTTCGCCCTAATTACATGTTCGCGCTGGGTCAGTTCGCCCTGAGTCCGTTTGCCCATACAGTCCATTCGCCCTGGGTCCGTTCGCCTTAATTTTTATAAAAAAAATAATATTAATGGTTTAATTTAAAGTTTTGTAATTTTATTAAGATATTAAAATGGTAAATATTAAAAATGTATATCTCCAAATTCATGAATAAACATTGAAATTAAAAAAAGAGGTTTTTGTTTTGGAGCATTAATCAGGCTAATTGGCTTCATTGTTACATTTGTTTTTATTCAGAATTACTTTTAATGACTGTTGATTGTAAATAAACTCAACATAGATACCAAGATTGAAACTTTGTATGCCAGACACATGCTTCGTCTACAAAAGACTCATCAGTGACGCTCGAATCAAAAAAGTTAATAAGGCCAAATAAAGTATGAAGTTGAAGAGCATTGAGGATCCAAAATTCCTAAAAGTTTTGCCAAATACAGCTAAGGTGATATATTTCTGAGGTGGAAGAGCCTTAGTATTCCGAAAATTAATTAAGAATGCTGATTAGATATGATTACGATGTCTTTGGTCTCACTGATTGTTGTAGTTATTGTTTTTGGTAAATTAATAATGAAATTGGTTTTTTAATTAACAAGTCAGCTTGGAATGAGTTAAAACAATGATGTAAGAATTGTAAGACATTAAAGGGAAATTGTTTTTGCCACTTAATTGGCTTTTTGATCTCAAGGTGTGGAGTGAGTTGGATCTTGTTATACCTGTTTGGATTGTTTTGAAATTGTTACAAGGTTTCAAAAAAAATAAATTCATACAGATAACTTGGTCTCCAGTTCCTAAACACTTCTTCTTCAAAATACTGTCCACATTCAACATGATGAATATTCTTGCAGGAATATTCAATGCAAATGAAAAGAAAAATCATTATCTGGTAGCATCAATACAACATAAATCCTCTTCTCATGGGGTTTCGTGCTATTAAGAATTCATTGTGACGTCACAATTTCCATTGAAAAAGCATGCATAGTACGAATTCATATGACATACGAAAACATATGATCTGACCAATTATTGCGGCGGAATTTTCAACAAACTTTAACATAATTAATTCAAATAATTTATATTATACCAGGAAGAAGAAGAAGACAAGATAACAAAATAAAATAGAAATCAGGGCGAACGGTCTCAGTGCGAACAGGAATTAGGGCGAAAAGACCCAGGAAAAAACAGGTATTAGGGTGAACAGGTACTAAGGCGAACGCTAATCAGGAGGAACGGACCCGGATTCGCATTATTGCAAACAACTAAAATCTCTCCACTCGTTTCAACACCAGCACTAACAAACCAGTCTAACATATAACCTATATAGGAAGTAACTATGTAAATATTTGTCACATATAGACATGAGATCTTAGAGTTTAGATACACACTTTAGTCATTTTCTGTCAGAATTGGTTCGTGACAGTCGAACTGAATACAGATAATACGGAAGATGAAAGTTTGTTGATGTTGACGAATAAACAGGATTACAGATCATGGTCTTTCTCCTTTCGAGCACTCGTTTCTTTCAAACGCTTTGACGATTAAAAATTCTCAAAGTTATCTCCCCTATATCGTCAAACTTACGACCCAAAATCACAAAAAAATGGGAAAAGAAAAAAAGAAAAAGCACCAAAGAGACAGATCATCTGACAGTAGACACAGGCACAAAAAATCAAAGAAACATAAGAGGTAAAAAAATAATTTCAGAATAAGTGATATTAAAAAAGATTCATTTATTATTATTAATATTACCTGTATGTAAATGAACAGGTTTAAACCTCAGTTTTCTTCCATCTCATTACTTACTTACTTATAGTTACTTATAGTTGATTTCCAGTACAGGATCCCTTAAGGTTCCTTTTCACCAGACACATAATTTAAATTTTTTCTAGTACAGTTTTGTCCGTGACTTCCGGATATTTCTGTTCTGTAGTCATTATAATATTATGTGAGTTCGTGGTCTAGTGGTTAAGACCGATGGCTACAGTGCTGAAGGTCCTGAGTTCGATTCTCACTCGGGGTGCTAAAAATATCAGTACATCAGAAGGGTGATTTTCACCCTCTCACACACATCTCTGGTACCCAGACCGGAGTTTAAACTAGAATGGGTACTATGGGGGCCTCGGTTGGTCAAAGTTGCTCCCGACTTTGACCTGGAGATCAATCTGCTGATATCTCTTCAGTTTGTCTGTTTCCGCCGAGCAGCCCGGTGGTTCTCTCCGAGTACTTCGGCTTCTTCCACCATAATAACAGATCCGCCCGGTGTCCTAACACTCCCTGGTGTTGGGGTGGGGATTGTCCTTGTAAATATTGAACATTGTAAATACGTTAGTGACACATCTCCATTACTCCCGATAGGGAGTGTACACGGATTCCACTGTACCCTCGCAGCTCTCGAGGGGTGCTCCGTAAACAGAGGGATCTACGTACATACATGCATAGCTCTTCGTCAGACCAATATTTATCTAGTGTGTTTTAAAGGCATTAATGAATTGGGCCTTTGTTATTTTATCTGGTAGTTTGTTCCTGGTTTTAGCAATTCTAACAGAGAATGAGTGTTTACGGGTATTTGATTGGAATCTTTGGTGAATGACTTTGTTACTGTTTGTCCTGCTACTAAATCTTTGTTGAGAATCATCTGCCATTTTTAAAAATGAGCTTACTTCTTTGTCATAGTAGCCATTGATTGTTTTGAAGGTTTCAATCATATCCCCTCTTATTCTCCTATAGGATAGTGTTGGTAAGCCTAGTTTTTTAAGTCTCTCTGGATAGCTCATGTCTTTGAGACCTGGTAGTTGTTTTGTTACATGTACCTTCTTTGGACTCCTTCTATATATTTTATCAATATCTTTTTTCTTGTATGGAGACCAAACTGAACTTGCATAGTCCAAATGAGTTCTAACCATGGTTTTGTACAGTGGTATGAATGTCTCAATTCCCAAGTATTTAAATGTTCTTCTGAGAACTGCAAATATGGAGTTGGCCTTGTTCACTTTTTCATTGCTAGAACTTATTTAACTGTTCTGATGATTGGGTATTTTTCAATAATTTCTGTTCATGTCATTTTTATGACCAGAAAAACGTGTTTGTGTTGGGGAAAACGGTCTACATGGTCTATATAAATAAGAAGATGTGGTATGAGTGCCAAATTATGAGACAACTCTCCATCCAAGACACAAATTTATAAAAAGTTAACAATTATAGGTCAAAGTACATCCTTCAACACGGAGCCTTGGCTATAAAGGGCCCCAAAATGACTAGTGTAAAACAATTCAAACAGGAAAAGCAAGGTCTAATCTATATAAAAAACGAGAAACAAGAATCGAAACACCTATGAACCACACCAACAACTACAAACCGCTGAACAACAGGCTAGCCAGAAAGATGTTATGAATCTCAGATTGTTCTCTAACACATATAATATTATGCTTGGTCCAGTTTACATGGTTAAATCAAATTCTATCTGTAATTTTGATTTGAAAAATGGACAACTTGACTATGATGGAAACCCTGAGCAGCATTCATGTTTTCACATTTCAATGCCAACAGTTATATACAATTAGTTATGCATAAAGATATTTTATTTTATTATAGGGCAGACTCTGATGGAAACCCTGAGCAGCATTCATCTTTTCACATTTCAATGCCAACAGTTATATACAATTAGTTATGCATAAAGATATTTTATTTTATTATAGGGCAGACTCTGATGGAAACCCTGAGCAGCATTCATGTTTTCACATTTCAATGCCAACAGTTATATACAATTAGTTATGCATAAAGATATTTTATTTTATTATAGGGCAGACTCTGATGGAAACCCTGAGCAGCATTCATCTTTTCACATTTCAATGCCAACAGTTATATACAATTAGTTATGCATTAAGATATTTTATTTTATTATAGGACAGACTCTGATGGAAACCCTGAGCAGCATTCATGTTTTCACATTTCAATGCCAACAGTTATATACAATTAGTTATGCATAAAGATATTTTATTTTATTATAGGAGAGACTCTGATGGAAACCCTGAGCAGCATTCATGTTTTCACATTTCAATGCCAACAGTTATATACAATTAGTTATGCATAAAGATATTTTATTTTATTATAGGAGAGACTCTGATGGAAACCCTGAGCAGCATTCATGTTTTCACATTTCAATGCCAACAGTTATATACAATTAGTTATGCATAAAGATATTTTATTTTATTATAGGGCAGACTCTGATGGAAACCCTGAGCAGCATTCATCTTTTCATATTTCAATGCCAACAGTTATATACAATTAGTTATGCATAAAGATATTTTATTTTATTATAGGAGAGACTCTGATGGAAACCCTGAGCAGCATTCATGTTTTCACATTTCAATGCCAACAGTTATATACAATTAGTTATGCATAAAGATATTTTATTTTATTATAGGGCAGACTCTGATGGAAACCCTGAGCAGGATTCATCTTTTCATATTTCAATGCCAACAGTTATATACAATTAGTTATGCATAAAGATATTTTATTTTATTATAGGAGAGACTCTGAGTCTGAAGATTCTTATGATTCTGATTCAGTTGATTCAAGGTCAAGGTCACCAAAACATAAAGAGAGATATAGGTCAAGGTCAAGATCACCAAAACGAAATGAGAGATATAACTCAAGGTCACCCAGAAGACATGGAGAAAAGTCTAAATCTCATAAAATGAATTACAGGGATTCATCTGCTAGCTCCAATTCTGGTAGTTCAGATGATGAAAGATTTAAACAAAGGGAGAAGAAGAAGTTTCAGAACATTGAATTATCTAAAGAAGAAAGAAGGTATAGTATATACATTAAAATTAGAATCTTTACAAAACTTTGTATAAGGATTAGATAACCCTATTCAGATATTGGTTAGAATATTAAAGTCACAACTAACTGCCTTGATGGTCTTGTGATAAGTTGATCCCATACATGTACTAGTATATGTTCCTGACCATATTATCAGTCAGAGTCATTGCTTAAACAAGTAACTTTTAAAATTACCTATACAAGTTATGTTGAAAACGAGGCTATTTTAGATATAACTTATATAATTAACTTTTGTAATTATTATTTCTATAGGTGTCCATTAATACAGATTTTACTAGCTTTAACAAATTTTCACAGACATCTGGTTATTTTTCCCATGAAATATAAAAACTAATCCTTCTGAAACACTAATTGCTTTTCTGACACGCACTTTCATTTCATGTTGATGCTTCTGGGTCAAAGATTGGTCTCTTGGGACTATTAAAATATCATTTTCCTTGAAAATCTTAAAGGTAGACAGATATAAATAGATGGAAACTTGTGATTTAATCAAGACTTGAAGTTATTTATAATTTGTAACCCAAAACATATACATATGTTCCTTAAATAATTGTAATTACTATTTTTTCAAAGATGCATAAAATAACTTATACAAGTAATATTTTTGTCAGTATTTTTAAAGTAACCTTTTATGTTTATATTCCTCTCAAAGTAGATAAATTCTTAATTATACGCCCGTTTACGGGACGTATTATGGTATACCGCTGACCGTCTGTCCGTCCGTCGTCAACATGTCAGACATTAATTCAAAAATGCTTTAACCAATATGCATGAAACTTTGGTGAATTGTTCATATCTATTGACATGAGCTCCCTTTCCTTTTTTATAAATTTCAGATTTACCATTTCTGAGTTTTGGAGTTTTATTCATTAAAAAAGGGGGGATTTTCCAGTTTTCGGACAATAACTCAAAAACAATTTCACCAATTTGCATGAAACTTTTGTGAATTGTTCATATCTATTGATGTGAGCTCCCTTTCATTTTATACAAATTTCGAATGTACCGTTTCCAAGTTTTGGAGTTTTATTCATTAAAAAAGGGGGGATTTTCCAGTTTTCAGACAATAACTCAAAAATAATTTCACCAATTTGCATGAAACTTTTGTCAATTGTTCCTATCTATTGATGTGAGCCTCCTTTCGTTTTTTATAAATTTCGGATTTACCGTTTCTGAGTTTTGGGGTTTTATTCATTAAAAAAGGGGATTTTCCAGTTTTCAGACAATAACTCAAAAACAATTTCACCAATTTGCAAGAAACTTTGGTGAATTGTTTATTTCTATCGACATGAGCTCCCTTTTGATTTTTATAAATTTCAGAATATCTATTTATGGGGTTTTATTCATTACAAAAAGGGGGATTTTCCCGTTTTCGGACAATAACTCAAAAATGCTTTCAGCATTTTTTATGAGACTTTGGTAAATAGTTTATATCTATTTTTGTAAGCTCCCTTTTGATTTTTATGAATTTTCGATTTTACATTTCAATGTTAAAAGATTTTATTTGTTTATAGTCTGACAACAGATTTACTAAGTATTGCGCAACAGCAAGAAATCTTTCATATAACCAATTTCAAGTTCTTTGTCTACATTTATTTAGAAACCTATAATATATCAAATATTTAATTACAATCCAAATTCAGACCTGTATCAAGCTTGAATATTGTGTCCATTTTTGCCCCAACTGTTCAGGGTTGGACCTCTGCGGGCGTATCCAGCTTCGCTCAGCGAAGCAGTTTATTTTATTAATAAAATGATGTAAAAATTTATAATCAAAGTACTGAAGTACTGAACATCAGATGACCGCAAGTTCTTGTGGATTGTCAAAAGCACTTTTCACAGAAAAAAATCATCACATCTCTATACCTGAAACTGAGGTTAATGTACAGAGATATTTTTTTTCTGAGACAAGTTCCTGCATGGATGACGAATAAATGACAGGAAATTCAACCTCACCGTAATAACTATTATATTGTAGTGAAACAAATCAGTATACACTGGTTTGTTGTTATATATTATATTAATTTAACAGTTACATGTATATATAATTTTCATCCATTTGTATATCATTCTATTCTACTATTCTAATAAGAGTGCAGTGCAAGTACATGGTGAACACTCTTCTGTAAAAAATTGATTTTTCTAAAAGATTGGATATGAGTAGGCATTCATATTTTCCCGCAAAAACAATCTTCCATGCAGAGTTACCGGTCCTTGCCTGGATTGTTGCAAAATGTTCTTGAGATATTCTTCCGCATGCTTTACCATGTCAATGATTTTTTACTTATATATATATATCTAACGACAAAACATTTTCATATTATTAATTTATGTTCTGAACAAAAATATTGTTATCAGTATTCATTGAAGAGATGTATTTATAACAAACAATAAGGAATGTTATTTTGCACTCGTTAATATCCGCGTATTTATCATGATTATAGATCGGTTACAAACCCAAAACGAAAGTTACGTAATGGAAATCTAGGCGATAGCAATACATCAGAATGCCCTCACGGTCCATGCTTCTACTGAAATTTAAAATAACTCTTTTATAATTCTTAAAAACAAAAATTACCTATATAAGTAACTAAAAAAATTACTTGTTCAAGTAACATTACTTGTTCAAGTAACCCCCTTGACTGATTATTACATGTATTAATTAGTATTTGGACCATATGCATATACATTAACTTTTATAGCTTACTATAATGTATGGGTTTTGCTCATTGTTGAAGCCTCTTCCTGTGGTCTCTGGTGCATAATTGTCTCATTGGCAATCATACCACATCTCTATTTATATTTTTATACATGTTTTGCTGACTGTTCTTTTGTAGGAGGCAGAAAGAATTGATGAAAACTTATGAAACACCAGAAGAGAAAAGGGCCAGGAGAATGGCAAAAAAAGATGCTAAGGAAAGAAAGAGGAAGGAACAAATGGGATGGGATAAAGACTATTTGGTATAGTGAAAAGATATTATAGTCTACATATTGTTATTATTTATCAGTGTGTTTTAAACAAAAAATAAAACAAATATAAATAGACAGTAAATAAAAAGAGGAAGTTCTACCTGATCGAATGCACATCAAAAAAATCATTTTTTTTCCAGACATTATTTTGAAGTCAAAATAACCACGTTAAAAAAATTGCAGGTTTTCTATATAAAAAGACCTCAGTTTACATCAGATGCTGCCATAATTTGAGAGAATACAACTAATCCAATCAGTTAATTGTCTTGCCTGCGACAAAAGTCTCAGTATGCAAGACATATGGACTAATATCTAGCAGCGGCGTAAACTATTTGTATAAATCTTTATATTTCAGAAGGTAGAAGACCTGGATGCTTCATACCTTGTAGGCAGATACCTTGTGTAACAAAGTTTCCGTCTGTCATATGTCCTTGACCTCATTTTCATGGTTCAGTGAATGCTTGAAAGAAAATGCAGTTTTTTTTCATGTGATTTTTTCACTTTTATTTTTCATTTCCGTTCTCTAACTTTTGTTTGTCTCAACCAAATGTTATAAAACTTATACACAACCATTCTAGAGTTATGCGTGTTTACAAATAGAAAAATTGCTGAATTTTTAGTTTCTGTTCTCTACTTAAGTTAGCCTCAACCAAATGTTATGAGACTTACACACAATGCTTATTACCGCAAAACTCAGATCAAGTTCAAATTTGGGTAGCGTCACTTTTACTGTTCTTCAGTTATATCCCTTTATAACTATATGATATGCAAGGGGGGGCATCATCTGTGTCCACATGTGGACACTATCCACATTTATTTTTTTTGAAAAAGGGGGGGGGGGGGGGAGGTAAAAAAAATTTGGGGGGGGGGGGGGGTAAAAAAAAATTGTGGGGGGGGGGGGGTCAATTCGCAACAGCATAGTGTATTGCAGAAAAGCAAAAAATTTAATATAAATTCAAATCATATAACCAATTCTAAGTTCTGTGACTACAGTTATTCTGTGTCAGAAACCTATTATGTGTCAAATATTTAATTACAATCCAAATTCAGACATGTATCAAGCGCGAATATTGTGTCCATTTTTGCCCCAACTGTTCAGGGTTGGACCTCTGCAGTCGTATCCAGCTGCCCTTGGCGAAGCAATTTATTGTGTTTTGGTCTGTTTTTCAATTACCATAAGCATTGGGTCGACTTTATTTGGTGTTTGGAATAATTGTAAGGTGTACATGTCGGTGTGATAGTTTTTATCTGACCTTGACCTCATTGTCATGGATCTTTAAAAATGTTAACTTTGTGTGATACTTGTAGTAAAACCTTTATCTTAAAGACTTTCAACATAAAATCAATGATCAGTAAAACAGGCGAGACATTTCAGACATATCAAGTTTTGTTAATTCATTAAATAGCTCATTCATGATCACTGGTGGTATAGAAAATTGTTCATGTTTATATAATTTATTTTTAACAAATTTACCAAGATTACTGAAATCTGATTTGTCTACAGTTGTATAACTTCCTTGCTCTCTTAGTTTTTCAGCACAGGAAGTGAAAAAGTTATTAAAAGTATCAGCTATTGATATTTTACTTTCAGTTGTATTGTTATCATCTGTGGCTAACTCATATGATGTATTTTTATACGACCGCAAAAATTGAAAATTTTTTGGTCGTATATTGGTATGACGTTGGCGTCGTCGTCGTCGTCGTCGTCGTCTGGCGTCGTCCGGCGTCGTCCGAAGACACATTGGTTTTCGCACTCTAACTTTAGTTTAAGTGAATGGATCTCTATGAAATTTTACCATAAGGTTCAATACCACAAAAGGAAGGTTGGGATTGATTTTGGGGGTTATGGTACCAACAGTTAAGGAATTAGGGGCCAAAAAGGGGCCAAAAATAAGCATTTTTGTAACTTCCAGACATAACTTGTGTGTTAGTGTATGGATCTCTCTGACATTGTACCACAAGGTTCCATATCACACAGGGAATGCTGGGATTAATTTTGGGGGTAATTGCCTCAAAATATTAGGAATTAGGGGCCAAAAAAGGGGCAAAAAACAAGCATTTTTTTAGTTTCATGACAATAACTTGTGTGTAAGTGTATGGATCTTTCTGAAATTGTACTACAAGGTTCCATATCACAAAGGGAAAGCTGGAATTGAGTTTGGGGGTAATTGCCCAAAACGTTTAGGAATAAGGGGCCAAAAAGGGGCCAAAAATAAGCATTTTTCTAGTTTCCAGACAATAACTTGTGTTCAAGTGTATGGATCTCTCTGAAATTGTACCACAAGGTTCCATATCACACAGGGAATGCTGGGATTGATTTTGGGGGTAATTGCCCAAAACGTTTAGGAATAAGGGGCCAAAAAGGGGCCAAAATAAGCATTTTTCTAGTTTCCAGACAATAACTTGTGTTCAAGTGTATGGATCTCTCTGAAATTGTACTGCAAGGTACCATACCACAAAGGGAAAGCTGGGATTGAGTTTGGGGGTGATGAATCATAAGGGGGTTCAAAAAATTTGGGGGGGGATTTTTTTTTTTTTTCCTTTTTTTTTTCTTTTAAAATTTTCCATGTTAAGTTGGTTATTTCTGTTTTATATTTAAAAGCAAATAATAACGATATGGTAGGAGATACACACCAAACAGGATGTGTAAATTATTATAAAATAAGTATTGTGCAATAGCAAGAAATTTTCAATTGCACAGTATTGCACAATAGCAAGAAATCTTCAATTGCACAGTATTGCGCAATAGCAAGAAATCTTCAATTGCACAGTATTGTGCAATAGCAAGAAATATCCAATAGCACAATATTGCGCAATAGCAAGAAATTGTCAATTGTACAGTATTGCGCAATAGCAAGAAATATTCAATTGCACAGTATTGTACAAAAGAAGATACTTCGTATAAATTGCTTATTTCTTGACCAATTTCAATGGGGTTTTATTCTTGAATTCTTGGGGTTCTTTAATATGCTGATTCTAACCGTGTATTAAGTTTTTGGATTTTGGGCCCCGTTTTTAAATTGGTCCACATTGAGGTCCAAAGGGTCCAAAATTAAACTTTGTTTGATTTCATCAAAAATTGAATTATTGGGGTTCTTTGATATGCCGAATCTAACCGTGTATTTAGATTCTTAATTTTTGGTTCTGTTTTCAAATTGGTCTACATTAAGGTCCAAAGGGTCCAAAATTAAACTTAGTTTGATTTTAACAAAAATTGAATTCTTAGGATTCTTTGATATGCTGAATCTAAACATGTATTTAGATTTTTGATTATGGGCCCAGTTTTCAAGTTGGTCCAAATCGGGGTCCAAAATTAAACTTTTTGTTTGATTTCAACAAAAATTGAATATATGGGGTTCTTTGATATGCTGAATCTAACCATGTATTTAGATTTTTGATCTTTGGGCCCCATTATCAACTTAGTCCACATTGAGGTCAAAAGGGTCCAAAATTAAACTTTGTTTGATTTCATCAAAAATTGAATTCTTGGGGTTCTTTGATATGCTGAATCTAACCATGTATTTAGATTTTGGATATTGGACCATAATAGTTGAATGTCCAATTTAAAATTTTTAAGTTCTTAGACCACATTCATTCTGTGTCAGAAACCTATGCTGTGTCAAATATTTAATCACAATCCAAATTCAGAGCTGTATCAAGCTTGAATGTTGTGTCCATACTTGCCCCAACTGTTCAGGGTTCGACCTCTGCGGTCATATCAAGCTGCGCCCTGCGGAGCATTTTATTAACTTTTGGGTACGGACTGCAAAGACATTATCATAAAGTTTTAGGGTCATTGGAGTCCTTTACCAAATTTTATGATAATTCTTTTTTGAGTTATCAATGATTTGTTTAAATGATTTGATATTGAAGTTGTTGACATTTAATAATGATATCTATCAAATTTTTGCGTTTTTGCCTGATATCAAAAATACAATAATAGATAGAGACAAACTTAAATGCAAAAATGATCAGCAAGACAAGATCTACAAATATGTTAAAATGATTGAATTCATCTGACGACCCTTTATTAGAGTTATTGCCCTTTAATGATGATTTTTACCAATGTTTTTCATGTTTGCCTAATATATGAAAAACTATAATAGATAGATAGAGACTTAATAACAAAAAATGATCAACAAGACAAAATCTACTAATAAGTTAACAGTTTGAATTTTTCTGACGATCCCTTATTGGAGTAATTGCCCTTTAATGAAGATTTTACAATTTTTTTTACATTTTTGTCTAATATCTGAAAAACTATAATAGATAGGTAGAATCTTGAATAAGCAAACTTGATCAGCAAGACAAGATCTACAAATAAGTCAATAGACATAGACCTTGGTGAGCAACACAGGCTCTTTAGAGCCTCTAGTTTTGTATAATCATTGATAATATGTATGATAATAAAGTATCTGATCATTGTATTATTGATATAGGGTTATACAAACAGCGACAATCCATTTGGAGATGAAACACTGCTGGAAACATTCACATGGAAGAAGAAAAATGAAAAAGAAGGAGTCAAAGTCCAGTCACATGATGAAATGCAAAGAATTCAAAAGCAAAAAATGGATGAAAGCAGGGTATGATTTCAATACATAGTATTTAGAATTACTTGGCATCTTGATGGACTGTCTTTAATATTTTCAAAAATTTTCTCATTTGAAACCACAGGTGATCACCCATAGCCACTATAACCTCCTCAGAGCATATAGTTTCTAAAAAAAATTTCAATGATACTGCTAAACAGTTACTTTTAATACATGTAGAATATAGGAGGTACTTTATTTATTGCTTTCTTCTAAATATTTTCCTGATCCTTTAGTTCTATACATGTTAACTGTTTAATAAGTACTTATAGATTATTTGTGATGTTTTTTTCATTTGACCCACATTTGACATACTTATGGCCATTTGACTTTGAAAATTTCTTTAAAATAAGTGTCCCTTCTGTTATAAACCATTTTTGACGATATCAAACTGATATTTTGTATCTATATGTATATTTAGCTAATGCAAATCACATATTTGATGCTTTGATGCCAGATGAGCAAAAAGGGTACCTTCAAAAATCTAGTTTTGTAACCAATGTTTTTGATTTTTTTTTATATAAATGCACATTAGTGTTAGATAAGATATTATCTTGAAAAAAAACATATATTCACCAAAAAATTAAGAAATTAATGGACTGTAGTAAGATAAAATTTCTCGATTACCACCAAAACAAAGTATCTGCATTTGTTTCTTTGCAGAGAGAACTTGAAAAAGTTAAAAAGAGAAGACTGGAAAGAGAAAGAGAACTTGATGAAAGGGAAAGAGAAAGGGTAAAAATTTTTTTTTTTTAATTTCACCTTCAGCAATATTCAAATATTAAAGAAGCTGAAGACTTTGAGATATTATGGTCAGCAAATTTTATCATTTGTTTTTATACGACCGCAAAAAATTTTGCGGTCGTATATTGGTATCACGTCGTCGTCCTCAGCGTCATTTGAAGACATTTGGTTTCCGGGCAATAACTTTAGTAAATGTAAATAGAAATCAATGAAATTTAAACACAAGATTTATAACCACAAAAGGAAGGTTGGTATTGTTTTTGGGGGTTATAGTCCTAACAGTTTAGGAATTCGGGGCCAAAAAGGGGCCCAAATAAGCATTTTTATACGCCTGTTTACCGGTCGTATTATGGTATACCGTTGTCCGTAAGACTCGAAAACGCTTTAACCAAATTGCATAAAACTTTGGTGAATTGTTTAAATCTATTGACGTGAGCTCCCTTTAATTTTTTTTAAATTTTAGATTTTACATTTCTGAGTTATGGGGTTTTATTCATTAAAAAAAGGGGGATTTTCCAGTATTCGGACAATAACTCAAGAATGCTTTCACCAACTTGCAAGAAATTTTGGTTAATTGTTTATATCTATTGACATGAGCTCCCTTTTGATTTTTATAAATTTTAGATTTTACTTTTCCAAGTTACAGGGTTTTATTCATAAAAAGAAGGGTGATTTTCCAGTTTTCGGACAATAACTCAAAAATGCTTTCAGCAGTTCTCATGAAACTTTTATGAATTGTTGATATCTATTGATGTAAGCTCCCTTTAGAATTTTATAAATTTTAGATTTTACATTTCCGAGTTATGGGGTTTTATTCATTAAAAAAGGGGGGATTTTCCAGTTTTCAGACAATAACTCAAAAATGCTTTCAGCAATTCTTATGAAACTTTGGTGAATTGATTATATCTATTGATGTAAGCTCCCTTTAGAATTTTATAAATTTTATTTGTTTATTGTCTGACAACAGATTTACTAAGTATTGCGCAACAGCATAGTGTATTGCACAACAGCAAGAAATCTTTAATTGAATATAAATTCAATTCATATAACCAATTTCAAGTTCTTTGACTACATTTATTCAGAAACCTATAATATGTCAAATATTTAATTACAATCCAAATTCAGACCTGTATCAAGCTTGAATATTGTGTCCATTTTTGCCCCAACTGTTCAGGGTTGGACCTCTGCCTGCGTATCTAGCTGCGCTCAGTGAAGCAGTTTATTCTAGTTTTCAGACAATAACTCGTGGAACGGTGTATGGCTCTCTCTGAAATTATACCACAAGTTTCCATACCACAAAGGGATGGTTAGGATTTGCTTTGGGGGGTTATGGCTCAAACCATTTAGGAATTAGGGGCAAAAAAGGGGGAAAAACAAGGGTTTCCTGGTTAATGGACAATTAAAAAAAAGTAAAATGTTATGTTTAGATTACCTCCCTTACTCTGCTTTTAAATTATGTATAAAGAAATGTTGTGTTGTCTTGAGGTGATTAGCTGTCAATTTATTTTTAGAAGTTACAATTTGAAAATGCTGATTAAGGAATATTAATTTTAGCCATGATTATGTATGTCATTTTCTATTTTAAGACTTTTATGATGATAGTTGCAAACTCCATTGGAAATTTGAATTGAGATTAAGACCATATCTTGCCGGAAAGAATTTTTTTTTTGGAAAAAGGGGGGGGGGGGGGGGGGGGGGACAATTTTTTCTCATTTCAGATTTCAGAAATTAAAAGGAAAATTTCTTCAAATATTTGGGGGGGGGGGGGTCAATTCGCAACAGCAAAGTGTATTGCACAAAAGCAAAAAAAAGGGGGGGTAAATTTTTTGTAATTTTTTTTTGGGGGGGGGGGCAATTTGCAACAGCATAGTGTATTGCACAAAAGCAAAAAATTGAATATAAATTCAAATCATATAACCAATTCTAAGTTCTTTGACTACAATTATTCTATGTCAGAAACCTATTATGTGTCAAATATTTAATTACAATCCAAATTCAGTCCTGTATCAAGCGCGAATATTGTGTCCAATTTTGGCCCAACTGTTCAGGGTTGGACAGAGCTCCAGATAAGAATTTACTAATTAGGGTTTTTACTCCTCATTTTTTATGTAATTGAGTGAAATAGTTTTTTCTTTTGCATCATCAGTTCAAGTTCACCCCTCAGGCAAAGATTGAATTGGGTTTTTCACTCCAATATTCCTGAATGTATTGGGGTTTTTTCATCATGGTTTTAAAATTAAGACATTTACTCTGTTTTGGCTAAAATTGATTCATTGTCCATACCTGCCAACATTTCAAAATGCCAATGGGGCTTTTATGTACAATATGACCCCGTTCACACTTGGACATTTATATTGATTTAAACTAGATCGGTTCACTTTAGATCGATTTAAGCCTAATGTTAACGCTTTGAATTGATCTTGAATCGGTCTAAAATAAAACACCAAAAGAGGTAGTTTAGTTTGAATCGATCTAAAGTGAACCGATCTAACTTTAAATGTGAACGCAGAGATCGATCTAAACTAGTACGATTGAATCGAAAATAGTTTGTGCGCATGTATGGCGGAAAAATTACATGTGTAATTTATTACAAAATTGATTACCAACATAAAAGGGCTGAAAATTAACGAAAACTATACGAACAGCAGTATCAACATTTGAACTTGTAATTCAAGTGAAACAATTACTTCATCCATTATTTTTTTTTGCAAGTGTGTGTATCAACACATGACCGGTAATTTGATTAAATATTTCTTTTTATACACAGTGTTTACAATTTCCCGGGTAATTAGGTCAGATCGATTGCATTTTTACTTGTAGTGTGAACGCAGTGGTTTAGATTAGAACGATAGAGATTGTTAGGATCAAAGATAATGTGAACACTAACTGGTTTTATTTAGATCGATTCAAATTTAGATTGATTTAAAAAAAAGCTAGTGTGATCGGGGTCTATGGCTCTCATAGTCCTATAAAACCTTTAAAGGGGCCTTCGAATTTATGTTTATGTTGTTTTTTTTCACTTCTTCATACTTGTACAGATCTATAGCCATCTTAACTTGATTGTTTTGTTTTGAATTGTTGACAAAATTGTTCCCTCAAAAATGGATGCATCAATATTATAGTTCTGTGAATGTGTTAAAACAATTAAATATCGATTCATGGACATTTTAATTTTTACCCAATTTAGTGACATAAACCAAAATATTGTCCATGTTAGCAGCAAAACAAACACAGTGACTTTAAATTTATGATCATGTAGATGGTTGGTTATTTAATGTCCAGTGTCATTGCACACGGAGTTGTATCTTTCTCCAACATGTCCAAGAGTGAATTAATAATATGGGTGACATTTCTGTGTTCCTCAGAATATGTGTCAGTTTTGAGATAATTTAATAAACTACGTCTCTGGCACAAGAGGTGCTTTTTCTACCTCTTCTATTCCGTGATATAAAAAGAAAATTTTATGAACTGATGCAGATTGTTTATCGGGACACAAAATTTAAGCAAGGGACAAACGATTTAAAGATTTCGACAAGGCAATGACCCAGTTCTGCCATTTGTAACTTCTCGACCCTTATCGCTTCACTTACATTTACGTCAATGTAAGTGAGCAAGAATGCCCGAGTAGATACCATTGCTTTTTGATTGGTGCTCTATTTTAAGAACGAAAGTAGATTTCTTTAAATTAAAAAAAATAGATTTATAAATTACGCAAAAATAATTCATTATTTAGGGTAAATAACGCACTTGACAGCAACTAATAGGGTTGGGAATGAATCATTTTAATAAATAATTGGATTCTTCTTACAATGAATTGGGTTTTGAAACGCCGAGAAGGACAATAGAATTGGGTTTTCTATTATTTTAATTGCATAATTACGCAAATATGCAGCTTATCTGGAGCTCTGGTTGGACCTCTGCGGTCGTATCCAGCTGCGCTCGGCAAAGCTATTTATTCTTGATTTTATGATATACATACCTACAATAATGAAATCAAAACTCAAATTTCAATTTTTGCATATGATATTATTCTTCAAAGAACCAATGCTCTGATTTCCATGTACACAACAGATGGTTCTATTGGAATGACTTCACAAGGTAGGCTTGTGAGCAAAAGTTTGGAAAATCAAATATATAAAACATGTGAGAGAATAAAAGTCAGTAGAACATAAACAGAACAGCCAAAAGCCTATGAGATCAACTTTGCCTGAAGGAGTTGCAAATTTATTTGGATGACCCATTTTCTGCACCTTTGGTTCTGCAATACTTAACAATGGATTACAACTATTTTCAAAATAGATCTATCAATGTAAATATAGAATTTAAAATGTACATTTATAGTTGTAAACCTTTGACAACCCAAAATTAGTGAGATCAATTCATGCAATATCAGTACAGGAACACACAATCACATTAATGTTTTGCCACCATTCTATTGAAGAAAGTCCAAAACTTCAATAAGTTATCTGAAATTGTGAACTGTATAAAAAAAAACTGACATGAAAATATAAATAATAACACATTTAGAAATTACTGATGCAATTGGTTATTTTGTTTAAACAGGAACAGTTACAAAGAGATAAAGAAGCTGAATATTACAGAGAGTGGGAAAAACAAGAAGACACTGTAAGCTTTTACTACTTAGTGTTATTAACGTAGAATGTGTATGATAAAGGTTTTGTTCAGTCAGGTATTGCAGCAAGGTCTGAACTTTAATTTAGAAATTTTAATTTGTGATTATAATGAACCTGAGAAAAGCTAAATGAAATAATCATGTACTTCAGAAATCATATGTACTGAATAATAGTACTTATGATGTCATATAGAAAAGGCAATGTTTGAGATTTCTAGATGAGTCTACTTAAAAATGGTGACCTATAGTTGTTAATTTCTGTGTCCTTTCGTCTCTTGTGGAGAGTTGTCTCATTGGCAATCATACCACATCTTCTTATTTTTATATTTGTGAATAGCAGATATAGAGCCAGTTTGAAACCTGTACATAAAAATCTATTTGCATCAACAAAACCATTCATATTAATATATACTGTTCTTGCATGCTTTATTATATATTACTAAAAAATATATATTGTAATGGACAGTTTTGTTGTTATATGAGAAAAAAAACAGTGGAAAATTATACTTCCTTTCTATCTTAGGGAATAATTGAATATTTGGGGAGCAGGACAAAAACCCCCTAACTTAATCTCCCAGAGAAAAGTCCTCCAAGCCAGATTTTGTGTTTTGAAATAATGCATGACTTGTAATCAATTCAAACATGTATTTATCTCTTTTAGTTCCATCTGAACCAAGCTAAACTGAGGTCCCAGATCAGAATTCAGGATGGAAGAGGTAACTATTACCTTTTATCTTTTGAAAAAAAAAATTGTTTTTGAAATTTTCAAAAACAACTACTTCATATCGATTTTATCACTTACATGTTTAAGAACTGTCAGACATTTTAAAATTTGATCGTTTAACATGTCACATAAATCTGTGACAACTTCCTGTAAAATATCCAACATTTTTCCAAAATTTATAAAATATTCTCGTCTTTTTCATTCAGATGTATTAACTTTTATCAGACATTTTTTTCTAGTTTAATCAAGTTTTAAGGTCAATTTTAATCAAAAGATGAAATATTTAATCTCTTGAAATTACCATGTAACAACTTCTGAAAGTACTAATTATATTTATCTGAATAGTTATGAGAGGTCTTTAATTTAGGTGATGTAACATTAAAGTTCAGTCTTCAAGTGTGATCAGTACTTTTAAAAAAATATATAAAACTGATTAAGGATTATCTTATATTCTCACATTAACGATCCATATAAAAAAGTCTTTAATAGCAAATGTATCATTTCTGTAAGTATAATTACTTTAAATTTGCTTCATTTACAAATGTGGTTGATGTTTTTTTGTTACTTTATTTTTTAGCCAAGCCTATAGATTTACTAGCAAAGTACATCAGTGCCGAGGATGATGTCTCAGCCATAGAAATGCATGAACCTTATACATATCTTTATGTAGGTATAATCACTATCCAGTAAAGACAATTATTCCTTATGATTGGTTAAGATACCATTTGTGTGAAATAAGTTGCAGTATATTAAAAATTCAAAACAAAGGAAAGAAATTCAACAAGAGGACATTATAATGTAAATAATATTTTAAGTTTTTTTTTAATTTTTATACCAATATGGATGATTTTACAACACCCTATTTGAGGTTAGATAAAATAAATGTTGCAGAATTCTCTTCCTTTGTCATTGTGAAACATGCCCCAAAGAGAAAGAAGAACATATATCATTTGGCAATGTAAACTGTCATCTTAAGATATGTTCATATTGAAAGTAAATTCAACAAAGAGTTAAGATAAGATTAAATAAGTTTGGAGAGTAGAAAAAAATAATGTTGTATACGATGGATCTTGTTTCTGCTTAAAACAAACAAAAATTATGATCAGAAGTTCTAATATTGTGTTGCAGTGTTATAAATGATTATGATGATATTATTAAGAAAAATTGACTTGAAAATTATAAAATTTATATAATTTACTTTTAAAAAAGCATTGTTTGTCAAACATTGATGTATATTTGTTATATTGCAGGGTCTTACAATTACAGACATGGAAGATTTGTTAGAAGATATTAAAGTTTATCTAGAGTTAGAGGAAGGCAAGAATGCTGACTACTGGAGGGATATTATAACTGTGACAAATGATGAACTTTCTAAACTCAGAAAATTAGACAACACTCAAAAAGGTAGTGTAATACATTCTTGTAAGAAATTTCATGCAAATCAACTTTTAAAGTTCACTACAAATTTTCTTAACATTCATTTCTTCTAAATGGTCATCTCCCTAATCAATTCATTGCAAGATTCAAACAAGTAAAATTAAGTACATATTTTATTCAGATATCTACCATCCCTCAGTATAAAATTTTTGGTTATGCTGTCAATATTTTAAATGGGTTATCTCCCCTGTCAGTAGTTTCCTGTTGTTTTTCCTTTGTCACATGAGGGGCAACTTAATACAGGTTTGACTGTAATACAGAACTGTTGCATCCTCATTTGTGCACAATATCAATATACAAGCAGCATAGTACAACACAGACCAGATGAAACAATACTATAAAATCTATATAGAGGAAAGTGATGTAGAGTGGGTGGCGCATATTCGCCGTGGACACATTTTCGCAGTTTTTCAATTTTTTCTGTAAATTTCGTGTGCCTTTACCCAATACTTGCCTAAATAGATGCTAAACGCTGTTTGTAATGTTTGAACTGTTGATATTCCTCTTTACCCCATTTCCAATGTTATTCGCACATATAAAGAAATACGCAGGTGTTTTTGAACGATTTTGGCAATTCTGTAAGATTTATATGTCACGCATGCACAGTCATAAAGTAAATATTTGTTAGAAAAATTGCATAGGAATGATCTCTCAAGCTAATTCATGTAATTGCAAACAATTGTTTTTATAATATACAAGGATAATGAGGATGGTCATAACATACATTGCGGCGAAAATGTGTCCCCCATGGTACAAGAACAACTTGATTTCCTCTTAAGTTTGGATTCATTTTTAAAACATTTAACCAATGTTTTGAAGAGAATTCCTTTATCAAACATTTTTTTCATATAGTAAACTTTCTGAAACCTACATAAAAAGTTTCAAAAATTCGAATGTAGGTCGGATGTAGGTGGAAATGAATGAATTTTGCGGCGAATATGTGTCACCCACTCTATGCTGAGCGTATTGACATACTTGTTTTGCTATAATAGCATCATATCCTGTATCATCTGATAACTGTCACACCTTTTAGAATATGAATTGTCATTCATCTAGGACAGAAACATCTTCACTGAGCTAAAATAGTGTACCAGGGTGTCAGACGGTCTTGAAATTTTTGTCTCCCTGTTTTTTCTAAATAATTTATTCATTGTTAACTATCTGTTACTTTGAAGTTAGTTAGCTATAATGTTTATGAAAAATGTCACACAATTAATTTCAGCTCAGATTTATAAGTAAATTTTGATACTCAATCAGATATTAACAATATTTTTAATAGATTATAGAGATAGAAGAGAAGGTATAAATGAATCCGTGAATTCTGAAGTTGGTTCTATCTTCAAAGGAAAGACAACCAACCAACTACAGTTACTGGAGGATCAGATTAATCAGAAACTTAAGGGTGGAGAAGGAGTAGATATAGGTATAAATACATTAAATTAGATATTAGGAGAAGGGTCAGATATAGGTATAAATACATTAAGTTAGATATTAGAATAAGAGTGGAGAAGGGGTAGATATAGGTATAAATACATTAAGTTAGATATTAGAATAAGAGTGGAGAAGAGGTAGATATAGGTATAAATACATTAAGTTAGATATTAGAATAAGAGTGGAGAAGAGGTAGATATAGGTATAAATACATTAAGTTAGATATTAGAATAAGAGTGGAGAAAGGTCAGATATAGGTATAAATACATTAAGTTAGATATTAGAATAAGAGTGGAGAAGGGTCAGATATAGGTATAAATACATTAAGTTAGATATTAGAATAAGAGTGGAGAAGGAGTAGATATAGGTATAAATACATTAAGTTAGATATTAGAATAAGAGTGGAGAAGGGGGTAGATATAAGTATAAATACATTAAGTTAGATATTAGAATAAAGAGTGGAGAAAGGGTAGATATAAGTATAAATACATTAAGTTAGATATTAGAATAAGAGTGGAGAAAGGGTAGATATAAGTATAAATACATTAAGTTAGATATTAGAATAAGAGTGGAGAAGAGGTAGATATAAGTATATGTATAATGTATATGAAATAAAAAACAAAGTGATGGTTGAAAATAGGTAGATAAATATATGTATATATTTATATAAATACTGTAGGTTGAAAATTGGATAGATAAAGATACATTAAATTAAACACAACTACATGGTGGAGAAGGGGTGTGTATGAAATGAAAGGAATTACATTCAAAAGACTACTCAATTATTTTAATTGTAACAGCTTTATGTTATGCATATTAATGGAAGACACATATATCGCATTAAAAAAAAATATCCTGAGAATGGGCATTATTATACATGTATAATGCATTGAGTTTGCTCTGGTGAAAGTCACTGAATACTATAGGCTTTTTTTCAGTCACATTAATCTAATCATAGTGTTATCTTGTAATGGTGAGAGAGAAAGAAAAGACACCAAGATCATATATCCAAAATGAACAATTGGACTCATGAGACATGATTGATTGAACCATGATGAACTTGTAATGTGACTTAATTTTATGATATAATATGGTATGAATCATGTTTTTTTTTGTGATGCATATATGCTATTGGGATTGATTTATTTTCATGGGTATGAATTTTTGTGGATGGAGGAAAAATTGTATGTTCCTGGATATGTGGTTTCCTGGTTTTGTTAAAGTCTGCATATCAGCTTGTAGAAAATTTAAACTTCTTTGAACATTTGAATGTGTAGTTCACCTTCACAACCAAAATCAATAAAAATTTGTATCCCACACATAACTGGAGTACATTTTGTTTGTAGGATATTGGGAGTCTTTAATTCAACAGCTTAAAGCTCACATGGCAAGAACAAGACTGAGAGAACGTCATCAGGAAGTCCTTAGACAGAAATTGTTCAAATTAAAACAGGAGGTAAATAGTTTTATACACAGATACAATTATATGAAATATAGATTCCTTTTGACAGATAAAAGTTAATTCTTGCATATAAACTATGATAATAAAGATAATGATCTCCCCTTTAAGAATAGTTGTAGCAACTAAAAACATATCCATATCTTCAGGAAATTTATTTAAAAGTGAGTATCACATAGATATAACACCTTTAAATAGTATGCTGGAGGTTTTTCAATTCAAATTTTTGGTAGTTTTCCCTATTGGAACCATACTAGCCATATTGCGAGCTACAGGGGTTATGATAATTTTTTGATAAAATCAAATGAGTTTTATCTTTTATCTGACATTTTATTGAGGAATTTTGACATTTAAAACCACCAGTCTATGAATAGAGCTCTTGTAAATAAGAGCCAGAAGACATATTTCTGTCTCATTCAATCCCTTCTTAATTCATTATATTTATTTTACAGCAAGGTATAGAGTCTGCCCCATTATTTCCTGCTGGTGACAGATCTGATTCACCTGTGGTAAAACAAGAAAAGACAGACATGCCTCCTCCTGCAGTGCCAACTGTCAGTAGAGGTGAAGAACCGGGAACCAGTGGGGAACAAAGCCAACCAGCTGCAGAGGAAGAGGATGAGTAAGATTTTAGATAAAAACAGCACAGATTTTAAACTAAACATATGTTTATCAATTTTTTGCAAGGGGTCAACTCTTTTGTGGTTGTTACATGAGTTTAAAAAAACAATTACTCTTGTGAAATAGATTTGTTAGGTTGCTTTACCTAATTATTACCTAGTCTTGTCTAGGCAATTCTTATATAAACAAATAACCATCCATTTCAAAGTAAATCCTGTAGAGGTTTAATTAGAACTGGCCACTTGCATGGTTTATGTTGTAAGTATCAAACATTAATGGTAATAACGTACCATTACAAACATGAAGATTATTGTGTAAACAGTAAGCTCTGTGATATTTATATTTTCTGTTTTCCATTTTGGCAACCACATTGTGTGATAACTGAGAACTTTTGATATTTTATATTTCTGATTTCAGTTCTGACATGGTCTTATGTACATTTTAGATACAGATATGTGTTGGTCTTTCCAGTTTGCATTTTTTTGTATGCTTCAGATGTTCCTGGTTGGTAGATTATCTGTTCTTGATTTGTGTTGTTGTTCAGGTGAACTTTCATGGACATAAATCAGACAACTCCTTTTATTTTCACAAATTAAATAAAAAGACTATGTTATGTTGAACTTTTTAAATGCTTACTATTTTATTTTGATTTCAGTGGTGAAGCATTGATAACAGAAGATGATTTGGAGGAACAAGCCTACATTGACTATGAGGCTGGTTGTTATTCTCCTAAGTTGTTAACACCAAATGAGTTAGAGATTGACTCTGTAGTGTATGAAGTAGCAGATGATATGAAGAAGTTGGAGTTAGCTAGAGAACAAGTCAAAACTTCTGGACAAGTCAGAGTGAGTGTTTGTTATAACTGTTAGAAAACAGTATTTGGTAATTATAGCAGAACTAGTAATTCCTTCCAAAAAGAAATTTTCTTGATATTTTACGAATTTTAACTATTTAAAATTAAATTGATCAAGCAGTTTCATTTTGTTGATATTTCATGGCAAAATGTATAGAACAGTACAACTATGAATTTGTCAAGTAATTTCACTGTTTGGAGTTGAAATATGTAGAAAAAAAAGTTAATGGATTAGTTTCTCTATATAGCTGATAAATTTATGCTGTAATAATATTGAAAAAGAGTTTTGGTTATATGATATTAATTTGATAAAGGCAAAACAAAGATCTATATTTGATGCCTAAACTTGCTATAATTCTATTTTTCCAGCTTGATGCTGATTCTGAGTTTGAAAAGAAGGCAAGAGAAGGTATGAATGATGATGAAGCACAGTTTAGTGTAGAAGTACCTCTCACAAGCCAAGCATTCCTGTGGTCAGACAAATACAGACCTAGAAAGCCAAGGTTCTTCAACAGGGTCCATACGGTATGTTTATAAAGTTTATATCGCATTTCTTTTCATAAGAAGTTCAGAATCTTAGTTGATCCATGTCCAAAAATAATTCATTTATCCATTGTGTCATAAAAATTACTTTTGAATCTTAAAACACAGCAAATTTTCAATTTTAGGAAAAACCCATATATTTAAGCTGGAAACAAGATAAGAATATGTAAGATATTGTCTTGAAATTCTTTAAGATAATTAATCAAGTTTCAGTTGTTAACAGAATGATAGATCATTTCAAATTTATTTGAAGAAATTGTCATTGACTGGATTCTTTAATTTCAGGGTTTTGAGTGGAACAAATATAACCAAACCCATTATGATATAGATAATCCTCCACCTAAAATTGTACAGGGATATAAATTTAATGTAAGTATGTGTAGATGTAAATAGATGATATCAGTTACTTTTGCATTTGATTATTATTAACTGCCTTGTATCCAGTAAAAAATTCGCACACATTTAGAATTATCTCCCCTTACAAAAATAAAGCTCCCTTACAATATATCTACTTTTCAGTGAGCAAAATGAAAGAAATAATTTTTAAACATAAGAAAAATATGAAAAGGAAATCTCTGCATTAAGATGGTGCAAATAAATTTTTAAGAGAAGTTATTGAGAGAGCAAATCAATTTTTATAGACAAAAAGAGAAGTTATTGAGACTGCAAATCAATTTTTATAGACAAAAAGAGAAGTTATTGAGACAGCAAATCAATTTTTATAGACAAAAGGAGAAGTTATTGAGACTTCAAATCAACAGCAAAAAAAACAAAAGACATATGAAAATTGTCTGAAAGCATATATTAGTATATATTTTTTGTTATTTTTTTCAGATATTTTATCCAGATTTAATTGATAAAACAAAGCCTCCAGAATATACCCTGGTAAGTATCAAACTCTTTGTAAATGATTGATTTTAAGTCAAATTTGAAAAAAATGGATAGAAGTGATAGTTTTATGAATCCAACCAATTTTACTTGAAATTTGCAAACTATAATGAATAAGCATCATTATGTATCATTTAATTGTTCAATTTTTAATGTAATACTGTTCTAAGAATAGTTTTAATGGTTTCCAGTTTAATTTTTGTGAGGGTGGAGAAGGAAAAATGATTTGATAAATGTTAACTCTGCAATGCCATCAAAGGGGGTCACTGGGTAAGCCCCTATTTTTATACGCCCGTCAAATTTTTGACGGGACGTATTATGGTATACAAATGTCCGGCGTCCGTCTGTCCGGCGTCCGTCCGTCCGTCTGTCCGTCTGTCTGTCCGTCTGTCTGTCCGGCATAAACATGTCGCACCGTAACTTGAGAATGACTTATCCAAATTTCATGAAACTTAACATAGTTGTTTCTTATGATGGTCAAACGATCTGTATACTTTTTGGTGAAAATAAGATTAAAACTTTTTGAGTTACGGGACTTAGTAACTAAAACAGGTGTGTGTTTTTTTTCACATGTCGCGCCATATCTCAAAAACAATTTATGATTATTGCTTAAAACTTTACACACTTCTTAATTATATTAATCTTAAGATCTGTATACTTTTTGGTGATGATTCAAAATTTTATTTTAGAGATATTGAGTATTTTGTTAAAAAAGGGGGAGGGGTTTTTCACATGTCGCGCCGTATCTCAAAAACAGTTTATGATTATTGCTTAAATCTTTACACACTTCTTAGTTATATTAACCTTAAGATCTGTATACTTTTTGGTGATGATTCAAAATTTTATTTTTGAGTTATTGAGTATTTTGTAAAAAAAGGGGGAGGGGTTTTTCTCATGTTGCGCCGTATCTCAAAAAGCGATTTATGATTATTGCTTAAAATTTTACACACTTCTTAGTTATATTAATCTAAAGATCTGTATACTTTTTGGTTTTGATTCAAAATTTTATTTTTGAGATATTGATTTTTTTTTTTTTTAAAAGGGGGGTTTTCACATGTCGCGCCGTATCTCAAAAACGATTTATGATTATTGCTTAAAATTTTACACACTTCTTAGTTATATTAATCTAAAGATCTGTATACTTTTTGGTTTTGATTCAAAATTTTATTTTAGAGATATTGAGTTTTTTGTTAAAAAAAAAGGTGGTTTTCGCATGTCACGCCGTATGTCAGAAACTATTTATGCTTATTGCATATAAAATTCACACACAAGACGACGGGCGTATCATGCGCTCATGGTGCAGCTGTTTATTAAGATATTTTTGTTGAGCCTTTGACTTTAGTCGGAAAAGCGAGACATAGCGATCCTACATTCCGTTGGTGGCGGCGGCGTCCACAAATATTCACTCTGTGGTTAAAGTTTTTGAAATTTTAATAACTTTCTTAAACTATCCTGGATTTCTACCAAACTTGGACAGAAGCTTGTTTATGATCATAAGATAGTATATAGAAGTAAATTTTGTAAAAAAATAAATCCATTTTTTCCTTATTTTACTTTTAAATGGACTTCGATTTTCTGCCAGGAAACAACATATTCACTCTGTGGTTAAAGTTTTTAAAGTTTTAATAACTTTCTTATACTATTTTAGATTTGTACCAAACTTGGACAGAAGCTTGTTTATGATCAAAAGCTAGTATCTAGAAGGAAATTTAAAAAAAAAAAAATCCGCTTTTTCCGTATTTTACTTTTAAATGGACTTAGATTTTCTGCCAGGAAAAAACATATTCACTCTGTGGTTAAAGTTTTTAAAATTTTAATAACTTTCTTATACTATTTTGGATTTGTACCAAACTTGAACAGAAGCTTGTTTATGATCAAATGCTAGTATCTAGAAGGAAATTTTGTTTTCTTCCAGTTAACATTACATTCAGTCTGCAGTTAAAGTTTTTAAACATTTATTAGATTCATAAACTGTCCTGGATTTTTACCAAACTTGGACAGAAGCTTCTTACAATCAAAAGATAGTATCAAGAGGAATATTTTTATTGATTTACTTCATCATTTTTGTTGAGCCTGCGATTAACAGAAAAAGTAGGCGAGACACTGGGTTTCCGCGGAACCCTTACGAATTTTTATCATAAGTTGATCAAATTTTTGGCTTTTAGGCAGATTACCAATGTTTTATACTTGCAGACCCCATGTGATGATAACAAAGACTTTGCCATACTGAAATATCATGCAGGTCCGCCTTATGAAGTAAGTAGAATTATTTGCAATTAAAAGAACATTTTGTTGACATTAGGTGGAAATTAGAAACAGAAGTGAAACTTTTTATTTTGCTGTAATTTTTTTTACTTTATGTTATTGATATGAAAGTCAAACCTTAACATATGTGTATGTGTCTGCCTCTGTTCAATCAAAGACAGTTCCATTTACAAATGCTGTTTAGGATATGTATTTGTAGAACTTCATGTTTTAAGTCCCTCAACTCAGCCATTCCATAGATGAGAATATTTTTTGAGGGGAATTTTCAATCACATTATCTTTATTTAATACGATAGTATTTTGATTACTTTGAAATTAATTTTCATATAATGAAACAGTATTCGTCCTTTATTTGAAGATATCTATAACTAATAAACAAGTTCATAATGACTAAATCTAGTAATGATACTGCTTCAGTATAAATACATAGTGTTAAAATGCAAACAAAAATGTATGATAAAACTAACAACTAAATTTGAATTATTTTTTTTTCAGGATATAGCTTTCAAGGTTGTCAACAGAGAGTGGGAATATTCATACAAACGTGGATTTAGATGTCAGTTTCAGAACAATATATTTCAAATGTGGTTCCACTTTAAACGATATCGTTACAGACGGTGACTAATATTGAGATTTGTACAGATGTGCTTATTTATTGTACTTCAAATAATACAAACAGACCAGTGTTTGGCCATAATAGAAAACTATGCCCTGAATATGTTACAAGGAACTGGTGTGCAGGCAGAGATGACAAGTCTGGAAGTGAATATCTGATACATACATAAATTGTTGTTAAACAGATTGAAATGATCTTTTATTTTTTGTGTCTTGAAAATTGGCAGCTGGTTGCAATATTGATGTCACCTGAAAAAAGACAAGAGCAGACGCCTAAGTAAATTGTATACTGTTTTGTTTTCAGATATCCTCGTGTATTGTGTTTTCGACCTACTTACAATTTATCAATATTTCCCCTTTAATATGTTTGAACATATACATGCCTAATATTTTTTAGAGTCACTAGTATACTTGTACATTAAATAATTGTATCTAAAATATATTTCGATCTTAAATATTTTTTTTATTTCAGTTCATTAGATCGATGGCACCTTTGTTGACAAAAACTAGCGTCTTGTGTTTTCGACCTATCTAAGAAACGGGTCCAAAGTCGGAAATGACATGTCGTACAAATCCGGAATTGGTTATAATTTGATGCCAATGTTTATATCAAATTATTCAAAGTTTTAGAGGCGATCAAACTTATGATTTAATGAATTAAATGGTGACATATACAACTATAAGATATAAAATATTATTTTGATATCTTTATTTGACTAGTTGTACACATTTCACATGAGGCACTTTGGAAACCTTGTAGGACCTTGTATACAGTCATGTTTCTGTTCAATATACTTCAGTGAAGGCATTATAAAGTGAGGTTGGTGAGTATTGTCTGTAATCTCCCCTGACAGACTGCTGTTTCTGTGAATTAAAATTAATTGATATTTTATTTTTTTCAGCAAAAAACTGTAAGAATCATCCACATTTCCGTATTAAAAATAACTTTTAAGTATATCACCTAACCACATGACAGTCATGTGACGTAATGACCTTGATGTTAACTTCACATGCTAAAAGTCCTCGGCCATATTTCTAGAATATTTGTTTATTTTTGATAGATTCTTGTGGAAGGTAAAAAAAGTATTAGTGAAAAGGTACAAAAATGTGATATCAAATAAAATAACGAAAATACTTAATTATAACAACTTTACTTGAAACATCTTCACCACACGTGGTATTATTTGCTATTGTTACTAAATATAGCAGCCAAATGTGACGTCACACGGGCATGCGCAGCATACGGGAAGTGAAAGTAGAATTAGGTCGAAAACGTAAGACGGTCGAAAACACAATACGAGACGATATACTGACATACTTCTAAATTTAAAAAAAAATGATTTTCAGGTTAATAAAGAAATGTTGATTACCAGTAGTGGTATAAATTGGGAGGGGCCACAGGTTTAATTTTTAAGTTAATTTTGTTAACTGTATTTATGATTGATTTATTACTATTCATAAAGTTTTAATGAAGAACTATATCTCTATCATTGAAATTTGCAGCAGTTAACTTCTGATGAACTCCATTGCAATCTTACAAATCCTTATTACTGAAGTGCTGACTCTTTAATGAAAATTGTTACTCTCACAGTCTCCTCAAATATGACTTCTCTGAGAGCCTTACTTTATAGCATTAAACAAATTATCAATCACTATTTTGCAAATCAGCTTATTGCAGGAGATTTAGGCGAGTTGTGATAAAGAATGTGGCAGTCAAATCTTGTTATTCATGTAATCATGTAAATTCAATATTGGTTTTAAACATATATGTCAATAAAACTGTTTTATATTTCTAAAGTTGTTATTGTTGTGTTTTTGTCTCACCTCTACCAAGAAGTGGGGATGAGGCTTCGGCCTGCAGATTCAGGTGGTGACAACAACATTTGTTAAAGTTTGTGATTAAGTCAGTGTTAGGGGCCCATTAAGGATATTTGATATGCATTTGTATAGGCATTGGCACGTCTCATTTTCATAGAGATTACTTGGCCCTGCCCTCAGTCATTGTTTATTTACTTTGATTCTTTTGCTTAGTTATATGTTAATATTTGTGATTAGTTCAATTTAAGGGAAACTGTTTTATTCAAGTGAATTTTATTTGGTATGCAGTTAATATGCAGTTGCATAGTTTACAGAAAGTTTGTGATTAGATCAGTTTACAATTGGCATGCAGTTGTATTAGCATTTGCACATCTCATTTCGGAGGAGATTATATGGCTCCTTTCCCATCAGTTTATTGACTGAATCTTTTGCATTGTTTTCATGTTAAAGTTTGTGATTGGGTCAGTTTAAATTGAACCACTAATGGTAAGTCAATGGTATTTGGTATGCAGTTGTATTAGCAGTAGCATAACTCATTTCTAGAGAGATTATTTGGCCATGCACCTTCAATCATTGTCCATTGACTGAATGTTTTGAATAGTTTACATGTTATAGTATTGCCATTTTTGTCTCGCCTTAACAGAGTCAAAAAGGGAGACATAGGTATGCTGTTTCCGGCGGGGGCGTCAACAATGTATTAGTTTGTGATTAGGTCTAGTTTATGGTGAACCACTAGTGGTAGGTCAATGATATTTAATATGCAGTTGTATTAGCATCTCATTACCATGGAGATTATTTGGCCCCGCCCCCTCAGTCATGGTCTATTGACCTTGAATCTTTTCCTTAGTTTTCATGTATTAGTTTGTGATTAGGTCAGTTTAAGGGGAACCATTAGTGGAAGGTCAATGATAATTGGTATGCAGTTGTATAAGCATAAGCACATCTCATTTCCATGGAGAATATTTGGTCCTTACCCCCTCAGTCATGGTCTGTTGACTTTGAAACTTTTCCTTAGTTTACATGTATTAGTTTGTGATTAGGACAGTTTAAAATGAACCACTAATGTTAAGTAAATGATATTTGGTATGCAAATGTGTTAGCATTTGCAAGTTTCATTTTTATGGAGATTATATAACCCCACCCCCTCATTATGGTTCATTGACTTTGAAACTTTTATATAGTTTACAAGTTAATGTTTGTGTTTAGGTTTGTTTAAAGGGAATGACTTATGAAAAGTCAATGGTATTTGGTATGCAGTTGTATTAGCATTGGCACATTTAATTTCCATGGAGATTGTTTAGCCCTGTTCCTTGAGTCATGGTTTATTGACTTTGAATATTTGCATAACCTACATATTAAAGTATTGCTATTTGAGTTTCAACATTTGCATTATCAAAATAACAAATTGGCAAGACATATCTCTGTGTTAACAGTTTATTATTTCAACGTTTGCTTTTACTGTCAAAATTATCTACAGGCAAGACATATCTCTGTGTCAAAAGTTTGTTTTATTTTGAAACTATTTCATATGTGAACACAATTTAGGAAATAAACCAAAGACATGAAAAATTCTGTATTTTATGTTTTTTATCATATTCTTAGGTGGAAATTTTATCTTGAGTCACTGACTGTCTGTTAATCAGTACTTTAGTACGGTGACTAATGGTAATTTTGATCTGTACTAATTGATGGGTAACATATAATTTACAATTACAAATTTTATATTTAATGAGTTCTAATAGAAACATAACACTTACTATGATAAACTATTATATATCTTAAATTCTAACTGGACATTTTTTTTTTGAAATTTGGTATTTGGTAAATCAAGCTAACCCCTTTTCCTTTTTTTTCTCATGTTTATATGAGACATTTAAAGATGTTCTCTGCCTGTGATTTTAATGTTTTCAAGTTCAATATATTCAACGACAAAAAATAAAAAATTGTATTAAAATTGTACTTGTGTTTTGCCAGCTGATGTTCAGACATTTCTTATGATCCAGCAGCTGATAAAATTAACCAATTGGCATGAAAAGAAATGTTCTGTGGAAGTAACTTCTTTTTAAATGTCATGGAGTGTTTATCAACTTCTTAAATCTACAAGTAAGGAACAAATTGGTTTTTGATTATAAATAGCCCTGATGTTGTACATACAGTTTACTCTTGTGTGACAGTCATCCAAAGTTCCATAATATTGGCACTATCCACTATCCACTATCCAGATAGTCAATACTATTGGATTTATTTGATTTATAAAATCAAAGCAAAAATACACATTACATATACATATTAACAAAACTCAAAGCTTGCAATTGTAAGCTTCATATGAGCTGTTTTCTGCTCTTTGGTTGAGTTGTTGTCTCTTTGACACATTCCCCGTTTCCATTCCCTATGCTATGTACACAGACAAATAAGGACAGAATAGGTGCATTTTATCCTAGATTCATGTAAAAATCTAAAATTAATTAGAGACACTTTCATCATTTAAGACTCTAGGTAAAAAGTGAAAGAAAAGACAGGTTTATTATTGTTATTTCAATTTTCAATCATATTCAAGAATGTCCTTAAAGTATATATAATCAGGAGAATGAATGGCCTCTGTTAGTCCAATGTCCAGTGGCAAATAGTACAACTTTATATAATCTGCACAACCAAACAGATTTGCTGTGTGAAAACAGCTCTGAATTTGGATTGTGATTGAATATGACACAGCATAGGTTTGTGACACAAAATGAATGTGGTCAAAGAACTGAAAAATTTGAAATCAGACATTTACCTATTATGGTCCAATATCCAAAATCTAAGTACATTGTTAGAATCAGCATATCAAAGAACCCCAAGATTTCAATTTTTGATGAAATCAAACAAAAGTTTAATTTAGGACCCTTTGGACCTCAATGTGGTACATTGTATAATCTAATTAATAATGAAAATAAATACAGGTTTAGATTCAGCATTTCAAAGAACCTTATATATATTCAATTTATGTTGAAATCAAACACAGTTTTTAAAAGAGTTCGCTTCATCAAAAACAAAAAAAAATACATATAGCATTAAGAAAATTAGTTTATACAGAATATCAAACAAACCTACCACAAAATTCTTCAAACAATTTACCAAAGAAAAGAAGAAAAAAATCCAAAATGTCATTTATCATTTAATTAATACAATGTCTTTTAAAAATCTATAAACTTATCTGTAATTATCTTCATAATGTCTAATAATGATCAGTAAATACTATATTTATACTGTCCTACAGAGCTTATCATCATCAGCACTTAGGAAACAGAAAATTTTTAAATAAATCTGTCACTCCAATTATAATTGTGTGATAGATATTTACCATATGCTTTGTAATCTGATAACAGGTGAAAATTATTTAAAAACACTTAGTGTAATCAAACTTTATATATATAATTAATAGTTCCCAATATTTTCTCTTTCATTTGTCACAAACTAATATAGATCTGCAACTTATCTATCAATGTCAACAACTGTATCTACACAATGTAATGTAATGAAATATATCCTTTAATAAAAAAAGATTATTATCTTTGCCATTTCTGTTCAAAGGGAAATAACTCAAATGACAATCATATAATAAGTATAACTTATGGCTACTAAAAGGTCTACAACTCAACAACGGGAAAAGCTAAAATCTTGAAAATTGAACTTGCCCTTCATTTAGTCACAGGAAACAACATATCAAAATTTGAAAAATCCGTACATCCCAAATCAATAACCGATTTTTCCTTGGAAAATCCGGTTCAAAGTAAATCAGTTTGCCTATATATCTATGGTACAATCTAATCTAGAATATTGTTTACCAGTCTGGTCCCTTCACACACAAAAAATATTATTGAAAAGGTACAGTGAAGCCCTTATCACTACGCTACGTTACCAGATTCCGTAACACCAGCAGAATCACTTCCATGATTGGTCATCCCAATGGAAATCACTAGAAACTCGAAGAAACATCAACAGAGTAACAATGATGTACAAAATCACACACAATCTTATAGCAATAGACCCAAACCTTTATCTTATTTCCCCCTGCCGATCGACAACACCATTTACACTAATACTATAGTACACTGCAGTTTCAAACATTTAGCACCAGAACAGACTACTTACAAATGCAGATTTTCCACTTAACTGTTGATTTGTGGAACACACTTCCACAATACACTCTCCGCTCTACCACATTTGATCAGTTTTAAACACTGATCCAAAGTCAGTACATTTAGACAACTAAATCAGTTTGTAAATATGTGACTTCTATTTTTGCATAAATTAATTTTAGTTTATTGCACTTTTAAGTTATTAATTTTCTTTATAGTCTGTATGTGATGCGCCGACGTATGTGGTCACCAATGTGCTAATGAATCGTCGTATGGCGTAGATGTAGAAAAAAAACAAGCTTGTCCTGATGGAGTGAGCTTATCATGCTTGGAAGTATTGGCAAGCAGTTGGTTACTACGGTTCATACATTATCATTTCATGAAGTACTACTTTTATAACCATGGAAATTGGTTCGAAATTTTCATTTGATCAACTACTTTTTGTCTTTGTCAGTGTCTATTGCTTCAATATCAAATATAGTTTAGTTTTAACCTTTGAAAATATCAGCGAACTTTTTTCGGTTTGTCCAAATCTTAATTTTCTCCATTGCACTGATTATACGAATCATGATTGGAGGGTCGGATATGTTTGATTCGAGCATGAAACGACCAAAAGTATTAGTATATAAAGCTATCACGATTAGAAGTAATACATGTTGATAGTTGTGCAATATGTAATAATAACATGCAATATGATATTAAAATCCTAAGGTGTTCAAAATAATATTTCTTTCTTCTCCCCTTATAAATCTCGTAAGTTTCTCTGTTTGTATTTACCATTGATATAAACTTATCATATGTATTGTCTTTAAGTGGATTGTTGTCCTGATTTTATCAATAAATTTACATAACAAGAGA